CTACTTTGCCATTTCTGCCACTGACAGAGATGAAGGTCCAAACTCACAAATTGTTTATATTTTGAAAGATGATACAACCAGACAGGTTAATATGAACCTATTTTTTTTACGGCTAAATACTGTCGCTTAAGTTTCCAACATTTATTTGAACTTTACCATTCATAAAGTTCAGTTTATGGGTCCCAACAACATCTTTCTTTCCTACTTTAAATTAAAATTTTATCTACTAAAAAATACACTTTTTTTCAGTTTAAAAATGGTACACAGTACTTTTCCTTGCCTTCTGAGCAAGAAGGTATTGCAAATGTAAAAGGATTTCTGGACTTTGAGAGCATGTACAATGTGACCAGAGATACAAGCAAGACATTCTACATGTAAGCCCTGCTAGGGGGGGATACCTAATATCTACCCTTCTAGGCTTATCTATCAAAATCTGTCCGGTCAGTGCAACCGTGGTAGAACCCACAGTGGTTAAACCCTAACCTTAGTCTAAATAATAAGCTACTAAAATGAAACAAAAACTTTTACAGTTAATAAAATTTATTTATCAAGAATGACTAATATAAAATTTATTCAACAAAATATGGAACCAAAAGTTATAAAAAAAGAATAGATAAAAACTGACACAAAACAGAACCAAACGAAACAAACTTTTTACATCAAACAAAACACCCAATTTCGGACCACCGTCCTAGAAAGAGGAAAAATAAGACAAATCAATTTAAAATGTAAAAAAAGTTATACACAAGGCAGTAAGCTGACACAATTGTCAGCCTAAACAAGAGGCTCTCATAAATGAAAGTAAAATCTACAATAATCCATGACTAAACCCAGGCCATCGTGCTACCACGTGGTCTGGATAAAACAAACATCGAAACTTCTCAAAGTCAAGACTAAATAGATCTAGTATATAGTCACTTTGTATACAAAATAAGCAAACAAAAATATGGAAAACATAATAAAACACTATAAAAATAACCCTACGTTACCATACACCACATAAACGTGACACAGAAACTCTTCAACACACAGGCCTCGACATTCCAGCAGAATGTCCCTCCCTGTCGACACACCACATTCACGAACAAAGAAACCAATACTACGAACAAAGAAACCAATGCTGCGCACAAGAAAATAGTCCCTAATACAATAATAAGTAACATTCAGGACATAAAGCAAAGTGGAGCAACAATCCAAAACAAAGTTTGCATAAATAATAACATTAAAATATAAACAAGACACAATAACCAGGCTACAAACCATTGTAAAATCGAAATCATACCAGCGCCATAATAGCGGACTACTTAACTAAGTAACATTCAGGACATAAAGCAAAGTGGAGCAACAATCCAAAACAAAGTTTGCATAAATAATAACATTAAAATATAAACAAGACACAATAACCAGGCTACAAACCATTGTAAAATCGAAATCATACCAGCGCCATAATAGCGGACTACTTAACTAAAAACCACAACAATCCTCAAAGGAACATAAAAAGCGACATTCGCCTTCTTAGTTACAAATAATTATAATAACAGATAAACACACTCCAGCCGCTCGCATACATTATCAATGTGATTGCAAGGGTAAATTTATAAACATCTTTCTTTGGCTTTTAATCAACATTTGCAAGTTTTAATTGAATAACACAAACATCAAACCTTATAAACTGTATTGTTGGGACCAGGACAATGCTGCTAATGCAAGTCTGCGAAGATCAAGTATAACAACATTGACAGTAAAAATTTTGGATGGAGATGATCTGGGTCCTGAGTTTGTGTATGATTCCTGTATACTCAGTTATGAACAGGTCTATCCTTTTTGTATCAGACCAAAGTACACCACAACACTACTCTCAGGTACTAACCAGGTAAGAAATTTTTCATTACATTAGTAAACAATAATATTAATATAGACTAATAATAGAAAATCTTTTTTTTGCTATTATTCTACATGTTTTAAAATTTATAAACGGTGAGGAAAAAATTAAATAAATATTGTTTTTGATTTAGGAATTAGAGCTGAAATTTCAGCCAGTTCCAACTAATCCCAGTAATACAGATAATATAAATATAATAATGCAAGATAGAGACACTCTAAACTCACCAGTTACTTGTATTATACTAAACAGTAAGTAGACATTTTATAATCAAAATACAGCATATATTAATTGAAGACTAATTTATGTTTTCAGTAAATGTCAAAATCTTTTTGTAAGCTCATTCAAATTCAACTCAAATTTTTATATATATTTTTTTTTTGTATTTTGGAATTTTTCAATAAAAATAAACATAAAAATTAGTAAAAGATGTATACGTAGAACATTCATAATTTTGAAACAAACAATTAATTTTAACAACAAATGTAAGCCCTGCTAGGGGGGGATACCTTAAAATCTATCTAACCCTTCCCTAGGCTTATCTAACTACTGTCCGGTCAGTGCAAGTCCGGCTAAACCCAGACTGGTTAATAACCTAACCTTAGTCTAAATTAAAAAAACAGAAAAACTCTACAATTTAATAAAATTTATTTCATGAAAATATGGAACCAATAAAAAAATAGATAAAAACTGCTGACACAAAACAGACAAAACAAAACCAAACAAAACAGTTTATATACAGACAAAACATTACGTTCGACCATTTGCTGGTGTTGCACCGACTTATGATGTCTAGGATGGCCCAGGCCCTGACACACAGAAACCTCCCTTCATCCATTCTCGACATCCAAAAGTCCACACCAAACAAAACACTACGTAAAACCACTACGTACAATACGTTACGTACAAAACAATACGTACACAACAAACTTTTTACACCAAACAAAACAATTCATATATAACAAAACACCCAGCCAAGTTGCACAAGCAACCTCACTGGAAGGGGGGGGGGGGGGAAGAGAAAAAGAAAAGGAAAACATAAGAAAAATGCATGGTAATGGCAGATATATACATAAATATATACACAAGTTCAAAATGCTACCTACCACTACTATCTAGCTAAAGCCTCGAGTAAAACTAATCCTTACTATACAATTCTAAAAGCAATTCTCAAAAACAACTAACCACTGTCTAAAGAAGAACTAGCAACTTAAAAATAACGTGTAAACAAATCCATCGTAGAACCAATCTTTCCTACACAAGGAAGCCCGAAGCCATTGGTTTACATAAACAACATCTATATTGATAACATTAAAGTTAACACACTCCGCTAAGGCCCCAATGAAGGCAGACACAAAGCAAGCGATACTCAACATGACGTTGCACGAAACAGCACACACATTAATTTTAAACAACCTAAAACTCGAGGCAACTAAAATATACTAATCTAATTACTGTCTAAAACAACTGACTATTGACTAAGCCAATCCTAGTCAATAACACATCATAAAACAATCAAGTAAATGCACACACGCATTCACACTAGTTTAGGAAACACTCCTAAACATACTGGCCTAAACCACGTGGTCCGAAACACACGCCACGGGTTTAGAAAACACCAAAAATACATTTTAATTCAAAATAACAGAATAACACACCACGTGCATACCAGACATGCCGATGCTCACTATCTCGTTTTAGACGAAAATGAAAGAAAACGAGAAACATCGACAGTCGCATTCATACAAATCACATAAAGATAAAGTATAAACAAACAAATACCTCCACGCGTGCGGTGCGCCACGCAGAAACCTGACCCGACCTACATCTCGCCGCGGGTCAAAAAAAGGAAGAAAATCACGCCGAGCGGTCAATTTATAGTGACCGCTTCGGACGGAAGGGGACTCCGTGCCGTTCCCCATTGGACCACCATGCACTCCCAGATTCGCAACAAATAAAATAATACAAAAAAAATCCATTCACCCGCTCACACAAATAATAAACAAGTTAATTAAAAAGTCTAGTGACAATTTTAGCGCAATTTCCTTATGTTATCTAAAAATAGCTTTGTCGTGGCGTAAATCAAGAGCAGGGTTAGTAAAACCATTGGTTAAAATACATGTTTTATTTACAATAGAGTTACATGACTAAAAACCATTGCGCGCCTAGCTACTGAACGTGATGACGCAGCCATTGAACGTGATGGCGCAGCTATTGAACGTGATGACGCGTGTGGTGTGGTTGGAAAAAATGCCTACTAATTCGGTCCAAATTTTAATTAATTCAAAATTTTTTTTGTGACCGAACGAAAGGATATTTGAAAACTTTCTTCGGTAATATTGTTTTAAATTATGGCAGGAATCGATTGGTACATGTTTCAAGTCGCTAAGTGGTCTGGTTGCCGAGATATGGGCCAAAAACTGCTTTTTTCGAGGTTTTTTGGCTTTTCCGGGAAATCCATGAAAGAAACCCGGAATTTGTTTGGCCTATGTTCATCCTAGTAACTTGCTTAACATATTTGCTTTTGGAACTAGTCCTCGATATTGCTTCGTTGAGGAGGAGATACGACTTAAAGCTGCGGACACACATCCATCCATTCCCAGAAAAGACGAGTTAATAAACGCAAATCTCCACAATGTAAATTGCACTAAAAACTAGAACAGCTGAGCAAGAAGGAAAAAATAATGTAATTATTCAATGTGTAACATTTGTTTATTCCCAGCTGAACCAGCAGGGTACACAGACTATTTCACAGCTACAGCCATCCAGATAGGCGCCAGCAAGCAGTACAGGTGTAGAATTGTGAAGAAAGCTGGAAGTGTTCTGACTAGATCTGTTGTCTCAAGTCTGGAACTTATCATTGTGGTAAATCAATTCTCTCGATAGTTTTCTGGGTATTTGATGGTTTGGTTTTGTCTTTTTAATAAAATCTCTTAACAGTTTCGGTTATAAAATTGCCCATTATATATTGATATTTAACTTTGTTCAACATTATTAAGTACTAGTTATTTATTCAGGATGAGGTTTTAGTCTTAACTGTGTATCATTTTTTTATTTGATTGTGAAAATCAACTTCAATAGACACATCTCACTCCCCTGCCATTCATAATGATATCATATGAAAAAGCTTTCTAGAAGTTTTTATTTCTTTACTACGTGTGGGATTGTATTTTGCATTTCTAGATTGAATGGAAATTATTTTACAGGCAATTTAGCAGTCTTTTAATCGCAGAGAAGAAGATGCCATAGTGTCAATACAGATAACTCCTACAAACCTGGACCCACCCACCATCACACCATCCAGTGGGGTTGGCTACATCTATGAGAACTCTCCAGCCTTGACTTTGGTCTCTGACACCATCAGTGTTACAAACGCTTTCAAGCTGACATTTCAAGATCCTGATCTGGTAGGTTGTGAGCTACATTACTCAGCTGAACACTACTTTTATCAGCACTTATTCTTCATCTATCTATATACTATTAAAAGTCAAGTTTGTTTACATGTTTGAATATTTATTTGTTTGCCTGATCGAAAATTGTGATATGTTCGACTCTATCTGGAAAGCTGTAAAATGGTATGCAGGTAGAGAATAATTTTTTAATGCAGACAGACTGTTGATCACAAATTTATTTAAAGACGTTAATTAATTAATTGATTTATTCATATGCAGATTAACCCATTTTTTTAAAAAAGATTTGAAAAGCCACTAGACTCGACGGAAACAGTGACGTCACATGATGTGTTTATTTTTTTACATCGATAATGGCGGCCTATCGAAGAAGATTGTGTTCCCATTCCAATGTTTAACGCATTCTAAAGCTAATTTTCTGTCGGCTTTAACTTTAACAATACGTCCGTTTGCTGTATTTATTACGTTCCAACACTTATATCAATTTTCAACTGTCTTTTTCATTTAGTTTTACAATAAATTTCTCTAGGTCTCAGCTGTCGAAGGAAAGTTATTTATAGATCTAGATCTAGAATCTAGAATCTAAAAATCTAGGTCAAATCCAAGATTTATTAGTTATAAATACAATAAAAAAAAACGAAACTTTAGCAAACCAGTCGTAGATCTAGAATATAGATAATTCTATCTAGATTTAGATAATAATGAGTTTCTATATACTAAACTATTTTAGACCTTTATTATTTTATATAAATCTTTTTTTGTATAGCTATGAAATATGCTAATTAGGAAATGCTGGATGCGGGGCCTATTTGCATAACTTAAGATTCATACGCGGCTTCTATACCGCTAAGTGTGCAAAATTATAGACGTAAACTCTAGATATAGCTCAGTCGTAGATCTAAAATATAGATAATTTTCTATCTAGATTTAGATAATAATGATTTTCTATATACTAAACTATTTTAGACCTTTATTATTTTATATAAATCTTTGTTTGGAATATGGTAATTTTGAAATGCTCGCTCCGGGCCTATAAGCGTAGCTAATGATTAGATCTAGATTCTAGGTCTAGCAAGAAAAACTAAACATAAGAAGACTTAAGCAAAAGAGTCGTAGAATCTAGACTAGATCTAGATAATTCTATCTAGATCTAGATAATTTCAGACCTTCTTTATTTTATATAAATCTTTGTTTGGCTAATTTAAGATAAAATTTAATTTGAAAGTTACTACTACTAGAACTAGAGTTAGATCTAGATCTATGCGCGTAAGGAGACTCAAAGTATAGTATAAAACTTCACTTATAATGTCAAGAGTAAATAGCTAACTTGGTAGTGAGGTCGGCTCTCATGTGGGTGGCACAGGTTCTAGACCAATTCGTCAATGATTTTTTTTTTCAATTTTTTTTTTAGATGTGAATAATAAAGTTGCCCATCTGAACTTGGCAGGATACAGGGCTGGTGAAGTAGAGTTTGTCTGTTTCTTTGTCCTAAGCATATGAAAGGATAGTGTGGTCAGAGACATGCTCGGCTGGAATCGTTTTTTAAACGATAAAAACATGTTGTCTGAGACTTGGCGGGACACTGGGCAGGTGAAGTAGAGTTGAGTAGGTCACCTATGAAGTCAGTATATGAAGGGATAGTCCGAAATCGGTGTTTTCGGTGTTTTTAAAAGATAAAAAACAATTTTTTGAAAGTGGGGTCTGTTTTTTTTTTGACGATAAGTGACACTGCAGTAGCGTAGCGAGGGGGGGGGGGGGGCGGGGGGGAAGGGGAGGTGGAGGGAGGTGGAGGGGGGGGGGGGGCGGGGGGACATATGTTGGGGCGCCAAAATGGTTTGGAAAAATAAATTGAAAGGTTGAGGGGGGTTCAAATCGAAAGTTTGAGTGGGGGGGGGGGGGTGCACATCAAAAGTTTGAAGGGGGGGGGGGTTGAAAATTGAAATCTTGGGAGGGGGGGTTAAAATCGAAAAGTTTGTCCCCGGGCGCCAGGAAGGGTCGCTATGCCTCTGAGTGACAGAAGTGATGTTTTTTGATGGATGACCCCCGAAACCCACAGTTATCCAACGGATGACGGGTATTCTAGTATACTACTAAAAGTCAAGTTTGTTTACATGTTTGAATATTTATTTGTTTGTTTGTTTGTTTGCCTGATCGACTATTGCTCATGGTTGCACTAATCGTGGAAAGCTGTAAAATAGTATGTAGGTAGAGAAAAAATTTTGTTTTAAGACAGACTGTTAATCACAAATTTATTTAAAGACGTTAATTAATTTATTGATTTATTCATACGCAGAGTAACCCATTTTTTTTAAAAAGATTAAAACTACCACTACACTCGGCGGGACCGTGACGTCACAGGTTTTTGTTTAATCTTTAGTACAATAAAATGGCGGCGTCTATCGAAGAAAATTGTGTTCCCATTCACAAGTTTAACGCGTTCTAAATCTAATTTTCTGTGGGTCATAACTTTAACAATACGTCCGTTTGCTGTATTTATTACGTTCCAACACTTATATCAATTTTCAACTGTCTTTTTTCATTTAGTTTTACAATAAATTTCTCTAGATCTAAAGATCAGCTGTCGAAGGAAAGTTATGAATCTAGCCTAGATTTAGATCTAGATCTAGCCTAGATCTAGGTCACTAGACTCAATGTAAATTCTACATCTAGAATCTATTTCAGGCCTTAATACATCTAGAATCTATTTCAGGCCTTAATTATTTTATATAAATCTTTGTTTGGCTAATTTAAGATAAAATTTAATTTGAAAGTTACTAGATTCTACTACTAGACTTAGATCTAGATCTATGCGCGGAGACTCAAAAGTATAGTATAAAAATTCATTTGTGACGTCACGAGTAAATAGCTAAGTTTGTAGCGTAGTCCGCTCTCATGCGGGTGGTACAAGTTCAAGACCAATATGTCAATGATATTTTTTTTTCTATTTTTTTTTTTTAGATGTGAATGATAAAGTTGCCTATCTGAACTTGGCAGGATACAGGGCAGGTGAAGTAGAGTTCATCTGTTTCTTTGTCCTAAGCATATGAAAGGATAGTGTGGTCAGAGACATGCTCGGCTGGAATCGTTTTTTAAACGATAAAAACATGTTGTCTGAGACTTGGCGGGACACTGGGCAGGTGAAGTAGAGTTGAGTAGGTCACATGTGACGTCAGTATATGAAGGGATAGTCCGAAATCGGTGTTTTCGGTGTTTTTAAAAGATAAACATATTTTTGAATGTGGGGTCTGTTTTTGTGACGATAAGTGACACTGCAGTAGCGTAGCGAGGAGGGGGGGGGGGCGGGAGGGGAGGAGGGGGGGAGAGGGGAGGCGGGGGGAGGTGGAGGGGGGGGGGGCGGGGGGACATATGTTGGGGCGCCAAAATGGTTTGGAAAAATAAATTGAAAGGTTGAGGGGGGTTCAAATCGAAAGTTTGAGTGGGGGGGGGGGGGGTGCACATCAAAAGTTTGAGGGGGGGGGGGGTTAAAATCGAAAAGTTTGTCCCCGGGCGCCGGGAAGGCTCGCTATGCCTCTGAGTGACAGACGTGATGTTTTTTGATGGATGACCCCCGAAACCCACAGTTATCCAACGGATGACGGGTATTCTAGTAAGCTTCTAAAAATGTAGGTTGCACCATTGTTCTAAGTTCTCAACCAAGAAGTGTCTGTTGATGAAAATGATGCTAATTTTCTTGTGGCAGCTACAGAGCCTTATTATTAAAATAGACCTATATTTAATAATTGTTCAACCCAGAGATATTTAAATTTTATAGAGACAACAGAAATACTTCTTTAAAATTAATTGAATCAATTTTGTGTTTTATTTCCATATTAAAAAAACTGTTTTGTTCATTGAAAATTATTGGAAAATCATATAGACCATAATCTTTTCCAGGATGCATGATTTGAGAATAATATTTAATGAATTAGTGGGTCATTGAGCTGCAATCCATTCTAGTGTAAGGGCTTATATATTAAGTACAGATAGGCGAACACTGCATTAATAAAAAAGAAAGATTGTAATTCCTTTTTTCAGCAAGCTTCTGAAGTTAAGAGCTACAATTTTGTTCTGGGTGATAATGTAGGTAGTACTGACTCTTCAGCTTTCTCCGTACTAACGGTGAACAATGAGGCAAGATTGTATTTGAACACTGCCGTGAACTATGAGTCAAAGAACAGCTATGTATTTCTCGTTACAACTCAAGGAATGACTGGAGCTAAAATATATGCAACAGCTACTGTCACAGTCAGTGTTCTGGTTAGTATATTTTCTTTTGAGCTTCTCAGATGTGAAAAAATGTAGATGCTGAATGAATGTTTAATTTTTTTTTAATTGAAAGTTTTATAATAATACATGTTTTTCAAGTATGTAATATAGTTGATTTAAAGATTACATGGCTTAAATTAACATATATTTTAAATAATAGAAAGAATAATAGAAAGAATAAATTTTTTCTTACTAATAACTAGCTGAACAGGTGCATGTTGGTTCAACCTGAGAAGAAAAAAACTTACCATTATAACATTCAATTATTACCAGTGGTATTATTTTAGAAGTGCAAACTCATTTTATGACAGATCTTGTTCAAGTGGTTGATTTAAAAATGCATGTGCGTTGCATAAGAAAAATACTTTAAAAAAACTTTTTAAAAAACGACGTTTTTCTTGTGGACTAAAAAGTAGAAAATAACTATTTACATACATTTGATGACAAAAAACGTGGGTACGTTCACCATCAAATTTCCCGACCCATCTGCCCGACCCACGTTTTTTGTCATCAAATGTATGTAAATAGTTATTTTCTACTTTTTAGTCCACAAGAAAAACGTCGTTTTTTAAAAAGTTTTTTTTAAGTATTTTATTTTCTCCTTTTTAGTCCGTTTGCTACACATGAAAAACGTGGTTTTTAAAAAAGTTTTTTATATAGTTTATTTTCTACTTTATCTAATGACTTGATTAAGTATGAATTGACTAAGTGTTTATAAATACACGGACTAAAAAAATCTTGAGCGACCAGGATTCGAACCTGGGTTGTCGCGGCCACAACGAGAAGTACTAACCACTATACGATCACGGCCAGCGCGCTCACATCGATTGGGGCCGAAGTAACTGTGTCAATAAGCTTCCAGTCTTGTCGGTATCTTTAGAAATCATGTCCTCAATTTTATGGTCCTTGGGGCGTAATTAAATTAAGCTAATTACGGTCTCTAATTGCTAGTTTTTATGATTGCATCTGAAATTGTTAGGTGAAAGTAACCTGCATGCCAAATTTCAGATCTATAGAGCAATCAGAAGTGGGCTAATTTTCGATGTCAATTTTAACAACAAACACACAAACGCGAAGCTGAGTTAATAAAAACGTGTTAATAAAAATTAAAATATAGATATACATATGTGAGCGGGTGAATGGATTATTTATTTTGTATTAATTTTATTTGTTGCGAATCTGGGAGTGCATGGTGGTCCAATGGGGAACAGCACGGGGTCCCCCTTCCGCTCGAAGCGGTCACTATAAATTGACCGCTCGGAGTGATTTTCTTCCTTTTTTTGACCCGCGGCGAGATGTAGGTCGGGTCAGGTTTCTGCGTGGCGCACCGCACGCGTGGAGTGAGGTTGCTTGGGCAACTTGGCTGGGTGTTTTGTTATATATGAATTGTTTTGTTTGTAAAAAGTTTGTTGTGTACGTATTGTGTTCTACGTAATGTATTGTACGTAACGTATTGTACGTAGTGGTTTTACGTAGTGTTTTGTTTGGTGTGGACTTTTGGATGTCGAGAATGGATGAAGGGAGGTTTCTGTGTGTCAGGGCCTGGACCATCCTAGACATCATAAGTCGAGGCAACACCAGCAAATGGTCGAACGTAATGTTTTGTTGTATATAAACTGTGTTGTTTGGTTTTGTTTTGTCTGTTTTGTGTATTCAGTAGTTTTTCCATTTTTTTATTTTCATTGGTTCCATGAAATAAATTTTATTAAGTTGTAAAAGTTTTTCTGTTTTTTTAATTTAGACTAAGGTTAGGTTATTAACCAGCCTGGGTTTAGCCGGGCTTGCACTGACCGGACAGTAGGTAGTAGATAAGCCTAGGGAAGGGTAGAGTAGATTTTAAGGTATCCCCCCCTAGCAGGGCTTACAAATTGGTAGCACGAGTGGGGTCAGTGCTTTAGTCTAGTTAAATTTTTGTTTTTCTGTTAGGGCTAGTGTAGCTTAGATAAATTTTTGTTTTGATAGGCCCTTTTTGGAACCATATGTGTTTAGTTTATGTTTAGTGTAGGAATTGTTTGTTGTTTAAAACACCCAGAGATGTGCATGGGTGAGCCTCTAGTGTGCTAGGCGGGACAAGGCGCGGTGTGTGGCGCGTGATCTGGTGTGTGAGGCAGACCTACCAGCGAGAGGCCTACAGCGAAAACCCCTTGACCCACAAAGAGGGCTACTGGACACCCGCCCCACAGGTGTGTCGAGTCGGACACACGATCGTTGGGGGCGGGTAACAGTCGGAGAGCCAGTGGGGCAAGGCGGTTGCGTCACCACCTGGCCCAACCAAGCGGACGCTCCCTACCAACGAGAGGCCTATGACGTAAATTCCTGAACCCACAAAGAGGGCTACTGGACACCCGCCCCACAGGTGTGTCGAAGCGGAGGCACGATTGTTGGGGGCGGGTAACAGTCGGAGAGCCAGTGGTGGAAGGCGGGTGCGTCATCTCCGGACCGACCTAGCGGACGCTCCACCGGTGTGCCTACGGTGACGCAAGACCAGAAGGCGTGTACAGATGAGACGTTGCAACGGCGAGTCATTAGTAGCGGGCGGGTCTAGGCTGACCCTCCCCCCTTGTCCTTCCGGATGAACGGCCGACAGGACTAGTAGCGCGAATCAGCCCTCAGTGAGAGGAACACTATCTTGGTGCCTTGAGTTTTTTTAGGGAGCACAGAGACGCAAGATTAATGTTAATGGAAATTGTTTTTTTGCATTCAAGCTTATAGGCTTGGTGTAAGAGATGGGTGCATGTTTTATTTTAAGATTGTTATATGTATTTTTTTGTCTTACAGGGACTGTAAGATTTTTAAAAGGGGTGAATGTGAGCGGGTGAATGGATTATTTATTTTGTATTAATTTTATTTGTTGCGAATCTGGGAGTGCATGGTGGTCCAATGGGGAACAGCACGGGGTCCCCCTTCCGCTCGAAGCGGTCAGTATAAATTGACCGCTCGGAGTGATTTTCTTCCTTTTTTTGACCCGCGGCGAGATGTAGGTCGGGTCAGGTTTCTGCGTGGCGCACCGCACGCGTGGAGTGAGGTTGCTTGGGCAACTTGGCTGGGTGTTTTGTTATATATGAATTGTTTTGTTTGTAAAAAGTTTGTTGTGTACGTATTGTGTTCTACGTAATGTATTGTACGTAACGTATTGTACGTAGTGGTTTTACGTAGTGTTTTGTTTGGTGTGGACTTTTGGATGTCGAGAATGGATGAAGGGAGGTTTCTGTGTGTCAGGGCCTGGACCATCCTAGACATCATAAGTCGAGGCAACACCAGCAAATGGTCGAACGTAATGTTTTGTTGTATATAAACTGTGTTGTTTGGTTTTGTTTTGTCTGTTTTGTGTATTCAGTAGTTTTTCCATTTTTTTATTTTCATTGGTTCCATGAAATAAATTTTATTAAGTTGTAAAAGTTTTTCTGTTTTTTTAATTTAGACTAAGGTTAGGTTATTAACCAGCCTGGGTTTAGCCGGGCTTGCACTGACCGGACAGTAGGTAGTAGATAAGCCTAGGGAAGGGTAGAGTAGATTTTAAGGTATCCCCCCCTAGCAGGGCTTACACATATTAATGCAAAACATGGTAAAAGAAAACATTCAATACATTCAGTATGTAATGCATGAAAACCTTGAGTGTACATCAATCACCCTCCTTATGGGTGAGGTAGAACACCCCTTGATGACCGCTTGACCGCTCAGATTGCAGGTGTGGCACTGGGTGCTAGTGATAGCAACTGGTTAAAATACTGCAGAGGCGCTAAGTGACAATCCTGTTACTGTTTAATCTTCAATGGTAGTAGCCCACCATGTCCCTTATTTAGGATTTTCAAGTAAAAACACAATAAATGTGTTCTAATAAGGTTTTACATCCATTTAAAATGAGCTACCTCTCCTATTCATATTTTGTGTATATTTCAGGACATGAATGATAACCCCCCAGTGATTGGACAATACACTGCAACAGTTATTGTACTGGAAACTGTAGCTATAGGCTCAGCTCTGGGTAATTTTACAGCTACAGATGCAGATGGGACGGTAAGTATCCAGATTTTTCTAGTAATGTTTTATTTATTTTTTAAATCAAGTTAGTTATACTGTTTTATAAGAAAACCCCATAAATCTAATGACAATGTAATGTAAACTATGGCTTGACACTAAAATCTTCAACAATATCATCTATGTAGCTTTTATATAAAGTTAAACTCAGTTTGAGAAAACTTTGTTATTATACACTGGAAAAATAATATATAGTTTAGTGAGGTTTTTTTTGGTCTCTTGGAATTAAATAAATCATATTTTTATTTAATAATAGTTGATAATGATGATTAGTAAATAATATAAACTAAAAATACTACAATTTTAAGTACTTTAATATTTAATGAGTTATTGCCTGTTGTATACAATTACAACAACAAAAATAAAAAATAAAAATGTACACAAATTCTTTGAGATAATTTCAAATCCTCTTCTGACCAGTCACCAAACAACAGGATAGAGTACAAAGTACAAAGTGTCAGCCCAAACAGTGGTAGCAACCTCTTCTATGTTGGTGAGAAGAGTGCTATTCTAACAGTTGCATCCTCACTCCAAGCTGACAGGACTGTCAACACTTATACTGTAAGTCTTGTCATATTTTATATGGGAATTAAAAGAGTAACAAATACAACAGGGAAACTGCTTCCTCTTCAAAATTTGCTTTTGTTGTTACGTTTTGTTTTATTATTGTCATTTAAAAAATAAAATAACTTGCTAAACACAATTTACCTCAATTACATCATATTTGTAACAGATAATTAAATTCAGCTGTGTAATTATAACATTTTTTTTACTGTGAAACTCATCAAGAGTTTTCTCTGGCTATTTTTTAAATGTATGTGTCTTTAATCCTTCATTTTGTAGAGGAGCATTAGCCTCAAACTACACTTACAAGAAGAAGATTTGTTCTACTATTTTAAGCTGCTGCCTACTAAATTTAAAAATGCATACTTAATTCTTTACATAATGCTCATTGGATTCTGCTTCTCGTTTCAGGTCACTGTCATTGCCTTTGATTTGGGGACGCCATCTTTAACTGCCACTGGTATAGTCACAGTGACATTAAAGCGCAACACCACACCACCTACCTGTAGTAGCACTAGAGCTAGTGCAGGGCTTCTCTTAATATTCAGTGCTGCTGCTCATATTATTGTATGCAACCGATATCTTATTGCTTAACATGTTTGTATAGTTTTATTGTGATTTGTTTACTAATTTTTGTGTTTGATTTGAAAATTTAAATTTAAAAAGGTTGTCCGTGTAGTTTTGATATCTTGGATGGCATCTTGTGATCAAATTTTCACCAACTTGTACAAATACAGAAATAAATTTATTGCATACTTTAAATGTAGGCTACATCAAAATCCAGCGAAAAATATCTAGACATGAGGTGTGACATATTTAATAACATTTCTAAAAATTCTCAATTGCAAATATAAAATATAAATGAAGCCAGAACTGAATCACAATATATATATATATATATATATATATATATATATATATATATATATATATATATATATATATATATATATATATATATATATATACATATATATATATATATATATATATATATATATATATATATATATATATATATATATATATATATATATATATATATATATATATATATATTCAGCCAGAACTGAATCACAATATATATATATATATATATATTATATATATATATATATATATATATATATATATATATATATATATATATATATATATATATATATATATATATATATATATATATATATATATATATAATTTTAAGTTTTGACTGTTAGCGGTTTCAAAGGGAGGCTAGAACCTTATCTTGAAACCTATTGGTTAAAACTCAGTTACAGAACTTGGTCTTAGTTACCTCACTTTCTTTTGGTAAAAGTTTAAATTTTAGTTTAAAAAAAAAGATTACTTAAACATGAATGGTTTTTTTTTTTCAGTTGTTTCTTTTTACTATCCTACATAATAGGCAACAGATTTTACTTGATGCTGATGGCCCATTATTCCCTTATAGTTATTGGTCACTTAATATAAATATTTCTGTTATCAACATTTTATGTAAACCCAGCTCACCTGACTCATCAAATAATTGCTTCCACCAAGTTAGCTCCCTTTTTGTTATTGAGTTTGTAACCTTTCATTGGCAACAATTTGTTTAATATGTAAATAGATTAATAATGAGACATGCAGGTAAAAATATTGTTTTTGCAATTCCCAGTAAAGAGGTGAATGATCAATACAGTGATCTAACCCATACCATATCATTATGTTAAAAATGATCTTTAAAGAACAAAAAAAAAACAGTAGCTAATTAAAAAAAATGAATGATCGGAATTGCAAGACCAATAATATTGTTTTACGTTATTATTCAGAATGTTCTACCTATTAAATTTTTTTTTCTACTTGATAGAAAAGTTTGATTTTATACCAATTCTGATTTTAAAAACTTTTATTATGCTCTATTTTTTAGCATTTATGATGACAATATATTTAATTCTGTTTGTAGACAACATATTTTTGTAAAAACAAATAGTGTTAAACAACTATATTACATACTAAATAATTATTGAACTATTTTGACATTTACAATTAAATTTGTAGAAAGATACATAGTTATATTAAGAGAGTGATTATTTCCTCTAGTTCGCTTGTCTTAATTAATATTCGAGGAATCATTATGTCTGTCAATTTTTTTTATTATAAAAAATATTGTGTTGCGTTAATTGTTTTTGGTTGTATTGTGTGTATATTTTGTTTGTTTGTTTGTTAAGAGTGATAAATTGTTTTGTTTTGTCGGCCTACATTGTGTGTTTTTTCTTATTTCTTCTGAGTACAACTTTCAATTTATTTTACATCATAGCGAAGCAATGACATACAGCTAGTATATATAATTTTGTGACCAAGTGCCATCTTAAATAAATCGCCAGGTTAAAAGGCACTGAAATCAAAATGGGATTTTTCCTAAATGACATTAAGTCTTTTAACATACACACCTCCGTAACCCTGGCTATTCTTCACATAAGGTCCAACTATTCTTTCTGACGAATTCCCTAAAAATTACCTGTTTTTTTATAGCACCTCATAGAGTACCTTGTGAGTGGTAAAATATTAAATGTTTATTAGTCAATAAAATGTACATGATTCATTACATTAACAAGAAGAATAGCATAGAACTTTAACAGCTCGCAAAATATGCATTTGGCTTTGTTTGATGGAAACAGTGCTTGTTAAAAGTCTAGTGCAATTATAAATTTCGAAGATTTTCAAAATTCGATACAAAAACAGTGTCACACACCTCCCCTTTGTCTAGGGTACGGTCGCTTCGCATTTGACCTGAGCTGACTGGAGATAGTTGGACGCGAATCAGCCCCCGACCTGACATGGGATGTAAATTTGGGAAACACGTAAAGTGATACCGATGAAGACGTCCTATAGTGAGCAGACTGGATGCCTGTAATATACAGTTAGTGACGTGATGAACGCTAGTCCTGACTTTCTTGTTGTAGATGTCGTATATGAAGCCCTACTTGTCTTGGTATAACAAAATTAACATTCAGTTGCGTGCAGAGGGTGGGAAGAAGGCGACGAGGGGGGGGGAGGAGGCCCTTAGGATCTATATCAAGGGGTAGTAGACAGAGTGATTTATTATTATTTCTTTTTTTGGAAGAAAGTTAAAAGTGTTGATGTAGCATGTTTTCTCTATCATTAGCAAGTTAACGTCATGGTGTCACCACCCCCCCCCCCCCCCATCCACCCTTGTCGGGATTTATCAAATTTGCTCTTAAAAGACTATTAACACTCTAATTAACCACTTTTTAAAGTGAAACTATCATTTTTTGTATGTTTTGCTTTTTTTTTGCCTTGGTGTCACCCCCAACCCTAAATGGTGTCACCCGGTGCGGTACGCACCCTTCCCCTCGCTACGCCCCTGCTTTTATATTAACAATTAGTCATCAATAAACAATTTAAACAACTTTATTTTCTTAATTATTTGGCACGTAATTGAATTTTCTAAAGTGATTTGGTATGAATTACATAACTGTCAAAAGTGATTTAATATCTTAGCAAGGAAAAAAAACAACTAAGAACATTGGGTTAAAACGTGGGAGATGTAAACATCTGCTATTAAAGTTTTATAGACTCCAAAACATTTATGTGTTATTATGTGTGTATGCATATTATATAGGACTATACACACACACACATATATAAATATATATATATATATATATATATATATATATATATATATATATATATATATATATATATATATATATATATATATATATATATATATATGTGTGTGTGTGTGTGTATATATATATATATATATATATATATATATATATATATATATATATATATATATATATATATATATATATATATATATATTAGCCGTCACGGCCAGGCCCTGCTCTGGTTTCTGTGAAAAACCTATCAGTAAAGGACCATGACATTTGTGTTTTGTTATCAGCATTTACATTTTAACCCGGCATTGCTCACCCTAATCACAACCAGCCAAGACCAAAACACACAAAAAAAGAACCGCGAACATAACACAAACACAACACAACCACAACACAACACAATCACGACACAACACAAACAAAACACAACACAAACAAAACACAACACAAACAAAAACACAACACAAACACAACACACCACAAACCGGGACGGCTAGTATTATATAAAATTGTATATCTTCTTGTAGTTTGGTGCAGGTGTCTATAAAAGAGCTTTCTGAAACCTATCTGTAAAGAAACATGACATGTGTGTTTAATAAACGGCATATACCCGGCATTGCCCAACCTAACCACAACCAACCAAAACCAAAACACAACTAAAAAAAGGAAACATAACATTAACGCAAACACTAATACAAGCGATAACACAAACCCAACCACAAACACAAACGAAAACACAAAACCAACCACAAACACAAATACAAACACAAACACAAAGAAAAAAACACAAACAAAAACTAAAAACTAAAAAGAAAGAACGAAAAAGAACCAAATCAAAACGCTAACCCAACCACTAACGCAAACCCAAATCGCACCATGCTGGGCGCCGGCGGAATCGCCTGTTTCAGCTTAATAAAAGACTTTAATACACCAAATTATTTAAAGTCTTTTGCACTCACTTAAACGAACGTAGGTGCCAAACCGAACACGGGAACGCCCGGGGCCCCAAATAGCACCCGGTCTGGGCGCCTGAGGATTCACGGATTCGATTCGCTTAATGACTATTGTAACCTTTTTTAACCATACTCTATGGCACTGTATAAAGCGAAATTATGCACCATAGCGCTCACAGGATAGCCCAGGGCGTCAAATTGAACCCTGGTGAGGCGCCCGCGGACGCGCCTATTTTAATATAATGAACAATTATAATACTCCAAGCTTATCCGTAAACGGAAAGAAATAAACATATAGGACATGTTGGACCTGGCATATTAACTGTTATTGATTTTTTTTTAAATAATTAGTAAACAGTAATTTCAGTGTAGTGAATAAATAAAAGGCAGTATTAAAAATATCTATAACATTGCACTTGATCAATCCCCGCTAATTATGTAATTATTTTTTTCCCATCACCAAAACAAAGTAATAAAAAGTAAACTCTGTTCCACCCGATGTTTTTTTAAAGGGAAGTAACCGTGTTTTTCTAATCAAGATACGTAATGAGCCTAAAGGACTAAATGCAAATAATTTTCAGACACAATTATAAATTTTATAAACGTGAATTTTTATTTTTTATTTTATGTAATGTATATATTGATAATTATTATTCAAAGTAAGCGAAATGAAAATTATTTTAAAACACTTTCAATATTAATTTTCAAACTCATAAATTTTGACCTTGAGCATTTTAAAAATCTAACACTTGAAACCATGGAAGTATCGGTTTTTCTTATATTCCTTTGTAATCCACGACAAACATAATTACATACATACAGAATTTCCAACTATATATATATACTAGCCGTCCCGGCCAGGCCCTGCTCTGGCTTCTGTGAAAAACCTTTCTGTTAAAGACCATCACCTGTGTGTTTAGTAATCATCATAAACCCGGCATTGCCCACCCAAACCACAACCAACCAAAACCAAAACAACAAAACGCAAACATAACGCTAACACAATTACAAATACAAACGAAAACAAAAACCTAACAACAAACCCAACCACAACCACAAACACCGATACAAACACAAAGAAAAAACAAACAAAAAAGCAAACGAAAACAAAAACCTAACAACAAACCCAACCACAACCACAAACACCAATACCAACCAATAACAACACAAAAAAACGAAAAAGCAAACGAAAACAAACCAAATCCAAACGCAAAACCAACAAAAAACACAAATACAAACCCAAAGAAAAAAACAAAAACAAAAAGGAAAAAAGAAAGAACAAAAAACGAACCAAATCAAACCGCAACCACTAACGCAAACCCAACGGAATCGCCTGTTTTAGCTTAATAAACGACTATAGTACCCACACTTATTCATAGTCTTTTGCACTCACTTAAACGAACGCGCCTGTTTCAATTTAATTAACAATTTTAATACTCCAAGCTTATCCGTAAAATACCTACAACATTTGCACTTGATCAATCCCCGCTAATTATGTAATTATTTTTTTCCCAACACCAAAACAAAGTAATAAAAAGTAAATTCTTTTCCACTAATGCAATGGTTTTATAAAGGGAAGTAATTGTGTTTTCCTAATTTATCAAAGGGAAGTAAGTGCTATAGGACTAAATAAAGACATAATTAGACTTTTTGTAAAAGATGATATTTTTTAAACACTTGTGTTTAATGAACATGCCGACAACTATTACTATCAGTTTGAAAAATGAAAATTATTTCCCAACACTTTCAATAGTAATTTTTTTAACTCATAAATTCAGACAAACGCGCACGATAACTGTCTAACACTTTAATCCATTGAAGTATGTCAACGACAAACATATGTATTTTTACATACAGAATTGAGCTTTATATATTAGATATATATATATATATATATATATATATATATATATATATATATATATATATATATATATATATATATATATAATGGAAAAAAACAGGTCCCGCGCGGATTGTTGGCCCTAGGCCCCGCGTATTCCCAACGCCGGCTCTGCTTCTAGTTTTACAATGTTAATCAAATAGTCTTTGTATTAGATCGATGTTAACAAGTGGACTTATAAGTAACGTCGGGGCACACGGTCATTTTTTTAGGATTTTAGGAAATGGCAGATTTTCGACGTGGAGTGACATAAATATTATTTTGATAATTAATTATCGAAATGTACTTAAAAAATGATATTTACGCATGTATAAGAAGGTTAGCATATGGTTTACCTAAGAAATATTGTAATTACTTGTTAATTTATAGTAGTAAAAGAATAAGAAGAATAAAGGTAGCAGATTTAGGCTCGTTTTCTAGGTTTAGTTAACTTCATTTGTATACCAAAGCTTAGTTCTAGTAGTAAGATTTAATTTGTTAGTTATATTTACTGCAATAAACTGTCTTGCCTACAATAACTAGTATTTACGTAATGTATAGCTGCAGACTAGTAATAGTCCATACTTCTGCATATAATATAGATCTATATGGTAAATTTTAATCCGTAAACAGGAAACAGTAGGCCACTTTGGCTATCCTAAACACATTGAGCTCACTTCTATTTATGAACTTAACACTGTAGTGTAGACTTGTCATAACATTATAGTAGGCTACAATTATACTAGTATTACGAGTAGTTGTGTACTGAATGACTAGGCTTTTGTTTGTTTATGCGGCTCATTGTAAGTAATAGCTATTGGAAGCTTCCAGGAAAAGCATGTTTATTCCGGCAACCGTTGCTACACCAGAATGACCACAGACAAGAATGAGGGAGCATGACATGTCGGCAACTTTTGCTGTGTTTGAGGTCTAAGATGTGTTCTGACAGAAAATTCAATAGAAATCGTACTCAAAATATACTTTTGTGCTGTATTTATGAGTGAAAATTACAAAAAAATGACTGTTATAATGATTGATATGTTATAAGTTAATAAATTGTATCGTTTGTTCCTGTTTTGTAAAAAAAAAAATTTTTGGAAAAAAATGTCCTACATTCCTGACGGTACTTATAAGTACCAATATCTGTTTGGGCCATTAAAAATTTATGAAACGAAATTTCCTTTGCCGTATGCTTTAAATGTGCCAAAAGCAATATGATAACACATTGTTTAAGAACATTTTTTATTCAGAACATAATTCCGTAAATAAGGGGTTAAGAGCCGAATTACACAGTGGCTCTGTTGGAAAAACGGTCATTTTAGTTTCACGTGTGCAGCAGTTAAGATAAACATTTTTTCGGTGGTCTACTGTATCATTCTTTAACGTGTGAGTTTTAAATTAAGCTAGTGTTTGCTTGTTACTTAATTAATTAATCAATTAGCAGATAGATTATTTGTCTTACTCGCCTGGAACTAAAAAATTCCAAACCAATTTTACAACAACAAAAAAAACAACAGAATACTTCTTTTTAAAATGTGTATTTATGTATAATAATGCACCACTAAATAGGCCTGTATAATTTTATAGAAAAATAGACTCGTTATCACATTGCATCGTCATCGGATCTCGACCTAAGTGTCAAGTTTGAAAGAAACCGGGTCTGTTTCAGTAGGTGAAACTTGAAACTTCGATCACAAGTTTACATCAAGCAAGCAAAACACAAAGCAGGAGGATTCAAGTTAAATTAAAATATATAATAAGTAATCTTTGTCAGAGGCGTCGCGAGGTGGTTTGGCGCGGGGGGGGGGGGGGGGGGCGGACCGTACCGGGTGACTCCATTTAAGGAGGTGAAACCAAGGCAAAAATAAGAAAATATTTAGAGAAAAACAATGATCGTTCCAGTTAAATGAATGATTAATTAGAGTTAAATAATGTTCTAAGAGCCAAGTTGATAAATCCCGACAAGAGTGGGGGGGGGGGGGGAGAGTTTGACACTATGGCGAAAACCTGATAATGATAGAGAAATGCCACATCCAGTCGTATTAATGACCTACTATAGATAAACATCGTTACTATTACCTGTGCACAGTTTAAAGGTATCACGGGGGGGGGGGGGGAGGGGGTGACACCAACTAAACGTTGTAACATTTGCCTGAGGAAAAAGCTTTTGTTGAGAATTGTAATAACCGATATGTCAATCGACTACTGGGATGGGGGGTGACACCAAATTTAATAATTTTCTACAAAAACAATGAATTAATAACTGTAAGAATTAGGCCCCTCAATTCTTTTTGTAAGTGGATTAATAATTGTTGTCGCCATTCGACAAAAAAATAAGGGGTGGGGTGACACCAAACACACCGAAGTTGATTGGGGTGAAATCAAATTGGAAATTTACAAATCTACATATCAAAAGGCAATAAAAACCGAGCAACAGAAAAATAGAGCTAGTTGTCTTGCAACATTGACACATTTTGACGCTGTTCGTCAGCTATGAAAAGAGTTGCCATTCGTTTGAAATAATAAATTTGTGTATATTATGCAATGGAATTTGAAAAATTATAATAATATAATTACAAATTTAGTATACTCATTAGAGGTAAATAGCTTCTAGCCGATATAAACGTTATAAAAGAAGTGTTTGGTCGCTATGTCACTCATTTTCCTATACATAAATAATAAACCGGGCGTGATCTCCCCTAAACTTTCAGGAATATTCTTATATAACACTACGGGGGATGGCACCTTGGGATATAGACATAATTGTTAATCCATTTTTAATTACTCAAACTTTTTACCTAGCTGTAACGGTACTCAAGTTATCGTGCTTACAGACACACATGGTTACAAGATTTTCTCTATACTTTGTATACGAGAAAGTAAAAATGGATTAAAAAGTATGTCTATATCCCGAGTTGCCATCCCTCGTAGTGGTATATAAAAATATTCGAGAAAGTTTAGGGGAGATCACTCCCGGTTTATTCCTTCTCACAGCTTAGCCACGACTAAGGAATGGTTGTCAAGATGGGATGGAAAAGTACGAAATCCTCGATCATAAATGTGGGCCTTTTGTTTATGATCTGTTTCACTGTCACATTACAACAAGATGGTAACTAGACCTTTTAAATTAATTGTACTCAAGTTTTCGTAAGGCCTAGCTAGTAATGTTCACTAAATAAATGCAGACTACTGAGGGGAAGTAACACAAATTATTTATAAGTGCAAATATTTTTAACAATTACTTCCCCTAAAATGTGTGTTTAATTCAATAATTGATCTTTATTCATGGTAAGCATTGTAGTAATAGTAAGTCTACAGGATATAGCTGAACAACCATATTAGACCATGTCATGTAAGAAGTATAAAACTAACCATGGCCATTGCTTGATCACTGTGGGACGGCGTGGCCTAGCGTTAGAAAATCTGAACTCAAATAAGTAGAAAGTGAAAGGCGTCTCTACTTCACTTATAAAATATGAAATATATCTAATATATAAAGCTCAGTTCTGTACGTGGCGGACATGTGGATGACACGCATATAGTAAAAAAAACTCGACTTGATCGCCATAGTCTAATATTCTTAAAGTGTTTATTATCTAAATATATGATTAAAAATTAATTGATTGCTTATTAAAAAAAAGTTTTACCCTCCAAATTATCCCACTGGCCAACCAAGCTCCAGCTTTCACATCCCCCAGCTACACCATTTATGTTAGTGAGGGAGTCCTCAATAACTCAAGGCTCTTTGACTTACCTGTGAGTAAATGGTGTTTACATGTCATTCTATTGTCACAGGAATCATTTATATCTTTTGTTAATATTTCTAATAATCTAAAAAATTATCTTTTTGTCTCAATACTTTTAAAATGTAAAAGAAAATTAATTAAATAAAGTTATTTTAATTACAATTTCTGCCTAATATCCCATAATTTTGTTTCTAGGTTAGTGACCCAGATACAGCACTGAATCAGTTGGTATTTACTTCAACTGAACTTACTACTGACAAATATGTCTACATGAGTGGGTTAGTACATTGTTACCATTCATATTTTTTATATCATGTTTTTACTTTTTAAATGTATTTCATATGTTAATTCATTGTATCTTAAACATGCAGGTTAAGCTTATTCAATGTTAAGCAGTTTGACAGAGAAGTAATTCCCCAACACACTGTTACTGTAAGAGTTGCAGACCCTCAAGGAAATGTAAATATTTTTATCTTTGTTTTTAAAACATTGTATAAATGATTTAAAGTCTATTAGCAAACATTTTTTTACAAGATCTTTATTTTTAAAATATCTTATCACTGGCTAATTGGTATTTCTTAGGTTAATTATCCTGTTTTTATCATATAAAGTTGCATTTTAAGGCTGTCGCATAACCCAAGTGATTACTTTAAGCTTATTTTTTTCCCCATATTTTTAGACTGCTACAGCTACTCTCATTATAATTGTACAAGACATTAATGACAACAGTCCTGCATTTGGACAAAACCAGTACACTTTCAGTATACAAGAAAACCAACCAGTGGCCACAATTGTTGGCTCAGTTTCAGTAAGTGATTTAGGATTCACCTGGTCAAAATAAAAATCTAAAGTTTTCAACTGCATGAAGTTTCTATGAATATTTTTTTTTTTACAAAAAATGCATGAAAAATGTGTTTTTAGTTGTTTAAATTGCCACCTTTAAATTCATTAAAACTGATACTAACTAATAAACTATACTATAATACAACGATAATAATTTATGACACTAATTATATATAATGTAATAATTTTTTATAATATACTACACTAATAATAATATACAGTAATAATGTTTAAACGAATGTTTTATCACCAGGCTACAGATGCTGATGAGCCCAACACACCAAACTCAGCCCTAACTTATGGCATTGTCCAGACATTGGACTTTGATAAGTAGGTTTTCCTGCTCTCTTCTCTGTAAAGTTTAAATATTGTTGCGTCTTGTGACTGGGCTTTGTTAATTAATGTATGCAGGTGTTTTGTTTATTAAGTTTAACTATCCTCTAATGATTATGCAACACAAAAAGTGTGTACAAGTTAGGAAAGATAGAATAAATTACATGTGAAATTTTAAGTAGGAAGACACTTATTTCCAATATTTGCTATAAAAAAGTATTTGTATCTCTTTCTTTAAAGATTTACCATAAACCCATCAAGTGGGCAGCTGGCTTCCAATGCCATATTTGATTATGAAACAAAACAGCAATACCAGATAGTTGTTAGAGTCTCTGACAATGGAAATGCCCCACGGACTACAGTAGTGCCAGTCACAGTCAACATTTTAGATCTTCAAGACAATCCACCATTATTCCAAGTTCTTAACATAGAAGAGTCAGTTAATGAAAATGTTGCAAATATTCTTGTGGCAACTATTAAGGCTAGTTCTTTTTAAAATATGTAATCATGTTTATAAATAGTAGAAAATTAAAAATTATATGGAGTATTAAAACATGTTATTAAATAGGCAGTAACTTATAGTAGTCCATTTATGCTTTGTATTTTTGTCCATTTCATTTTTATTAAATTGGTCTTTCAAGGTCAATGCTTCATAGTTTATCAATATATTTAAAAGGAGAAAACTCATTAGGTATAAGCTTAATGAAAATAAAGTTTTAAAGAGAACATGTTTAGGCAAATAGTTAAAAGAAGTTGATAATGGTAAAAGAAAGAGAACCTGTAAATTTCTTTTTTCAATAGGCTGATGATGCTGATTCTGTAAAGAGCTACAATTTTGTCTTGGCTGATAATGAAGGTAGTACTGACTCTTCAGCCTTCTCTGTACAAACTGTGAACAATGAGGCAAGAGTTTATGTAAACTCTGCACTGAACTATGAGGTGAAAAACCGCTACACTTTCCAGGTGACAACTCAAGGAATGACAGGAAATATTTTGTACACAACAGCTTCAGTCACAGTCAATGTTTTGGTTAGTATGTTTTCTCGGTTAAGCTTATCAGATAAATAACAGGGAGATGAATAATTTTAAAATACTTTTATATGGGAGAATTTTGTAAGATGGAAGGGCCTACATGTGGTTTTAATTAGTAATTTGGGGGATTAAAAATTACAAAGTTTAAATTATTTTCCTTTAATTAACCATGAGAACCCTTAATGCTCCACCAATATAAATAAAATTTAATTTATGCAGGTCTACAAGAATCTCAGAAAATTAAGATTCAATTCACACTAGCTTCAAAATATATAAAAGTGTTTAAACCAAAAAAATCTAAATTGTTAAAATAAGTTAATAAAAAGTCTAGTGACAATTTAAGCGCAATTTCCTTAATTAATTTTTTTGTGACCGAACGAAAGGATATTTTTGAAAACTTTCTTCGGCAATATTGTTCTAAATTATGGCAGGAATCGATTGGTACATGTTTCAAGTCGCTAAGTGGTCAGGTTGCCGAGTTATGGGCAAAAAACTGCATTTTTAAATTTAGGTTTTTTGGCTTTTCCTGGAAATCCAGGAAGGAATTCCGGGAATTTTTTGGGCCCACAATCATCCTCGGAACTTGCTTAACATATTTGCTTTGGAACTAGTCCTCAATATTGCTTCTTTGAGGAGGAGATTCGACTTAAAGATGCGGACACACATCCATCCATCCATCCATCCATCCATCTAAAAATAACGAATTAATAATCGCAATTGTCAGTATGGAAATTGCGCTAAAAATATTATATTTGCTGAACTTACTTACTTTTCTCAAATGAGTAGATTAACTCCCCTATTAAACTTGCAACTATTTTGTATATTTCAGGATTTAAATGATAACCCCCCAGTGATTGGACAATACACTGCAACAATTACTGTACTTGAGACTGTAGCTATAGGCTCAGCTCTGAGTAATTTAACAGCTACAGATGCAGATGGGACTGTGAGTTTCCAGATATTTGCTTTGTTTCATTTATTTATTTATTTTTAAACTTTTTACATGATCCTCTTTTAATATAATCTTATAATTATAGTGTTTAAAAGAAGAAAAAGTCTATTGGAAATGTAACCCTAGAGCAGCGGTCGGCAACCTGCGGCTCGCGAGCCGCATGCTGCTCTTTTGATGCCAAGGTGCGGCTCTCCAGTTCCATGCACAAATATTAATAATTATATTAATTTTTTTTCAAAACTCATAAAAAATAATATACTGTAAAAAAAAACTTTAACTTAATATACAGAATAAAAACACTCATCATTGAACAATGAGAGTAGGTGAGTTGTAAAATATACGGACAGCTTACAGCCGCTTGGGCACCAGGCCCAGCCCCATAGCCGTGCTGTAGGCAGCCCCATGACAACAATTCCATGTTTGCCACTGCCCAAGTGCCAACTTTTTTGAATATCGTTAAATGGGGAATGTTATTTAATACACAATGCATGCATCTACATTTCAGTATGCATTTATTTCACCTGAGTGACGTAGTATTATTGTAGTTATTAGCTTCCTATGGTTGAGCCTGGTACTGGAGGGTGGGGTACGAGTAGGGTGGAAGATAAGTCCGGTGTAAACCGAAGGACAGAAGTGACCGATACGGTAATCAAACCGATATCCAAGCCAGTAGTCGGAGTTTGCCGTATTGAGGCCTGCCGGGCTATGGGAGACACCTCCTGAACCGGTGATGTTCATAAAGAAAGAAAACAAGTTAATTAAAAAGTCTAGTGACATTTAAGCGCAATTTCCTTATGTTATCTAAAAATAGCTCTGTCGTAGCGTAAATCAAGAGCAGGGTTAGTAAAACCATTGGTTAGTTATTAAAACGTTTTTTATTAAAAAAAAATTCAGTATTTTACATGTTTTATTTACAATAGAGTTACATGACTAAAAACCATTGCGCGCCTACTGAACGTGATGACGCAGCCATTGAACGTGATGGCGCAGCTATTGAACGTGATGACGCGTGTGGTGTGGTTGGATAAATATGCCTACTAATTCGGTCCAAATTTTAATTAATTCAAAAAAATTTTTATGACCAAACGAAAGGATATTTTTGAAAACTTTCTTCGGCAATATTGTTCTAAATTATGGCAGGAATCGATTGGTACATGTTTCAAGTCGCTAAGTGGTCTGGTTGCCGAGATATGGGCCAAAAACTGCGTTTTTTCGAGGTTTTTTGGCTTTTCCGGGAAATCCATGAAAGAAACCCGGAATTTTTATGGCCTATGTTTATCCTCGTAACTTGCTTAACATAATTGCTTTGGAACTAGTCATCGATATTGCTTCGTTGAGGAGGAGATACGACTTAAAGCTGCGGACACACATCCATCCATCCAACCATCCATCCATTCATTCATACATTCATACATCCAGAAATGACGGGTTAATAAACGCAATTCTCCAGAATGGAAATTGCGCTAAAAAGTTATTGGCTTCTAAAGTGGATTGGGATTGTCGTATAGTTATATTATTTGATTACTAATTTTATCATAGTAGAGCTAGCTAAAACACTTTTTTTGCGAAACATCCGTATTTATTTAAAATAAAAAATCAAATAATGCTAGTGGCTCTTTAAAAACTGGGAAATGTTGTAAATTGTAACTTTTGGCTCTTGCGTCTCAAAAGGTTGCCGACCCCTGCCCTAGAGCTTTAATGAAAAATGTTACAGCATAATCTTTTTGATATTTTAAAAATGAACTTCAGTTCAGCATAATTACGACATACATAGCATCTAATTCAAATAATCATTTTAACTTTATGAATAAAACAAATCTAGATTTTAAACGTTATTTCAATGTTTAAAAATGTATAGCTAAAAGTATTCAAATGAAAACTGGTGTACACGATATCAGTGAAATAATTTCAAATCTTTTTCTGACCAGTCACCAAACAACAGGATAGAGTACAAAGTCCAAAGTGTCAGCCCAAACAGTGGTAGCAACCTCTTCTATGTTGGTGAGAAGAGTGCTATTCTAACAGTTGCATCCTCACTCCAAGCTGACAGGACTGTCAACACGTATACTGTAAGTCTTGTCATATTATATATAGGAATTAAAATGGTATATGCATTTTTAAATAACTTATAAAATTGTTTAAGGGTCATCCATTTATGATGTCCACACATCATAAAGGGGAGCGGTGTATGTGGTCCAATAAAGTGGATGTGTGTGGATTGGGGGTGGGGATGGGGTTTGGATCCAGGTGGGAATCCACATACTGAATTTAAAATATGTTAATGCTTCAAACACATAACAATTATGCAGCATATGCAATGTATAGATTCTACAGTATCTATCTCCATAGAATTTTTACCTTTACTTTAAGCTAGTGAAGATGGATAATAGACATTTTTGTGGATGCCCCTTAATAAATGTGTTATATTTTGTTATGTCATATGATTGAATTGAACCATTAAAGCATTTTTCATAGGTTTTTAGGCTTAAAATCTTCTCTGGCATTTTTGTTTTAGTGCATGTATGGGTTAACCTTTATGATTTAATGTGAGCATTAAACTCAAGTGTGTAGAAAACTCTTTGAAAATCTTTTGACTGCTGTCTTGTTAGGGTGGCATGTAAGCACAGCTGCAGTTATAGGTCTGGATGTTAGGACTGTTACTTCTCACTTTAAAACTACTACTAACACAATCACAACATAGATTGAGTAATGTTGTAGAATTAAAGATCTTGAATAAAAAAGTCATTGTATTAGTGACCCCAACAGATCTGAAGATGCTGTCATTACATCCTCGCCCATTGACAAATGAAACTGACTTACATTACTTGAACTTTCAATAGTCTAACATAAAAATGTAACTTTATATTTTTCTGTTACTTGATTCTCACACTCCCCATCGTTTATCATACTATTGAAAAAACACCAACACAATTTTAATTCCTAGTATAAATAATCCCCAAACCAACATGTTTAACATTGTACCCCAATTGCCTCCTTAAGTTGGACTTATTAATCTCTTCTCTCTTAATCATGTTTATGTCCGAGACACATGGGGCAGATGAAGTAGAGTTCATCTGATTCATTGACTTTGGCATATGAAGGGATTGTGTGGTCAGCACTATGCCCAGCTGCCTTTGTTTCCAGTATGTAAGTTAGGTACCCATCAGAGCTGGGTGGACTCAGGGACATTCCACTGATTTGACCATCTTTAGTATTTAGTCCTGGAGGACTTACTAAATAATCTTTATTTAAAATTGGTTTAAAATTGGTTCTTGTTTCAGATCACTGTCATTGCCTTTGATTTAGGCACACCATCTTTAACTGCCACAGGGACAGTCACTGTGACTGTAAAACGCAACACTGCACCAGTTTTCCAAGGTAGCTCAACAACTCTTCCAGCTGTAAATGAGAATATTGCAATTTCTACTTCCATTTTTAGAATAACAGCAACAGATATCGACACAAATATCACTGTAAGTTGTCATAAATTTAATTAGGTCAAAGTTCAAACTAAATACAGACATTATAACTTATAAGCATTAAAGTCTGTCTTAATCCTGTCTGTCTAGATCAAAATGGGTAAGCAAAATTTCGGGCACTTATGACCGACCAATGTCTTTGAAATTTGGCACGTGGGTCAAGACATTAAATTTTACTTAATTGATTTACCAATTAATTTTTTATGAATTAATTACAATTTTATTAAATTAGTAGGTAGTCTTATCCTACTATTTTGCACTATTAGGCTATATGCGCGTTATCAAGTTTATTTGGTGCGCAATAGTTTTAGTTATGCAACTCATTGTATTAAGCATTTTGAAGTACTGAAAACAATGCATGAAAATGTTTTAATAACAGTCTTGTATGTAACTATGCACTAAAAGGTAGAAAAGAGATTTTTTTTAATTTATTATAATACTCTACTATTTAAATAACTATAAAGATGTATATATGATGTATTGGATAATTTTACTAATATTTAGGAAGTGACCTAAGCTTTTCTTTATAGTTATTTGGCCCAAAGCTATCCATGGAGGCCAGAAACACCCCATACAGTATCGTACGCAAGGGGGGTGGCAGGGGGTGCCTTTTTTTGAGATTATTTAAATAAAATTTAAAACAAGTTCCGCAACACACAAAAAAACACTAAAAACCAACAGCAAAAACAATACTGAATCTATGAATTAACAACTGTCATGTTATGTACCCTAAATATCACATTATTAATAACTCATGGCAAGTAGCCTACGTCTTGGCTTACTTATCAGCCTAGCAAGGCGCCAAAGCCTGTGCAAGGCGCTTTTTTGTCACAAGGTCTGTCAACTTTAGCGCCTGTAAATCTGCTGTTTGTGCTATTCCTGATGGATATAGACCGTCAACCACCAGCAGATCGATCATAATTGACAACTGTAGCCTTTACTTCAGTTGTCGTCTCAATTTAGCTATACATCTTTTACACAGAGGCCTATTAACTTTGGGTTTTAAGATCAGTCTAGAAGAGTAGGATAATTGTTTACCTAAAGTGTGCCCTGTTGAAAAAGATTTTGCTCATCTCTGATATGTCAATACTAGCAGGAAGGGAAACTGCAGGTCCCTTGCCTGTCAGTTGATCTAGAAAAGTGGTTCCCAACCTTTTTCGAGTGGCGACCCCCTTCCATAAAACGTTAGTGACCAGCGACCCCCGTATAAGTAACAAGTCGAAATTAGTAAAGAAAATAATAAGCACTAAATTAATATTTTCTAGTAGACTTTCAATATGAATTATTCTTGATAACTGTTTTAATACGATGAGCAAAATTACATGCTATTAACAAGCATTAACTAGCATTAACAATTAAATTTTGCAAATTTAAGAATTCATCTTGTTATTCATCGGCAATGCTGGTAACATCAAGGAAAGCAGTGAATGGGTGACAATGCAGATTCTTCTTCTTTCAGCTCGGGGAAAATAACGCCGCAGTTCGTTGTCAAGAGATTCAAGATGCACAGAATCCTTTAAAAAATTTATCTATCACACCACACTGCAGAGTTTCGCAAACATGGCAGTATTTCAAATATTTATTTTTCCTCGCCAATTTTGCAGCTTTATAAAAATGCCAAGAGATGAAAAGAGATACTATTCGCTCCTTTATCAGGTTAAGCTTTTGTTGATGTTCGAATATATCTGCTAGGTATGATACTCTCTCCAACCACACCATCTCGTTAAAGTATATCAAAAGGTCTTGTTTCCTTGCATTTCCAAGAATATCTTGATTTCATCTTTCAATTCAAAAACACGATTGACATTTCCTATTGGCAGCCAGCGTACTGAAGTGTATAACCTCGTGATCTTTATTCATGTCCTTGCACAGTTCTTGAAACAGACAGGTGTTTAGGGCTCCAGATTTAATATGATTTACGACTTCTATTAGCAATGAGGTCGGATAAGTCTTGCTGGCGAGGGCATATGTGAATCATGCAGTGTATTCCCTTTCATTAGGGAGTTAAATCTTTTACTTTTTTCTGAAACCCCAATTTTGACCCAACCATGACGCACCACCCGTACAAGCCTCACAGCCGTTTTCCCATTTTAATCCTCCAGTTTCAAAAAACGTATTTATTTTCACCATGATATCTTCACAAAACATCAACTCTTATATGCTAACATCTGAATGAATATATTTCACAAAGACAAGCAACTGCGAACACGAACTCACGTCTGTCGATTCGTCAACTTGAAAATCAAACAATGGTGAAAGCTTGATTTCATTCTAAATTTGTCTTTTAACATAAGCATCTGCATAGTATTATTAGACAGAGATATTTGTTGCATCTTTACTGCACTGGAATCACCAAGAATTAATTTTACCATCTTCAGCATACATAGTTTGATGAGATTTTCTCCTTTGTGTGAGAGGTTTTTTTCTTGGCAATTTCTAATACTACTTCATATGATGCTTACACTAATGCTGTGTTTTCTTGGTGAAAACGTTCTGTTCGATCAAGTCACTGAGGTTTGCAACTAGCTTCGTGCCGACAAAAGACCTATGTATCTTTTTCGGTGTGTTCCGAATGACTGGTCTCAAATTGACGTTTGGCAGTTTTCATAGACTCCTGACAAAGAACAACTTTGCACAGTACAAATTGTTTATTCTCTATTTCATTTCCAGTGATGTTAGTAATGCCGAATTTCAAATATTTTTCTAAATATTTTTGTTTTTTATTCATTGCTAGAGTTTAGTCAACCAGTTGGCGACCCCCCAGAAAGCCCTTCGTGACCCCCAAGGTCGCGACCCCCAGGTTGGGAACCCATGATCTAGAACATTTTCCAAAGGCATCTTGTACAGATTTAGTAAATTTAGTTTAAAAGATATGAAAACACTGTGGATAAGAGTAAAATTGCCTCCAAAAAGTAATCTTTAAAGAACACAACAAACTGTAGATAATTTAAATAAACCGGGAGTGATCTCCCCTAAACTTTCTCGAATATTCTTATATAAAACAACAGGGGATGGGAACTCGGGATATAGATATGATTTTTAATCCATTTTAAATACATAAACTTTTTAAAATAAAATAGAATCTCATAGAAAAAAGTATTGCACACCAAGCGAACGCCGAATAAAGATGTTCATAATGGTGCGTAATATTATTAGTACTTTATAAATTTAGATGCGTTTTTGAGAAATCTGAAATAGCGTAAATTAGTACTTCCCGTCAACGGAAATTACTCAAAATTTAACAGAAGGTAGAGAATTAGATCTTTTACTTACATGTGAAATTTCATTTATCTATCTGAAATAGTACTCAAGTTATAGGCTTTTGAAAAATTCAAAGTAGAAAAAGTACCACTTCCGGTTATCGGAAATCGCTCAAAAGTTGATACGGATCTACGATTTTGATAAAATACTTACATATGAAATTTCATCAACCTAGCTGTAACGGTACTCAAGTAATCGTGTTTAAACACACACACACACACAGACACACACAGACACACACAGGCATACGGACAAGATTGCAAAATTATGTTTTTCCGTATCAGTGAGGTGTAAAACGTCGAGATTTGTAAAAATCTCGATTTTTTTTGCACGATTACAATACTTTCTCTATACTACGTATATAGTCTACGAGAAAGTAAAAAATGTAAAGATTTTATATGCAAGACCAACAATTTAGTTAAATGATAATTAATCTTTGGGCTATCTATATATATAAAGCAAAGTGGTCAAGTATAGGGCACTTCCCGGCGCCGCAGGCGCGTCAAATTTGGCACGATGGTGCCTCGGGCGATAGAACACGAGGGACGGTGACGGTTGGCCGAAAAGTCCACGGGGAGGGGGTCAAAACTGACCTCGACTTACCGGCGCCTTATATGGGCTATATTACGAAAAAAAAATTTCCTCCGACAACCTACCTTGAAATTTTGTGAGGTGGATAAGAACGCCTTGGGGTGTCACAAAAAACTCGCCATATCCGGGAAAAAATCGGGAAATGGGTCAAAACTGACCAGTCGTATTTCCCTATATAATCTTTGTATTTTATGGGAAAAACAGAGGGTCATTTCAAAACGGATTTTAGGGCCCTTACCGTCTTTACATCTGGCTAATTTTTGGCATGCTTATAGGTAAATGGCTTGGCCGTAGGGCAGACTTGTCGGTTTGACTGGAAGCCCTCGACGAGGGCTAAAAAGTGACCGCGAGTGAAATTCTCTTTATATGAGCTCTATTACGACAAAAAATTTCCTCCGACGACCCCTCTTGAAATTTTGTGAGGTGGTAGGAGAATGCCTTGGGGTGTCACAAAAAACTCGCCATGTCCGGGAAAAATCGGGAAATGGGTCAAAACTGACCAGTCGTATTTCCCTATATAATCTTTGTATTTTATTAGAAAAACAGAGGGTCATATAAACGCAGACTTTAGGGTACTTAAACTCAGTATATCTGGCTAATTGTTTGCATACTCTTAGGTAAATGGCTTGACCTTTAGGGAAAACTGTCGGTTTGACTCAAAGCCCTCGACGAGGGCTAAAAAGTGACCGCGAGTGAAATTCTCTTTATATGAGCTCTAACACGAAAAAAAATTTCCTCCGACGACCCCTCTTGAAATTTTGTGAGGTGGTAGGAGAACGCCTTGGTGTGTCACAAAAAACTCGGCATATCTGGGAAAACTTCGTAAAGGGGTCAAAACAGACCAGTTGTATTTCCCTATATAATCTTTGTATTTTATGGGAAAAACAGAGGGTCATATGAACGCAGACTTTAGGGTACTTAAACTCAGTTTATCTGGCTAATTGTTTGCATACTCATAGGTAAATGGCTTGACCTTTAGAGTAAACTGTCGGTTTGACTCAAAGCCCTCGACGAGGGCTAAAAAGTGACCGCGAGTGAAATTCTCTTTATATGAGCTCTATTACGAAAAAAAAATTCCTCCGACGACCCCCCTTGAAATTTTGTGAGGTGGTAGGAGAACGCCTTGGGGTGTCACAAAAAAACTCGGCATATCTGGGAAAGCTTCGTAAAGGGGTCAAAACTGACCAGTCGTATTTCCCTATATAATCTTTGTATTTTATGGGGAAAACAGGGTAATTTCAACACAATTTTTACGATACTTAACCTCTGTACATCATGCTAATGTTTTGCATACACTTCTATAGGGTAAACCCCGGTTGTGAGTACCGTGCCAAAGACTAATGCAAAAACCCTTACCTCAAGTACAAATCTGTTGTAGTAGTCCGTCCCTTCCCCTACTTTAGCCCTTCGAAAATAATGGTAAATCCTGTAATGGCCGGGTCATGTGAAGACAAAGACCTGGGTCGAAAAAAGAAAAAAAGGTCCTATGATGGCAAGGCTCTGTGCTGGTAAGGTCTCAGGCTGGTAGAGTCCAGTGATGGCGACTTTCTGTTCTGATAAAGTCCTAGGATGGTAGAATCCAGTGATGGCGACTTTCTGTTCTGATAAAGTCCTAGGATGGTAGAGTCCAGTGATGGCGACTTTCTGTTCTGATAAAGTCCTAGGATGGTAGAGTCCAGTGATGGCGACTTTCTGTTCTTATAAAGTCCTAGGATGGTAGAATCCAGTGATGGCGACTTTCTGTTCTGGTAAAGTCCTAGGATGGTGGTGAAGTCCAGTGATGATGACGTCAAGTGAAGGCGACGTCTAGTGATGGTGACGTCTATTGATGGTGACGTCTAGTAATGGTGACGTCTAGTGATGGTGACGCCCAGTGGTACTGCCGGACGGACGGAAGGAAGGAAGGACAGACACAGCCCGCTTATATTATAGATATAAAATACACACATATATATATATATATGTATGTATATATATATATATATATATATATATATATATATATATATATATATATATATATATGTATGTATATATATATATATAAATATATAAATATATATATATATATATATATATATATATATATATATATATATATATATATATATATATATATATGTATATATATATATATATATATATATATATATATATATATATATATATATATATATATATATATATATTTGTTATGCTTAGCTTTCCATTTCATAGTGGAACAAGGTATAACACAATTTAAAACACAGTTCAAATGTAATAATCCAATATAATTTTCAACTTCTACAGGGGAACACTGAACATGGTACACAAAAACATTCACGAACACACTGACTACATGCTACCCTAAGTTCACGATACCACACACTCCTTCCACACTAGAGTTCACACACTTGTCAGGGGAGGCGACTCTCACACCCAATCTCTCCGTGCCTACACGCTTTCGCTATGAACATCTAGGCCACGTCACACCTCCCCCCTAAAAAAAGAGGTTTCTTATTTTTACTAAAATTAAACAGCATTTCTAAGGTCTATCCTGCACAACTACTTAACATGTACAGTAAAAATTTTAATACAATATTTATCTGACCTTTTACATGCTTTAAATCTCCCTAGAAATAAATGATGGCGGGTAAAAATTATATCTCTACAATAAAATGTTGGACGTAAGCATGAATTAACTTCTTATAGCTTTATACGTCTAGTCTATAAGTCAACAAGGTTTTTAAAAAACATTTGTCATCAATAAAGCATTTGAATTGAATTACAATACATCAGAACAATGTTACTTTCCTTTCGTTTTATGAAGTTAGATATGTTGAAATAAATCTAGTCAATGATGACAATGAAAACTAGAAGCTATTCAGATAACACAAGTTCGTACACCACTCTAATTTTGGTACAGTATTCTGGCTCTGGATGTCGATTTGGATCTCGCTCTGGCTTTGGCTCTCGCTCTGGCTTTGGTTTTGGCTCTGGCTTTGGCTCTGGTTTTGGCTTTGGCTCTGGTTTTGGCTCCGGCTCTGGCTCTGGCTCTGGTTTCGGCTCTGGCTCTGGTTTTGGCTCTGGCTCTGGTTGTGGCTCTGGCTCTGGTTTTGGCTCTGGCACGGGCTCTGGCACGGGCTCTGGCACGGGCTCTGGCACGGGCTCTGGCTCTGACTTTGGCTCTGGCACTGGCACTGGCTCTGGCACTGGCTCTGGCACTGGCTCTGGCACTGGCTCTGGCTCTGACGTTGGCTCTGGCTCTTCTGCTCAGCTCTGGCTCTGGAGTCCAAACATTTTTGTTTCGATCCTGCTATCTTGACATCACAGTCTTTAACTATAATTAAAGTCTCATTAGTATCTTTAAGAAGACTATGAACTTGATACAGGATTAAAGTTACCTTCTGCTCAGCTGCCCTTGACCTAGTTCTCCACTCTGTTGACTTGTTGCCTAGATTGCGTGTCTGGTTGACTAGGTCTTCTGCAAGTGGGACAGTAGCTAGAGCTTTCATGTTGGTGGCGACGCAATGATTTGCTTCTGATGTGCTCAAGGACTGAGATGCTAATATTGTAGCTCTAAAATTTGATAACTTACTTGCTATGCTAATGTAGTCCACTTTGTAGCCAGCAAGTTCTCTCAACTTCTCTCCTAGCTTTATCACTGTATTTTTAATGTCATTATTTATGGCCATGATGTCTGCAGCACTGTTCACAAGTTTTGTGGCTGTTGATACGAAGTCTTTTCACGTCGGCGATGACTGCTGCCGTTAATACTAGATGTTTTCTAGTCGGCTGTAACGATGCCGTTGATACGAGATAGTTTCTAGTCGGCTGTAACGCTGCCGTTAATACTAGATAGTTTCTAGTCGGCTGTAACGATGCCGTTAATACTAGAAATTTTCCCGTCGGTTGTGACACTGCCGTTGATACTAGAAATTTTCCAGTCGGTTGTGACGCTGCCGTTGATACTAGACACTTCCCAGTCGGCTGTAACGATGCCGTTAATACTAGATGTTTTCTAGTCGGCTGTAACGCTGCCGTTAATACTAGCAAGTTTCTAGTCGGTTGTGACGCTGCTGTTGATACTAGACATTTTCAAGTCGGTTGTGACGCTGCTGTTGACATTCGATATTTTCATGTCGGCTCTAACGCTGCTGTTGATACTGGATATTTTCCTTTTTGTCTAGGGGTAAAACTTCTCAAAAATCTTGTTGTTTCAAATCCCGGACGAGCCCCCACTTGTTATGCTTAGCTTTCCATTTCATAGTGGAACAAGGTATAACACAATTTAAAACACAGTTCAAATGTAATAATCCAATATAATTTTCAACTTCTACAGGGGAACACTGAACATGGTACACAAAAACATTCACGAACACACTGACTACATGCTACCCTAAGTTCACGATACCACACACTCCTTCCACACTAGAGTTCACACACTTGTCATGGGAGGCGACTCTCACACCCAATCTCTCCGTGCCTACACGCTTTCGCTATGAACATCTAGGCCACGTCACATATTATATATATATATATATAATGGCGCCTTTTCTCGACTTGCTGCTCCCCCTAACCTAAAAACCTGCATAAGCCTCTGGTGCTTATAAAAGTAAAAATAAATATAACATGAAGTAAATTTTTCACCATTTACAGCCTGAGTTTGCAGGTGTGACCTACTCACTGGCAGCAGACTCAGTTGCTTCAAGCCTGTTTCAGATCAACCCCAACACAGGAGATATAACATTGACTGGTTCCCTGTATAACAGAGCGGACTCACAATACACTGTAAATTTTCATTGATTATTCTTAATTTATAACAACACCTAAATTAGTTCATTGGTTTTGTTTTCTTGTAAAATATCAATGAAATATATTTTAACTTCCCATTTTCATGCACAGTATCACTTTCATCCTTGTTACTTTTAGATCCAAATTATAGCAACTGATCTTGGAGGTTTGTCAGCCAGAGTTAATGTCATTGTACCTGTGAATAGAAATCTGTTTGTCCCAGAATTTGATTACTCAAGTTACATAGTAACGATAAATGAAAACTTCCCTCTAGGAAACACCATTGTACAGATAGCTGCTCTTGATTCTGATATCAATGTAAGATGTATTCTCTTTTGTTTAGAATATAGAAATTTTTAGTTCAGATCTACTATTGCCACTAAATAATGTAATGGGTTGTGATGTTTAAAGAAAAATAATTGTGTATCAATTTTTGTGTGAAACATTGCTGCACAAACATTAGCTATTAGCAGTGGTTTCTTTAGGTCAATAGTATTTTAAATTGTTGGTTCCTTTTATTGTTGGTTACTTTTATTTTGTTTCTAAATAGTGCTTGTTAATAATGTTAAGTATTTTAAATGATAAAAATATCTTGATTATAACAAATTAGATCCACATTTTTTTTTCTGAATATGATTAATGTTTTTGTTATAGATACAGTCTTTAATCAGTAGGATTTAAACACGTTAAATATGTTGAATGTCTTATTACAATAGGTTCAATGTATTTTCTTCACCACAGAGCCCATGGAAAGACTTGTCCTTCACTATCACTGGTGACGCTTTAGGCCTACAGTACTGTGCTGTCAGTGACACTGGCATAATCTTCTTACGTCGAACTCTGGCCTTGACCAACATTACAGAGCTCAATGTAATTTTAATTTGTTGACTGTTTAAAATAAAATTTAAAACTTAAGAATCATGAATCAAAAGAACTTAACTATGATTAAAGCAGTATGTAGAATATGTTAACAACTCTTATTACGAACGAGATATCAAAGTATTATCACAATAATTTACAACGCTTTGAAACATTTTTGTTTCTGTTTTTTTATTTTGTTTTGAAATGTTTCTATATTTTAGCTGATGGTATCTCTAAAAGACAAAGGCAATCCCCCGAGAACTGCTGCCACTACAGCAACTGTCAAGATCTATGTAACTAAAAACTCTCAAAGTCCCATTTTCTTCAATGAAACTTATCGAGTCACCATTCCAGAAAATCAAGCTGTGTCCTCATCAATCATCACAGTCCTTGCAACAGACGCTGATCCAGTGGTAAGGATGATTAAGTTAGATTAGGGTTTGGGATTTTTTTTACTTCATTTATTAATGAATTTTAAAAATGTATCTAGAGCTGCTCATTTGCAAAGAAACAAATAATTTGAGAAAAATTAACAATGTATAGACATTTTTTTAGTCCAAAACTTAATTTTCTTGGAATTTTGATCACAGTTCAACTAATAGACTTTCTACATTTACAAAACTTCTTGTTCAACAAACTGAAATACTATGTTGATAAAATATGTTATATTACAGTTCAACAAATTGACCTACTACATTGAAGGAGATCAGTCTGCTGCAGCCAACTTTGCCATAGATCCAAATACTGGAGTAATTACATTGATACGGGACCTCAGGCAATCATCTCTGAGCTCTTTTGTGGTAATTTGTTTTATAGCTAATCAATGCTTGAGTTGTTAACAAATATCTAGAGGGGATACAAAACAAATAGGTTTCTTAATATAATTATAATTTTTTTTAAAGCATGCTATTATATGGTTATGATAAAAATAAATATTTTACTTCTATCCAAGGGAGCAACAAATTCTCACTACCCCTGTGAGCATTTATGATTGGGTGCCCTGAGTTGCCCCATCCATATATATATATATATATATATATATATATATATATATATATATATATATATATATAACTATATATATATATATATATATATATATATATATATATATATATATATATATATATATATATATATTACTAGAGTGCCCATCCCCGCGTGTTATTGCTGGGATAGAAGAAAGAATGACATAATATTTTAAGAGGGTTTCGTAAATTGTGTTACTAATTGATTCTTTTTAGATTATTTTATAAAATTGAGTTTGATATTAGATATCTTGTGGTAAAAAATGGACACTTGTTGCTTTTGCTTCTGTAGATTCGAGTAGCAGCTTTGGATGACGGCGCCTACCCCAGGAGGGGCACAGCTCTAGTGTTTGTTGATGTCACAAGAAACCTCCAGAGCCCCAGATGGATAGCTGGTAACCCAACAACTGCCACGGTGTATGAAAATGCTGCTTCAGGGACCAGTGTTGTGAGAGTTTCTGCTTCAGACACTGACTCTCAGGTTTGTTCATTCTATATTTAGATTTTCTAAATTATTATCTCGAGATTTTTTTTGCTTAGAGTAGAGATAACAAACTTAAACATTCACTTAGAGGTAAACAACTGCCCCCCACTTATAGCTTAACTACTCCCCCCACCCCCTATCAGTTTAACTTTCTCCCCCAATACTTGAAATAGGTCAGGAGTGTGTTACCGTTAATAATTTATTGTCAAACATTTCAGTTAGATACAGTTTTTTTTTATGAAACACAAATCAAATTAGATTATTTAAGAATGAAATATTGTCTTAAAATTTCTGTTGTATCTGTTGTTTAATTTGTACAGGCCCCAAACAATGTGATTGACTACATCATTACATCAGGAGGAGAATACTTCCAGGTTGATCAATCAACAGGGCTCATCAGTGTCAAGGTCCCTGTTTACCTAGACACTGCAGCAAATTATCAAGTAAGTATTTTGTTTTAACTGAGTACCACTGCAATTCATGTATTTTTTTTTATTTTAATAGTTTTTAAATGCTCGGGAACTGAGGAACTAAAACTATTTGTTTTCCAATTTCAATTCCTAAATTACTTTTAATTTTTAAAAAAAAAACAATTTAAAAGAAGTTGGTTTTTTTTTTACTAATCTTGGTATAAAACTCAAATAGTTGCAGATCAATCAATTAAAAGTAACTCTTCAATAGAAATAATTTTGAATTTTAGCAGAAATTTGGTAAATATTTTTATGACTTCAGGTAAATTTGGTTTATGATTAATGATTGAAAAATATAATTTTTTGTTCAAAGGTAACGCTGATTGCAAGAGACAGAGGAACTCCTACAAGGCAGTCAGCTCCATTCACTGTTACAATAACTTCACAAAGAAATAGATTTGCACCAAAATGGCAGGCCACTCCCTTCAACTTTTATCTGACCCTACCACTAACCAACAATCAGTTGCTGAGGACTTTATCTGCAACAGATGATGACCTGGTACAAATCTTAAGATACATTTTTAAATTGTTCTTTTAAATAGTAGTAGTTTATTATGAAAATTACTCTGGAAAAAAGATATAGGTCTACAAAGTTTTTGTGAACATAAGAAAATAATTTCCTGTTCTCTAAAAATTGCATACAAGCCTGGGCCTAAATTTTTTTTTTTCAGCCACCTTTCAATCAATTGACATTTGAGCTTCTTCCCTACTCCAGCTCGTCATTGCTATTCACTTCTGAGGTCAGCAATCAGAACTCTATTAATATAAGAGTTTCCAATGCAAACCTAATCAACTCTGACACACTGCTGCAATATTTCGTAAGTTGAGCTTTAAGTATAGACCTACCTGATCACTGTTAATATCTATACAATATTTATTTAATTGTAGCCTAATAGAAATAAAAAGTTTAAACAGACTTGCTTTAATAAAGAAGTAAATAATACCAAATCTATTTCAAACTGCATAAGGTTATTTCTACTTTCAGTTTTATGCCAAAGTTCGTGACATTGGAAGTCCAAGCCTCTCAGACATAGCTCTTGTAACTTTCAATGTCAACCGTAACTTGAATGCTCCAAGGTAAGAAAACAGTCTAAAGCGTCAGTGAATAAAATCAGTCAACAAAATATGAAAACAATCTAAAGCTTTCTGTGAATAAAATCAGTAAGGTATAACAACTGTCTAAATCTTTCAATTAATTCAATATTTTACTATGGTATAATAACATTCTGCATTTTTAATTGCATAAGTCAGTTAGTATGGAAAGTCTAAATGTTTCAAACCAGTTGTGCTCTACTGCCTACATGTAAATATTATTTTGTGAGCATAATTGATTGTGTACAATTATTTTTTAGTTTCCTCACTACAACAAAGGAAATCACCATCAATGAGACTCTAACTCCTGGCTCCTTCGTCATTGACTGTCCGGCCACAGATGCCGATGGCTTTGTATCCAACAATGGTGTTGTCACCTATTCTGATGGTTTATCTTTCACCACATCTAAGTAAGTTAATTACATTCTTTTATAACATTATAAATACTTGTATACCATAATCAACACAATCTTACAAAGAAAATGTAAAAAAAAACAACATTCGCAATAGCTAATATTGGTGACAAAGTCCAAAAAAAACCAATACCACCAATTCTAATGTTACCTATTTTTATTTTTGCTTCAGCTATTTCCGTGTGGTAGAGAGGGATAGCGGCATCATTCTACAGCGTCCACTACAGCAGGACACAGCCACGACATACACTGTGATCATTAGAGCTCAGGATAATGGCAAACCCCCACTTTCAGCACCTAACACATGCACTGTTACAATCAGAGTGATACGCAACCTAAATCCACCAGTGTTTGTCAATACCCCGTATGAAACTACCATTGCACGTACTGCAACTGCAGGCTTAAAGGTTGTCCAGGTGACAGCTACTGATGCTGACTTGCAGGTTGTAATATATTGAGAATTGTGAAGTAAAGGGAACTCACTCTTCTTGTAGTAGTCTTATATTAATAATGTTGTTTTGAGTGTTGTCCCTTGCATGTCATGTGTCTTCCGGTTGCTGAATAAAGCTAGATACGTCAACATGGCTTCTATTGTCCAGTGTATCATAATAGAAACAACAATCTATTACATTTGGCGACGAGGATAAATCAATCCACTAGAAAGAGCACATGCTTACTTAAAAAGAAGCTTGCTTGAGCATATTGGCTAAGTATTTCTAGGATAATGGCGCTGTATGGCCAGATAAAAGAATTTAATTCGAATGACGAAACCATTCATGATTATCTAGATAGGTTAAGCTTTTACCTTGAAGCTAACGACGTGACGATAGAAGCCAAAAAGAGAGCTGTTTTGTTAACAGTCATAGGGCCTCAACAATTTAGGCTATTAAAGGACTTATGCGCACCAGCTAGTCCAGCTACCAAGAGCTTTAACGAGCTGAGCAAACTGCTAACAGACCACCATGCGCCCGCACCACCCAAGTTCCTGTGTAGAGCCAGATTTGACGGTAGGACTCGTCAACCAAACGAATCAATATCAGAATATGTTGCTGCTTTACGTCATCTAAGTGAATTCTGTGAATTCGGGGACACGCTGTCTGACAGACTATGTGAAAAGTTTGTGACAGGTGTAAACAGCCCTGATGTTCAAAGAAAGTTGCTTCTCGAGTCAGATCTAACATTGGAAAAAGCAATACAACTTGCAACTTCATTCCAGCAGTCATCCGATGCGGCAAGATCTCTGGCGCCCTCAGGGATCCATGCAGTAGACAGCAGGTTAGTCAACAAACACCAACCCCATCAGCGCATTTCAACTTATGCTAAACAGCCTGCACGTTCAAATCCAAGATCTAAATCTAGTAATAATTATCAAAAAATGTCATCGATGCAACGGTCCCCATGCATCTCATCGATGCAAGTTCAAGTCAGCGACTTGTTTAAGTGCAGTAAGCAAGGTCAAATTGCCAAGGCCTGCTTTGCAAAGTCTTCGTCTGTTGCTAGATCTAGACAGTCAGGACAGTACCGCAACCAAAGGCAGCACTATGTTAACTAACCCAACCAATGAACCACTCTACCAGTGAAAATGCTCAAACTGATTCGCAGCCGGAGTTCAACCTGTTCTCTGTGAAATTAACAAGTCATGCTCCCATCAATGTACCAGTTTGTATCGACGGTAAGAGCATCATCTTCCAACTTGACACGGGAGCACCTCTATCCGTCATCACAAAGAAGGACTTTGACGCTGTCACAGGAGGATCAGTGCCTCTACAACAATGTCACAAGAGCCTAACAACATACATAGGTGACAATGTTCCGGTGATAGGAGAGTGTATGGTTCATGTAAGCTGTAATGGTCAAAGTGTTAAACTTCCTCTTCTTGTGGTTGAAGGAAATGGACCACCATTACTGGGTAGGAACTGGTGAATTGATCTTAAGTTAGACTGGGGGAGTATATTTTCAGTGAACAAAGCAAGAGAATCTAGTTTTACTTAAATAGATAAAGTTATATCTGAAAATGAAGGTGTCTTTGGTAGTTCAGGATTACTCAATGATAGGGCAGTGAAGATAAGCATTACAGACACAAATCCAAGATACTGCAAAGCTAGAGTTCCACCTTATGCAATGAGGGATGAAATTGAAAATGAGCTAAGTAGATTGGAATCTAATGGCATCGTAAAGAAGGTAGACTATTCCGATTGGGCAACGCCCATTATGCCAGTGTTAAAGAAGGATGGTTCTGTAAGAATTTGTGGAGACTATAAAGTTACACCGAATAAGCAAATAGAGCTAAATAGGTACCCTATTCCTAACATTGAGGAAATTTCTTTGAATTTAGCAGGAGGAGACAAATTCACTGAATTAGACTTTAGTCATGCTTACACTCAACTAGAACTGCATCCAGATTCAAAAGTCTATACGACAATAAACACACATAAGGGACTCTACCTATATGAAAGACTATGTTTTGGTATATCATCTAGCCCTGGAATTTTCCAGGCTGTCATGGACAGCATTTTTCAGGACATTCCAAATGTTTGTGTTTACTTTGACAATGTATATATAAACTGTAAGAATGACACTGAACATCTTAAAACACTTGATAAAGTCTTGAAAATAGTTGGTGAAAAGGGTTTAAAGATAAACAAAGATAAATGTCAATTCATACTGACAGATATTAGTTTTCTTGGTTATAATTTGAGCAAACAGGGTCTCAGACCTCAACCTGAGAAAACAAAAGCCATTAAAGAAGCACCCAAACCTGAAAATACCCAACAGCTAAGAGCTTTTTTGGGCTTGATAAATTACTATGCGAAGTTCATAGGGAATCTGTCTGGTAAACTATCGCCACTGTACAAGCTGCTGCAGAAAAATGCAACTTGGCACTGGGGTAAACAACAAGATGCTGCTTTTAATGCAGCAAAAGAAGCTTTGTCTTCTGACACTTTGCTAACTTACTATGACCCAGGGAAAAGACTTATCTTAACATGTTATGCTTCACCAGATGGTGTAGGAGCAGTTTTATCCCACATAGATGAAAATGGTGACAGACCCATTGCTTTTGCCAGTAGATCTTTGAACCAGGCTGAGAAAAATTATTCTCAGTTAGATAGGGAAGGCTTAGGCATCATTTTTGGTGTTAAGAAATTTCAAAAGTTTCTGTTTGGTAGGGAGTTCACCATCTTTACAGATCACAAGCCATTGCTGGGTTTATTTGGGGAAAACAAACCCCTGCCTGAGCATGCCTCACAAGGGTTCAAAGATGGGCTATCACACTAGCCGCATACAATTATGAATTGAAATACAAACCTGGATCTGAGAATAGTGCAGATAGTCTTAGTCGTTTACCTTTAAAAAACCAAAGCCTTAGTTATGTACCAGAAGATGTATTTGTTCTTTTCACTATCATGGATAACTCCAATATAAATGTGAATGATGTTAAGGGAGAAACACAAAAAGATGAGTGCTTGATAAAAGTATATGAGTACTGTAAGAATGAAAGAGTAAACAGGTTCTTAGCCAAATACCGCACAACTCCTCATATAACAACAGGTGTTTTACCATGCGAATTGCTGTGTGGTAGGAAAATTAAAACTCTCCTTGACCTACTACATCCAACTGTTCAAAGGTCTGTTTCACAACATCAACATACACAAAAATTAAATCATGACAAAACATCCATTGAAAGAGAAATTGGAGTTAATGATAATGTGTATCTGAGAAATTATGGGAGAGGGGGAAAATGGATACCAGGTCAAGTTGTTCAACGTACAGGACCTGTGTCTTATAAAGTAAAAACAAATAATGGACTTATTGTCCGTAGACATGCAGACCAGTTAAAAATAACTTGTGCAGATAATAAGTGTGAATCTGTCAATCCCAACAGATCTGACCAGTTCACACCAACTCAGTTTGTTCCACAACCAAGTTCTATTGATATGAGTGAACCAAGTATTCTAGAGTCAGAAAATGTAAATTCTGGAATTAATGATTTAGATCCTGGACCTCCTGAGCTAGAGAGTCCAGATGGGAAGAATCTTGAGTCACCAACTCAACAGCCACTGAGAAGGTCAAACCGGACAATCAAAGTCCCAGATAAGTTAGACCTTTGATAGTAAAAGTTAAGAGGACTTTGACATCATTGTTTTGTATTTTAATTATGTTGTGGCATATTTTGCATTTGTTTGTAAGGATGTAATCTACCAAATGATTCAAATCATATAATGTTCATGTTGCAATATATTTGGTGATTTTAGGATACTATCATTTGTTCTATTGAGAGCTGTGTTGTTGTTTACTAAGGGTAAAGGGATGTAATATATTGAGAATTGTGAAGTCAAGGGAACTCACTCTTCTTGTATTAGTCTTATATTAATAATGTTGTTTTGAGTGATGTCCCTTGCATGTCATGTGTCTTCCGGTTTCGAATAAAGCTAGATACGTCAACATGGCTTCTATTGTCCAGTGTATCATAATAGAAACAACAATCTATTACACAGGTAACAAATAAAATTTGTTTACTTTGTTGATTTGGAACATATATCAAAATTTGTAACCAGTTTAAAATGTCTAAAACTATATTTTCAGGCCCCCTTCAATGTTGTGAGATATGAGATTGTTCGACAATCTGTGCCAAATATCTTTGCCATCAACTCAGTGACAAGGAGACATTACTTTGGCCACTGGCATGGCAAGTCAGGCTGATGCCTCATACACAGTAAGGGCTAAGAACATAACTATCTAAAACTTCACATAGATTATATGAAAGTAAATTAGTTTTAGAATATCTCTACTTACACAATGTAATTTATTGATTTTTTATTAAAGGAGTCTGTTTAAATAATTTTTGGTAAAATATTATCAATCTGTTTTATAATTTTTCTATTTTTATTGCTGCAAGGTTATCAGCCTAGAAAGTGTAAAATCTTAACATCGTCACATTCAGTTACTAGGCTACTTTACCACACTAAATATAAGATTACTAGATTTCTTATCGAGATAGATTATGAGTTGGCTTAAAATTTAATAACTTTCTGTTTCAGTTGTAGACCTACAATCCCTTGTTAATAAAAATTTTTATTATAATTATTTTTAAAATAAAAATATTTCAGATTGCAGTTCGAGCTTATGATGGAGGAAATCCAGCCCTCTCATCCTACAATGTCTTCAGGGTGACTGTCAATGGAAATCTTCAAAGCCCAGTGTTTGTGGTGCCTGGTTCTGCTGCCAACTACATCGCTAGTGTTGAGATACTTGAACACATTGGTTTCAACTACGACATTCACACTGTCACTGTTACAGATGGGGACCTTGTAAGACTTTTCATTCTAATTTAACTTATTCACTTTGTGTGCATATCGGCTAAAAACATCTAATTATGGAGTGCCTAAAACTGCATTAATTTTAAAATGTACACTATAAACAGTAAATTTCTGTAACTTATGTAGCAGACAATATAGATTTATAAAAAAAAATTAATCGGGCTCTAAACAAAAAAAAATCTGATAAAATTTAAATAGAAATTTCAACTTTAAACATATGTTTAAAAAAATGCAATAAGAAAAGTAACCAATTATGTTCCTTGATCCAATTAAGGAGAACATCAAAATATCTGTTACTCCTGTAGTTTATAATTTCTATATTATATTTTTTTTCAAGTAGTTCTTTGCTATTTCATTTTGTATACATACTGTTGAAATACTGTATATGTAAGCCCTTAAGGGGGATAACTAATTTCTACCTTCCTAGGCTTATCTAAATAAACTATCCGATAAGTGCAGGTTCAGCTAAACCCAGACAGATTAAACCCTAACCTTAATCTAAACTAAAATAACACAAAAAAGCTAATAGTTTATAAAATTTATTAAGCAGAAAGAATGAAACCAAATATCAAAAAAGATTTTTAAAAAGACTAAAAGGGACAATTAAATACTAAACGAAACAAAATATGACCAAACACCCAATCGGACTTCAAAACTGAAAAGATAAATACACAAATTTAATGCCATTAAAATAGTACTGAAACAGTTCTAAAATAAAATGACATGCACCACCTAACCCAACAGCCAGGAGTGAACAAATAACTGTGGGTCAAGTATAAAAAAAAACCATCCCTGTCTCTACATAAGCCCAAGGGATACAACTTATCAAAACACATCATGAAACATTAGCCAGAATTTTATAAAAAGACGCTTAATAAAAATATCAATAACAATTTAAACAAAATATACACCAACTAGCAGTAGACATAGACATAAACAGCCAAACAGTGGCGCAATAATTCTGGCCTACTTAACAAAAAAACATGAACAGTTTGTGACAGAAAATGAAACGGTACATTCGCATCTCAATCAACAGATAATAATAATAGGACACTCTCCAGCCCCTCACATATAGGGCATTCTTAAAATCTACTATTTCGGTTACCTATTATTTAACATAATTATTGCCTGCTGTATTATTGTCGTATGCTTTTTTATAGTCTACCTTATTACAACCTACCTCTGTATCCATCAATCAGGGTGATGCTGGCAAAGTGAGCTACTACCTAGTTGGTGACAATCAAGCCCTGATGTATTACCAAGTGATCACTGACTCTGGGATTATAAGGATCCGCTCATCACTACTTCAAGACAATGTTCAGCAGTACACAGTAAGATTTGGCTGCTTAAAGTTATCTCAGTTAATTAAATAATCATTATCTATCTATGTATATATAATTCTCTACATGGGGACCATACAAGACACCACCACGTAATGGCTTAGCCGTTCCTACCCTGTTCTCTAGGCTTATAGCTACCACCCACACACCACCAGTCTGGTGAGCTGTGGTTCACCCCGAATGTTTACAGTGTAACGGCTGTTAGGGGCAGACAGTGCCGGCGTTAGGGGTGGCAAACGGGGCGGCCGCCCCAGGCCCCGCGCTTGAAAAGGCTCCGCGTTTCAGCACCGCCATTGTTGTCTGAATTAGTTTGTAAACTTAAATAATATTTGCTGAATCGAATTTGAAAAGAAAAATGGCCGAAATTGTTGATTGTTATAACTGAGGCCACGGCTGATGTTAGTTAGTTATCCCAAACATGAATTGGGACAGACCGTCAGTCGATACGAACACATTAGTGTCACACCTCGCTTAGTGTCGACTCGCTTTTGACCTGAGGTAATTGGTGATGGCGGTTGCGAATTAGCCCCCGACATGACATGGGAGGTAAAATAGGGAAAACACGTAATGAGATACCCTATTGTATTCGGACCGATGAAGACGTTTTTTTTAGTGAGCAGGCGGGGTGCCTGAAGTAAACAGTCAGTGACCTGATGATGGCTTGCAGAGGAGGGGGGGGGGAGCGGATGTGGACATGTCCCTCGCATCCAGAGTGTTTATCCCTAAAATCCATAATTTATACAGTAGTAGTAAGGACATCTTTTATGTAATTATGCTTATTCACTACGATACGTTTGAAAGGCATCCCTACAGTAATTCTGATCATATTCATTTTATATATTGTCCTGTCATCTTTAAATACATTATACTTTTATTTAATTCATTTTATATTTTTGAAGGGCTTTATACACAAATTATGTCCATATTCATTTTGGTAAACTTTAACGGTATTCGTAGAGTGATTAAGCACATGTTTATTTTAATTATTTGTAAGGATATCCAGTATAATAGTTAAGACCATAGTGATTTTGGTTTTAAAATACTGTAGAGATACCAAGCAAATTATAATGTCTATACATTTTGATACATCGGGCCGAAATCGTTTTCTGGTAAAGTTCTCCTGATTTCTCAAACGTCTAAATTACCGGAAGTCTGAGCATGCCGTCGTGAAACTCATAAATAACATGAAGCTGGCTGTCACATAGTTCACTTTCTAATTATAGACACGGACCTTCTCTTGTGAGAACGCGTTCTTAACGGTAATGAAATCCGTGGGCGCTCTATAAACACGCACCTTCTCTTGAATGGCTGCAGTCAGAGATCCAGTAACGTAGTACTCGAACTGGGAGATTTTTTTCTTAGGGTTTGGCGTCCCATAGATTGAAATGTACAGTTATCCTTTACCTCAGCCCACCAACTGTCACCCACCCCAGTGTTCCACCCTACTGAGCGTGCGTGATTAAATTTGAGAGTCATTTCATTTAGATATCTATAGCCGTAAACAGTGTTTTTCACGATTCAAGCTTGGTCCGAAATCTATCAATGTTTTTTCTATTTTCCCAGCATCCACACACTCTGCACGCAGTTGTTAACACTCGATAAATTGAGAAAATATCGATACTATCACTCGTTGCTTCAAAGTGATTTCACTATTTTTCCTCAACACCATGGCTACAAGAGACAGAAATAGATTTCGCAAGTATGAATCAGGTGCATCAAAAGCGAGGAAACGCAATTTAAAAGAAGAATTTGGAAAAAACACAAGCAGGTGCGTTTGACAAGTACATACACAATCCAAAGAAAGTAGTTAAACAACAAAAACTTTTTGATTTGGTTGTGGATTCCAATGTCGCAAATGTAGAACGTAACAAAAAGGACTACAATAAGAGTACTACCATTTGTGGTGATGACGGAATAATGAATCCTCGAGTCGTTTATTGTCAGCTGCAATCCCAACGAACTTAGACAATAGGCACAAATAAAGCGGCCATTCTAAAAATGATTCTGTCGAAAATAATTCATTCCCAATGATCGTAAAAGATTCGGGTAATTGGGAACATGTATCAACGATGTCCCAGGGCAGGCTCTGCGCCGTGTCGATTCTGTCAATAGAAAAAGACATTGCCTCCAATTTGGACTATGATGATATAATCAAGGAATTTTCCTCACGAAAGGCAAGAAAAGTAGATCTTCGTTTGTGAACGTACTGGTAAGATTTTCATAAATAAACATTAATGTAAAAAAATTAGGTTTGAAGCTGACGTTCATCGTCTCTTTAATGCGCGTCTCGAACTTACATCTGTTTTATTTTTATTTTTCAAACAAAAAGCTTTAAGAGAAACAAGCAACGTTTCAAAAGCACTTCTAAGTAAATAAATTATTTTTTTATCAGTGCCTTTATGTTAAAACTAATATACGATATTGATAAGCAGCTTAAAAATAGCATATATATCGTTAAAAATATTAATTCGCGTTGAGAAGAAAAAAAACCCGCCTCACTGTTGATGTTTTAGACACCAATGGAAAAATAAAAGGCCCCGCGCGGATTGTTGGCCCTAGGCCCCGCGTACTCCTAACGCCGGCTCTGGGGGCAGCTAATTTAGCTTTCAAAAAATTTGAAACTAAGGAGAGGTAAGAAGTTCTGATATTTTCATTGTCGTCTGTGACGACAGTTTTCAAACTGTCGTCACAGACGGCTGCTTTCACGGGGGCGGGGTGTGGGAGGGGGGGGGGGGAAGGACGGTAGTGTCGAATTCACAAATTATACATTACTGAAAAGTAGAAAATAAAAGAGGAGTGGAAAGTGAGGCTGAGGATAATCGTCCTTCACTAGCTACTGACAGTGTTCTAAATCAAAATATTTTCAGTCGCAGCATTGGTAGTGTCGAATTCACAAAATACGAATTGCTGAAAAATAGAAATCTATATATATAATTCTCCACCTCCACCCTACCAGTCTGGTAAGTTGTAGTTCACCCCGAATGTTTACAATCGTAGAGCCGGCTATTAGTAATGGCTATTAGGGTCAGATAATTTAGTTTTGAACGATTTGAAACTAAGGGGAGGTAACAAGTTCTACTTGATATTTTCATTGTCGTCTGTAAACTGTCGTCACGGACCGCTACTTTCACGAAAGGGGGGGGGGGTGGCAAACAAAACATGGCCATTACGAAGTTCTCTTGCCTGTCACAAACACACTGATGACGTTCTGGTGCCATCCGCTGACAACGCCGGCATGTGCACCAACATTACTCACCCATGTGATCTCCACACTGATGTGACGTCACCTTCCCACTCTCATGTTGCTGATGAACATTTACAAACGCCGGGTTTTCATTGCAACATTTGCTCAAAACAGTTCTCACGAAAACATTATCTCAACTTACATTTTTTTTTTAAATTCCATTCAACAAACTCGTTCGACAGAGGACTTTAAATGCACCATTTGTACCAAAACCTTCCGACTACAGAGATATCTCAAAGCACATTTCAAACACACTCCACTGAACGAATGATGCAATGTGAACATTGCCAGCAATGCTTCAAAACAACTCGCACTCTTATGAAGCACTTACAAACTAAACATTTACATGTAGAAACACATTTTACATTTCTTTGCAGAATTTGCGACAGTTTTACGCATGCAGATATCTTATTAACCATTTGAAAACACATGCCTTGACGAAATCCTTCTTTGAGTGTGTACATTGCAAACGTTCTTTCAAACAGTCACATCTTCTCGCAAACAATGTTCCCTCTAAGGACCCAGAGTGTGTGTGCAAAAAATATGTTGTGTGCGCGGTGCTAAAAATGACTTGGGCAACTTTATATGTATGTTTAGGCTTGCAATTAAGCAGAGTAATGAAGGCATGCATTTTGATATAAATTAATAGTATAATGTGTAGGACTAGTGAAACGTATGCAATTAAAAGAAGATACGAATCCCATCAAAATAAAATAAAATACACAACAGAAACTTTCAGAGTTATACTTAGACAACATGTTATATGGTCGACTTACTATGTTAGTGTAATGCAATCATATGTTAATAATGTTAATACCGTAACGGTAATACAAATACAACAGTTTAACATGTTAACCATTTTAAAAAGCTGACTTGAAAACAAAATTAGCTAACCTTTCAGGGGCATTTATTGCAATTTCTCGCGTCTAACCGTGCATTGCTTCCACACCTTATATGCTTTGTTTAAATCCACATCCTCTCCAGCATTTAGATATAATTTAATTCGCATTAGATTCTCCAAATGTGCGACTTCAAGTCTATTTCGTGCTTGCACTTTAATAAGACTAAAACCTCGCTCGCAATCAGCGCTGGATGCTTGAAAAGTACAGCATATGTCAATTAACTTTGCCAATGAGCTAAATTGTTCATCGTTTAAAGTAACTCCTGCGATTTCAGTTAGTGAATTTACTGAACCTGATTTGAGTTTTTCACTGATCTGAAATTTGAAGTCATTGTATTGCGTGATAAATGACTCTTCATTTAACAAGTCTTTGCACTTAACGCACAGTTGTTTGATCTCTTTGACGCCAAACTCAAATGCACAATTTTTTAAACCAGTATGATCAAAAGCTGACCAAAACTGCAGTTCATCTCCTGGAAACCTTACATTTAAATGATCGCAGACTGATCGTATAAACTGTGTGATTTGTCTTGTGCCGATTCCTACGTTTTCATTCAAAATTCTCTTGGCTTTATCATTCCAATATATATCTTCACTCAGGTATTGTGCTTCTATTTTGCAAAATTGATGTGCTTCAATAGATGATAAATTACTTCGCTGCAACAACATTGATAGATTAGCTAATTCAGTTAATACATCATTAACGGTATAAAGCGCAACTTGATACAGGGGATCTCTTAATGATCTCAAAACATAACAACAAACAGGATCATTGTAGTCTTGGACTTGTTCTTCACAGTAAGCAGCTAAAACATCAAGATTTCTAACAAAAGCACTGACAGGAAAGCGACGTGACAACCAACGAACTTCATGAATTGGTCGAAAAGAAATTACATCCAAATCATGCATCTTGGCCAATTTTTCAAGTGCGCCCTTTTTAACCGAAGATCGACTAAATAAGGTGTAAACCGTGAGTAAGAGAACCTCAATATTTTTAAACAAGTTAACATCTTTCCAAGCGTCAGAAAGTGCCAAGTCTTCTCAATGAGCAACACAGTGCTGTTCAACAAGATGGGGGACCTTAGCCTTCAGTAAAGCAGCTAATCCCTTCCTACGGCCTAACATAACCGATGCCCCGTCTGATGTTTTCATTACCATGCGGTTCATGTCAAGTTGATGTTCAGTGTAGTACTGTGTTATGGCTGCCTCCAGAGCTGAGGCATCACATGCGGTAAGCTGAATTATTCCGCCAAAAACGGTTTTGTAGAATAAAGAATTGACTGGACGAAATTTAAAATAAAAGATTAGCATTTTATGTACTGTTATGTCAGTACTTTCATCAACTATAAGCGTGTATAACGATGCTACTCGAAGTTCTGCCAACTGTCTGGTATAGAAACATACTTCACCATGTGGTTATGAATCAGTTGTACCGACAGCATCGAGGAGTTCATCCTAATGGCGAGAAGAACATTTTCCATTAGAATTCGAACTTGATCCTCGTTTGACCGCTGGCGCTCATTTTGTTCAAATCGTTCTTCTCGCTCAGTGTTAGTTTCAATCAGCAGACGTTTAAGACCAGTCCCATTTGAGCGGTTGTACAAAATCGCAACATTTTCTTCGTGAACACGATACAGTAAATGACGTTTACAGTAGTCAAGCTTCCATGATTCCCAACGCTTTCCTGTGACAAATTCGTTGTCTTTGTTGGTTTTGTTACAAGTATTAGCAGCACAGAACTTACACTTCAGTCCAATCTCATCGGAATATTCATAGATGCTTCTTAATTCAACTGAAACATTCTTAGAATCTGGCGTATCGCTTGTTACTTTAACTTTGAGCCATTCCAGTTTAAATGATTTCAGTTTTTTTTTTTGCTGCATTGTTTTACCGCTTGTTACACACATTTTTCTTTTCAACATTATCAAAAAAGCACTGAGTAGTTAACTTTTATTCCTTATTTACTAAACCAGTCTGTGAATACTGAAACAGTTCGATCCAGGTGCACGTAATAATCCCAAGAATTGGATATACAGTATATAAATCCTTAAACCAAACAGAGTAAAACACATCCACCTTAAGTAACCTAGAATTTGCATCTGACTTGGATAAACCGTCATAGTATCAAGGAGGTGGGTGGGGTTGGGAGATGGGGGAGGGCAGTGACAATAGAAAATAAAACCTTGCATGGTCAGCTACTAGCCACAATCCCTTTTACGGTCAGTTTTGGGGTAAACCATTAAATCAAGCAGAGGGAGGGTCACCCAGACATCACATCGGTACCCGCCCCGCTCAGTTGAGAGTTAAGTCATTAACTAGACCTGTGGTATGACAACCGAGGTCACCCCCTCCCCCAGGGGTCACAAGCTTTAAGTATCAGTTTGGTCGAGGCCCCAAAACACAAAGACTGTTCGTTTAACAAAACAGGTACTAAAAATGTCGCTTAATTCAAGCCACTGACCATAATTTTTTTTAGTGAATCAGACTTGCCCGACGTTCTGATAATCTGTGCGCGGCATCAGAAAATGACTGCGCGGCACATTTGAAAGTGCTGCGCGGCCGCGCAGCCGCGCAGCTTAGAGGGAACACTGCTCGCAAACCACTTACACATTCATCACATTCAACTTTCCTCTGCGTTTCAAGAACACACTGTCATTTCCATCGAGGACCATAACATTGGACTACCTACAGCACTATGTACTTCTTGCAATGCTCTTCATTGGTCATCAGACGTAAACAAATCCGGACATTACACTAAGTGTTGTTATAACGGCAAAGTGTCTTTGCCACCGCTATCCCAAACTCCTCCTTTATTACAAATCCTTTGAGTGGCAAGGATCCGCTGTCCCATTTCTGTGATCATGTCAAGGAATACAACTCTGCTTTAACTTTCGCATCAATGGGCGCCCACATTGCTCAACCACCAGGCCATGGACCTTAAGGCTTTCCGAATCCGCGGTTAAATTTATCATCAACTCTCTCCTTTGTACACCAATCCTAACACGACCCCTCGATACGGTCAACTATATATCTTCGATTCTGCTGAGGCTACCACTAAACGTTTGCAAAACGATTGTAACAGCACTAGCAGTGATATGTTGTTGTTGCAACTAGGCGAAATGATACGACAGGTTAACCCCTTTGCTAAATCGTACATGCAAATGCTCGACATTATCTCTCATAGTAACCCTATTACTACTGTACGAATTGTATTCATGGAAACTCCAACTCTGGATATGAGAAGGTACAACGCACCCTCCTGTCAAACTGATGTTGCTGCTATCTTTGTATGGGAAGACGGGAAACCTCCTGCACAACGTGATTATTGGTTTATCCACTGCTATTCCCTTTATGGAGATCCAGGCTCGGGGGGGGGGGGGGGGAGTAGATTTCTCCCCCCCCCCCCCCCCCCCCCGAAGAGATGCCTGGAAGAAACTCTGGTCGTCATGCTTCCTCACAAACCTCACAAATTTGCCTTTTACCATTACGCGCAGACAATTCCCTGTTAGATTAGCCTCAGCAATGACAATGTATAAAGCACAGGGCCAAACATTCAAAAAGATATGCCTGTAACTTCCAAAACCTGTTTTTTTTCACTCATGGACTATTGTATGTTGCTCTCTCCAGAGTTCTTTCTTTTCATTCACTTACAATCGTTTGCCCAAACTCACCCTATTTGGACAGCTGTGTCTATCAGGAAGTCTTCGGTCACTAAACAGAGGCGTATGTTACGCCGCGGGTCGACTAGTAAAGTTATATTTCTATTGCATTTCAAGCCATAACTAAAAAATATATATATTTTTAATATTTATAAGATAAAGAATTATAAGAATATCAGCTGTCATATAGGCTTATTACACTAATATTTTTAAAATCGTGTGTTAATTATTCTGTTAAACAAGTTTGTAAGCATTCTCATGTATGTTAATTAAATGTGTTGTATTACTTACCAGTTGAATATTATTGCTCGGGACGGTGACATCAGTAACCCTAAAGTGTCTACAACTACAGCTACCGTCTCAGTCAGTGTGTACAGAAATAAATTCTCGCCACAGTTTATCAATATGGCTGCTTACAATCAAGTGATTGATGCCAACCTGCAAGTTGGGCAACGTGTAACAGCTGTAACAGCAACAGATGCTGATCGAGTGATGAGACTATTTCTGTGTGTCAAATTGAATATTAAAATTAGTTTTACTTCTCCATCTTTTTGTCAAATTTTATTAAACGTTGAAATTAGTTTTACTTCTGCCAAACTGAATTGAGTATTAAAATGTGTGTAAATATCTTTTTGCCAAAATGTATTGTTGAAATTAGTCTTCTACAAATCTATTTTAACTGATTGAAAAAATGCTCTTATTTTACAGAACACTTATGAAAGGGTGGATTACCAGATAATTGGGGATGGAGATTCTTTTGGACTCTTTCAGATAAATTCTAATACTGGTGAAATCACACTAAAGAGCTCTTTAGCCAATTATGGAGCAAGTGTTTACTATGTAGGTTCTAATAAAGTGTTAGATAATTAATTTCAAGTCTTAACATTAAATATCAGTGTTTTGGAACTATATAGGGGCCTACTCGATTTAAAAAGATACATTTTTTTAGTTAATGTATTTTATTTCATATGAACTCATTTCTTTGCTGAAATTAATTTTTGAAAGGATATATTTAGTTAAAAAAAATTTGCAGAAAGAGGTGAATGGGTGTGTGTTTTATCGTTCTGTCCATGGACAATGATTCTAAATTTAACACAAGTAGTCTTGCTACTGTTGGAAATGTTTTGTTTTTCAAGGTTTGTAATAACTTTAAAAAAATGTGTGAAAATATAAATTGTGTATTCGATATCAGGTGAGAGTCCAAGCTAATGACAATGGTGTGGTCCCTCACAAGTTCAGTAACACAACAGTCTTGACCATCACGGTCAACCAAAACCTGCGCACGCCTGTTTGGAATGTTGTTGACCAAAACAACCCAGCTTTCACCTTTACAATATCAGAAGATCAGTACCTGTATTTTCCATTTGGGTTCCTGTCTGCTACTGATGGTGATTCTCAGGTGTGTTAGTAATTTTATGAACTGTAAATTTTTTTGTGTTGGTTTGTGATTTATGACAAGCAGTTTATGCTTGTGCTATAGTGAGAAATGCTTTGTCAGTTTGTGCTTTAGAAAAAGGATTTTTTTATGAGTGTATTTTGTAAGATCGGTTGTATTATTTTGGCATCTTGTATAATTTGTTTTTATGATAGTGTTTTATAGGGTATGCTGTCATGGTATGAGGCATTTTGTGTTTATATTGCAATGTTTTAGATTATCATTGTTTTTCTGTGTTTTTTTACTTTCTCGTATATACGAAGTATAGAGAAAGTATTGTAATCGTGCAAAAAAAAAATCGAGATTTTTACAAATCTCGACGTTTTACACCTCACTGATACGGAAAAACATAATTTTGCAATCTTGTCCGTATGTCTGTGTGTGTGTGTGTCTGTCTGTCTGTCTGTCCGTGTGTAAACACGATTACTTGAGAACCGTTACAGCTAGTTTGATGAAGTTTCATATATAAGTATTTTATCAAAATCGTAGATCCGTATCAACTTTTGAGCGATTTCCGATAACCGGAAGTGGTACTTTTCCTACTTTGAATTTTTCAAAAGCCTATAACTTGAGTACTATTTCAGATAGATAAATGAAATTTCACATGTAAGTAAAAGATCTAATTCTCTACTTTCTGTTAAATTTTGAGTAATTTCCGTTGACCGGAAGTAGTAATTTACGCTACTTCCGATTTCTCAAAAAACTAATGTAAATTTTTAAAGTACTAATAATATTGCGCACTATTATGCGCTTTTTTATTTGGCGTTCACTTGGTGTGCAATTAATTTGTCTACGAGATTTTATTCTATTTTTAAAACTTTAAGAATTTAAAATGGATTAAAAATCATGTCTATAGCCCGAGTTCCCATCCCCTGTTATTTTATATAAGAATATTCGAGAAAGTTTAGGGGAGATCACTCCCGGTTTATTTTAAGATGGTGTGAAACGGTAATTATTAAACTATCAGTTTTATCTATAGACTCTATTTTCACCCATTAAAAAGTCATACTTAAAAGTATTTTAGCATAATCAATACAATTTAATACACACTTTAAATCACATATATCATATAATTTTTAAAATCTATGTTTATACTCATCAATATTTTATAACTTATAAAATTATCAATGTGATAATGCTTGCATGATGTTCATTCCTCCCTGTATTATTTTTACTAGTAGATGACCATGTTCTTTCTTTTATTCCTATAACTCAGCCTCCACACAACCTTGTAGACTTCTACTACAGCCCAGCCTCTCAGTCTGCTCTTGAGTTTTTCCGTGTGACCAGAGATGGCGAGATGTCAGCAATTAAGTCATTGGTCGGAGCAACAAGCAACTCTTACACTGTAAGTTTTGTTACTTGATCAACTCACTACTGTTTTGTTTTTTCAAATCAGAAATCAAAATATAAATCAATAACAAAATATTAAGTTTTAAAAAGTATCAATTTTAACATTTTTTGGTCTTTTTTTTTTTAAATTTACAAAAGATTGAAATAAAAAAAAATGTGTCTTCCCTACAGTGGACCATGGGACTGAGTGACAGGGGCACTCCTATACGCAACAACTCTCGCCTGGCCACTGTGACAGTTTTAATCACCAGGAACAACAACGCCCCCTACTTTACAAACTGCCCGCCTGCAACTGCCACAGTTGTTAGAGAAGACGCTGCTCTTGGCACCACAGTCCTCCGTGTCACAGCCTCTGACAATGATCCCCCTAGTTCTGTAAGATTTTATTAAAAATTTTGTTTTTGAGTTACTTATAACTTTATTTTTTGTTTACTCTTAATTCAAATGTAACTTTATACCTGAAACTCTTCTGTCTCCAGAGATTTGGAAATATCACTGTGTCATTGATTGGGGATGGAACCAGCAATGTTTTTTTCCGCCTCAACTCTAATAATGAAATAGTTGTAGATGGAAACTTAGCATCAACCAGCACCAGTAGTTACCAGGTAAAGATTGCTAACTGGATTGCTAGTATTTTGGATACTTTTAAAAATAAGTATAGGCCAATATAGGGCCTACATTTTTGTACAAACTAACTTCTAACAATCTCTCTTGTTTTTTGATAAATGAAATAATTTAGTAAAAATTATATTACTGTTTATTCACTTCTTAATAAGAAAAATGAATAATGTAATATACATTATGTAAATGTAATTTTTTTAATACGGGTTCCTTAAAATTTAATTACTTTCTTTAATTAGGCTTGTGTTACTGTGGTAGTAGTCAAAAAATCTCAAGTTTCTTCTCAAGCTGATATTTAAGAAATTTGTATTTTCTACGTGGCTGTTCTGGCAATCCTCCAATTCTTAGGACCATTAAAAAGCATTTTACCATACATTTTCTTTCACTCCTACCTGCTGGTCAATGATGCTAACTAACTGTATCAATTATTATATTTAACTTAAATGTTGGCTGGTATTCTATTGATTATTCTAAAGTAAAATAGTAGCTTGTTTGCTAATTAAATGGTTTATGTGATTAGGTGCTAGTTGCAAACACCGAAGGGGTTTATCTAAGATATTGGGGATGATCAAGCCAGGGGAAATCTAAAATCTAATGAAATGTTATCAGCACACGCTAGTGGTTAAGGGGTACGAGCTCTATGCAGGTGCCTGAGTGATACGTAACAATGGGAATACACCCACGGTGATTTATGTCTAAGTTGAGTTAGGGCATGCCGTTGGACGTTACGGTAGAATCATTATTCATGACAGGCAAGTGGACGCCAAACACGATTCCGATGACCATTGGGAGACTCTAGAGCTCCAGTCCGACCGTTAGACAAGAAGCAGCGTGGGGACCTTAGTTGTCAGTTGTGAAAAGCGTGAGTAAATATTGACTGGGCATTATCTCGAACATCAAGTGACGATACAGATCCTGATTCGGAATGAGAGACACCTGTTCCTCGATCGGCCATTAATTTCTGTGATTTTTTTCCGTTCACCGAGATAGCCCACTGGTATATAACAGGAAGGGTGGTTAAGGGTCTAGAAACTACTTTAGCCTATGTATTATGAAGTGGAAGTAATGTGTTTATTTGGGGGAGAGAGTTTTAGTGTATGATGTTTTGAAATACAAGATGATATAACAGGTGAGTATATGACATTGTTTTAGACAGTTGAGAATAATACATCAAAATAATACAAATTCTTCTTATTTACCTATTGATTGTAGACTAGTTGACATCAGAGTTTATTTCATGCATCTCTTCGGGGGGGGGGGAGGGGGGGGACTCTGCCCTCCTAAAGAAAGTCTACCCCCCCCCCCCCCCGAACGAAATGAAATTTATATAGAAAATTTATACTTTTAACAGTGTCCGCCCCCCCCCCCCGAAAATTTAAAGTGCCCCCCCCCCCCCCCCGAGAAAAAAGTCAGGAAGAAACACTGGTTGACATTGCTGTTGGCTTGCTAATTTTGCTAATTTTGTCAACTAGTGTGGTGCAGAATACTTTTTACAGCATCTGAAAACCATGGCCCAAACTAAAATACAAACTGTCACATTTTTGGTCTTTGTCCAGATTTTGGTCCAAGTTTCTGACCAGGGAAGTCCACCTAAACAGGCCCAGTGTGTCATTCCTGTCAGCATCAACCACAACTTGCAAGCACCTGTCTTCGGCAACACTAGTTACAGTGTGAGGATCCTTGAAAACCTGCCACCAGCCTCTTCAGTGATCAGGGTCATTGCCACAGATGCTGATATATATGTAAGTGATTTTCCATACATGTCCATACTATACGTGTATAGATTTTGCTTCGATTCTTATCTTTTTGCCCGCCTGCTATTTCAAATGTGCTCTCTAACATTCTTCCGGTTGTGTTTATAAAGATTCTTCTGCAACTCCCTGCAGAGCATAGACCATTTACAACATTACATTTTCTGACATTTGCTATGCTTCCATTTGTTTCTAAATCTTTCTAATATTCATCTTTTTCGATTTTTTCTACACCAGGTCTTTTTAAATCTCCCTCTTTTTCTAAATCCTTGTGGCTTCCATGATATGCCTTGTTTTGGTAAAACTTTTTTCTGGTTTCCTTAATGTCTCTATCTTATTTTCCAAATTTCTTGCTCCACTTGGATTTGGTCCAGTCTTTTTCCATTCTGATTTATTAGGTACTTGATCAAATAACTTTATATTTAATATAAAAATAACTTTTGCCATGCAAGTTATTTATAAATTTAAGATGGTAGCTAGTTCTAACACCTTTGTTGATCTTTAATTGTTAATGCCATATAATAGGTTTTAGAGTTAAAATATGTACTTTATATACTAGTTATTTGCCTTTTAAGCAATGCCAAAATTCCTTATACTTTCTTTATTTTTGTCTTCTGTATTTATGCTGCAGAGTCTCCATCCCTACCTACTTTACGTCCTAGATATGAAAACTTCTCTACTTTTTCTAAGGCTCTTCCACCTCAGCTACCTTTGCATTATTTGAAATTTATTCTTAATATTTCAGATCTGTTTTTATTTGTTTTGATTAATATATTTCATGAAATCCATTTGCTTTGAGATTAAAATACTGTCGTTTTCAAAGTCCAAATCTTCCAGATGTCCATTGAATTCAATTTTTTTCCATTTTTGTGGTATTTTCATGAGATAGTCTATTACTATATGAAAAAGGAAATGGCGACAGAAAGCATCCCTGTCAAACCTAGGTGTATATGTGCGCTGGTTATTTTATTGTTTATCTTTAAGTAAAATGGTTACTAAGGTTGCTCATTAATGGCGCTCACTCAGGATAGGATACACTAGAATAGTTGTATGGTGCAGGCTATATTTTAATGTATTGAATATTATGTCGGCCTATTTTGGATGAGTTTTTCGTTGTCATGTTTTGCTTGTTTTTTGTGTGTTTTTTTGTGTTATATTTTTGTTGTGTTTTATGATAACTAAATCGGTGGTTAATGTTCCCCCAACCCTACATCACAAAATGGCGCTTTGGTCTTACACAGATGGTCTGTCTTTGATGTCACCAGGTAATTTATGGGCTTTAGGCAACGTTTATTAACCTAGTCTCCAGGACTCCAATTGTGCAACGCCCACGGTGTGAATCCAATCAGCGGTGTGGACGGTCAGATCCTAGCTTTCCCAAGGCCAGTGCTGGCCAGTCGGTGAGCGTTCCGGTCGTAAACTGCCGGCCTCACTGTACCCAGCGTCGCACCAGCGATCGCCTTGGCCAGTCCCAGGTTTCTCACGGCCATACATCACAGCTTTAGCTTGACCACGATGGTCAGTTAATGAGCATGCTTCCACATTTCCTTTTAATGGAGTGTCCAGCACAATGGCGGCAGGCTACGGGTCGGTCCGGGTCAAGCAGGTGGTGGTCGCAATTGTCTGGGAGATGAGAAGGGGTGGGCAAAACTAGCCTATATAAGAGGAAGGGTGGCTATGGTAAATACGCACACATAACTGGGGCTAGATACTACGTTCTAGACCTTGGATGGTGGCAGCCTTAAGGCTGGCAGCGAAGGCTGGTTTATTGTATCTGTGGCCTGATGTTTATACCAGTGGCCAAACGTCTTGTTAATGTGGATAGGTGCTTCGATCCTGTGGCCATCATTTTTGTTTCTGTGGCCTTACCCTGATGTTTATACATGTGGCCCGACGTTTGAACCAGAGGCCGATGTTTTACCATGGCTGGAAATCTTCCTCCCGCTTGTGTGTCAAACTAGATCGTTGTGAGCAATACTGAGTATTCATAGAAGGATTTTAGCCGTATTTGAAGCAGTACAAGTAGTGAAGCTAAAACTAGGAATGGATAAAATTTACATGTGTGATTCAGAAATTACATCGATGTTTTGTTAAATACGAAAGATGGGCCTTGTCTTATATGTATTGTTTCATTGTTATTGAACATTTATAAACCAATGTGAAGTCCAATGAATGTAAATAAATGTATTGAACTGTGTGTTAATACATTTTATTCTTAGTTTCATATTAATATTGTTTATGTGTTTAGAACTTAGTTTGTTAAAGTCTGGTAAACCCTCCTTGTATCAACGAGGATGCAAGGATGTGAGAGAATAAAAACCATCATCACTCTCTCTATCTCTTCTCTCTATTGGTCTCAACCTCCCCCGTACATATATCTCAAATGCTATGTTAGCCTATCTTTATATATGATGCTGCATCTATATTTTGGAATGTACTTCTTATAATGTTAGCTATTCCTGCAGAAAACCACAGTGTCACAATAATTTCCACAAAGTTTCTTTGTCTACATGATCAAAAGTTTGTTCTAAGTTTCTCTAAACTTTCTACAAAGTTAATTTTCAAGCCAACATCCTTTTCAATAGATTGTTTTATTCTAATTTTGACACAGGTTATTTAGTATAAATATGTAGATGTTGGTCTGCATTGTTTTATTTTTTCCAAAATACCTACTCAAACCTTTTCAAAGCAATGATAACAAAAGAAGACCTCCATAATTTAAGCCCCGTTTAACAGCTTACTGTGAAGTTTTACTAGATGTCCTTCTCTACAGTCCTAGATATTTCACCTTTCCCCGTCTAATACATATTATTTTTATAGAGTATGTTTTATTGATATATCACAGTCTGCTTTGATAGCTTCTGCAGGAAAATGATTTGTTAAAGATTATTTTGTTGTCTTACAAAGAGATAGAGTAAAATATTTTACAGGCCCCAAACAATGTGATTGACTACATCATTACATCAGGAGGAGAATACTTCCAGGTTGATCAATCAACAGGGCTCATCAGTGTCAAGGTCCCTGTCTACCTAGACACTGCAACAAGTTATCAAGTTAGTATTTTGTTAAAGCAAAGTACCAGTGCAACTAATAATTTTTTATTTTAATTATTTTTTTTAATTAAATTAATGTTGGGGAAATGAAATAACCAAAATAATGTTTTTTAATGCCTATAATTATTTTTAAATAAAATTTTTTTAAAAATGCTATCTTTTTATTTTACTATAGTCTTGGTCCAAAATTCAAATAATTGTAGATCAATCAATTAAACTCTCTATATTAGTAATAAGCTAGAAAATAGAAATGTATGGTAAATTTTGTTTCAGCTTCAGGCGGCCAATGTGATTAACCAATATTAAGCTAACCATCTGTATTTACAATCTAAGTGTATAAATTTTTTGTTGTAAGGTAACACTGATTGCAAGAGACAGAGGAACTCCTACAAGGCAGTCAGCTCCATTCAATGTTACAATAACTCCACAAAGAAATAGATTTGCACCAAAATGGCAGGCCACTCCCTGCAACTTTTATCTGACCCTACCACTAACCAACAATCAGTTGCTGAGAACTTTGACTGCAACAGATGATGACTTGGTAAGGATATGTATTTTAAAATAATTCATTTTAAATTTAAAGAATTGTATTACCAAGATGAGGTCAGTAAAACATAGTTTTTGCAGACTTCAAATTAGCTTTCTGTTTTTAAACTGCATGTTTGGCTTATATTTATAAAACTATAGTTAAGTATTTTTGTTTCAGCCACCTTTTAATAAGTTGGAGTTTGATCTTCTTCCCTACTCCAACACTCAACCATTATTCACTGCTGAGATCAACAATCAAAACTCTGTTAATATTAGAGTTCCCAATGCAAAACTTATCAACTTTGACACACTTCCACAATATTTTGTAAGGGATTGATGAATTACAATTTGGAAATTATTTATGTTAAATATTTTATTAATACAAAGATCTTAGAAAACAAATGTATGATAAAAAATTATTTCAAGCTACATCAGGTTATTTTAATTATTTTCAGTTTTATGCCAGAGTTCATGACAATGGGACTCCACGTCTCTCAGACATTGCTGTTGTAATATTAAATGTGCATCAAAACTCAAATGACTCGAGGTATGAAAACGGTGTAACATTTTTTGTCAGGAAATCCTTTTTTACTCTTTGAGGAAAAATTAAAACCAAAAATGTGCTGAGTGAAATAAAAAAAATAAAAAAATTGTAAATTATATTTCTTTTTTACATTGGTTGTTGATAATTTGTACCAGGAAAGAAAATGAAAATACCTCTGGTTGTGTAACTTTAATTTTTTTTAGTTTCCCCACTACAACAAAGACTGACACTGCAGATGAAGATTCAACATTGTCCATGGGTGGTAAGATTGATATTATATGAATTTTTGTTGAAATCTGCTTTTTTGTTAAGATGTTTGTTTTGTTTTGTAACAAATTTGACTGTCAGTAAATGCTGACATTTGCCCTGGAACCTCATCTCGATCAACACTTGTGCAAATTTTTGTTCCAACAATTTAATTACAGAACATTCTTTGGTAAGTTAACATTATTTTAAATAATCTTTTAGTCCTAAAAATTAAAATCATGTTTTATATAAAAAGATCAAACAGAAAACAAGAATTGAAAACATGCCTATTGATTTTATGGTTATAATCTTTTTTTATAATTATAGATTTAGTGATTATTAGTAGGCTAATTTCTTTAAAAAGTATACAAGAGGCTTTACTATATTAACTTTTTTTTATCCATACAAACTTGCTCCAAGCTAAAGATTAGAGCAGCTGAAGACAGCAAAAACTGCACATTTACAGAATATGTGAGAATCATTGTAAAATTTAATTTTAAATATATAAGAAAGCTTATACATAAGCAGAACTGGCTTCATCTTATTGTCAAGAGGAGCTGCAAACTCAAGAGGCTGCAGTTACTTCTGTATGAGTTGTGAAGTATAATATGGATACAAGAACTTCTTTCTGGATTTTTATTGTTTAAAGTTTGTCTATTTTGGAAATACATAGATAAACATAAGAACATAGTATTGCTGAATCTTAGAGAGACATTAAAAAAATGATATTATAAAAGGAGAGTGAAAATCCATAGTGAGCAGCAAAGAAGGTAATCAGATGATATAGTAGGCCTACAGCTAGAAGGTTCACAGTTAAACCATGGTTTTTAGTTATGTTCAGGTCAATATCTCTTGTTATTAGCAGATTGCTAAAGAGTTGGACCGTGTAGTGAACGAATGTTCAGTTCTTGTGCTGTGAGTTGTAATAGTCCAGTTTGTACTAGTTTATGAAAGGGTATATAATAATATAAGGTGTATGAAAACGTGTGATTGCCTCAGTTTCATCCAGATCTCCAAGGCTAGTATAGGTTAGATCTATACTAAGTATTTAGCCACTGTATTGTAGTTTTACTAGCTTGTGTATTTTGTGTTTAGAATAGACTGTGTTGGTGTAAAAAGTGTAGATATTAAATTCTTTTAGTTTTAACGAGCCTTTGTTTTCATTCAGTCTTGTTTTGTAATCTGTTTGTGGTTGATCATCTTATATACTTAATATTTTTATTACCCGTGAAATAATTGATTTTAATGTTTAAAAATTTACTGTTATTGTTATAATGCGAGTTCTTGGACAGGGTCGATGCTGAACATGGACGAACAATCCAATAGAGAATACAGAACTATGATGTTATATTTCCATCTTTTATTATGTACAATACATACAGCTACATTGACAATAGACGGGACAACGACTTCTAGACATGACGAAAACAAGACTAAGACTGACTTCAACCCTCTTCCTAACAACCCAAAACATACTCTCCTACGTCACATCCTTATTTCCTTATATCAATAAAAATGTTTATGCATCACAAAAGCATTTATTAATTACATGTTTTTATTATTATTTCTGTTGTTGTTTGAAAGGTCTGAGTAGCCATTCATATATATATATATATATATATATATATATATATATATATATATATATGAACATTGCCTGTGTTTATTTATTGAGTAAACAATATCAGTTTTTGTTTACCTCTAAAGTTCAAAGTTTTTGACACACAAGGTATATTGAAAAATGTTGACAATTTATAAGTAGGCTTCACAAGGTGATACATTAAGATGTATTGCTCACATCAGAGTTTTCTTGATTGTATAACTATGATGTACAAGATCTCCACAAGCAATATCATACAAATGGAACATCTTCAAAATTCCTTATTACATCTGTGACTGTAGTCCTTATAGAAAATGAATACTTTATATGTAATTTATTCTGCTCGCTGTTTAAGTTCTAGAATATATGAATTGCTAAAGGTTTGTGTAAATCTCTGATCCCTGATGACAGCTTTGACTTTTGAGCCAGCAGATTGTTGCCATTATCAGATGTGATCACATTGCTCTTCAGTTTTTTTTTGTTGTTTTTTTCAGCCCGAGGGCCGCATTAACTATCAAAAATCAGTTCGGGCGGCCATAGTTTTTTCCAGACATCTCTTCGGGGAGGTAGAGCCCCCCCCCCCCCCCCCAAGAATGTCTACCTAATCCCCCCCCCCTCCCCACGAAATATAATTTATATAGAAATATATACAAATTTCAAGTGTCATTGTCCAACCCCTCCCCCCGGGGAAAAAAGTCTGAAAGAAAGACGCTCTTGGGCAGACAACACACACCAGGTCCAAGTTTGTTCTCAAATGGTTCTTCACGTATTTCATTCATGACAATGTTTACACGGGTATGTTGTTGCAAAATTTGAAAAGTACTTTGATGCAAAAGTTTTAGGAAAGTCTTCCTTGGTTAAAAACGTATTAAAAAACCCACCCTTCCTTCTTTGAGGTCATTTGCTTGCAATTCGGTGACCTCCAGCTGCAGTTCATCTGGGCAACTGGCCACATTTGCTTCAAATGGGTTTTGAAACACTCTCACTTCTTCTGCCTTTGAATCCAAGTCAGCAAACCGCTACTGAAACTGCAGCTGGAGGTCTTTGATGATCCTGCATGGAAATGACCTGGGGGACACCTGTTACTTCAGATATGAAGACCTTGCACTGCTGAAAGTGCGTCCAGTTGTTGGCTTGTACTTGTCCCGAAAACATGACAAGTTTGGTTCTGAAGGCCTTTAGGTGGGTGTATAGATCACAAACTAGATTTGCCTCTCTTGTTCAGAAAAATTAAAATGACGTGTTATGTTTGAAGCAGAGGCCAATTTCTATACTTTTCATCAGACATTAATGGCAGCAGCAAGCTTTGTTTTCCAGGAAGTCACCTATTTCCTTTCTTAACTTAAATACCCTGCTCAGAACTTTCTCAAAACTTAGTCATTTTACTGGTAAATCTTGCGATTCTCTGTTTGTATCTTTCAACATGTCTCTGAACTATCAATGGTTGAGCCCATGTGACCTTATAAATTCACCATCTTTAACACAGGATTCACTACACTGCGTATGTCCATATATGTAGCACACAAAGCTTGCTGGTGAATAAATAATACAGTGCAGGAACTGTATGTTGTAGAATGTTTTTCTCATTTTACATCTGCTCCGCTTGTCCACTAAGCCTTTCTTTATGCCACTAATGTTCTTCTTCCGTCAACAGTCAGGTAACTGAGGTTAGTCCAGTCCAAGTTATAATCAGCAAATGTTTTTTTTTTTCAACTCATTGAATATATCCTCTCCGGTAACAGTGTCATAAAAGCCAGCTCTTGCGTTATATAAACACAAGCAGTTGAGAGGTGGAACAGCTGTCCAGCGACTCATCCATTGCAATTGAAACATTTCGAAACTTGCTTGCATTTTTCGCTATTTGAGTCACAGTGTTTTCACCAATGTCTGCAACACGGTGGGCAAATTGTAGTTGCGCCGAAAGCTACATTTTCAAATTGTTTTGTATTTTCTGGGCAAAGTTCCTCAGCAACCTCCAACAAACATTTTTTTTCCGTGGACAAAAAGATCTCTGCGGGCCAGATGAGAGGACCTCGCGGACCGCATCCGCCCCCGCGGGCCGTAGTTTGGAGAACCCTGATCCACACCAATATTACAAAAGGATAAAATAAAAGCTTCACTTGTTTTAAGGGGAGGCTAGAACTTACCATTCCAACTTACTTGTAAAAACCTAGTTACAGAACTTGGCCTTGGTTACTTGACAATTTAGGAGGGGGGGGGGGACAATTTTTAATTATAGTTTAAAAAAAGATTACTTGAATCTAACTGCTTTTTCTAATTGTTTTGTTTTTACAATTCTATGTAGTAAGCCACAAAGATGTCTTGACAATATCACTCATGTTTACACATCAGGGTTTTAGAAATATATTTTGCTTAGTGTTAGTTGAAATGTCAGTTGTGTTTTTGTTTAATATACATTTTCTTATTTTTAGCGCATTTAACAATAACATGTTTTTACTTTTTCCCCCCTCCATTTAGTGTATAGATGTTGTACAGAAGTAAGTTGTTACTTAGGTTTCAAACACTATTTGTATTCATGTTTATATTTTTCAAGACAACGAAGTTTGTAATTTAACATAAAAACTTCTGTTCTCTACCCTTAGTATTGCTTCAAAAAATTGGTGAAAATATTGTGTAAATACCAGCTCACCTGACTGATCACACAACGGCTTTCTCCCTTTTTGCTAGAGTATGGTAACCTTTAATTGGCAATGACTTGTTTTATACATAATCAGATAAAAATGAGATATTTTGTGATATTAGAAATTGCTGCATTAAAAATTTGTTAAACTTGAGTTACATAGCTTGATAAAACCCACCATCTGATATTGTTACGTATTGCAAGTCAAAACATTGTTTTCATTAGTTAATTAACCTGTTCAACTTGAGGTCAGCAACAATTAGAACTGCAATTAATAAAATGTACAAGGAATTTAATAATGTATATTTTTTTATTTACAATGTTTTAGCATAGTTGTTTACACAAAGCAATGACATTTCAAAGTAAGCAAACACATCAACCACGGCTACACCGAACCACAAATTATAATTTCTTTTCCTTGTTAAAGTACTTGACTCGAGCTTTGGTGGCCAGATTTTTTATGGGGTTGTTGCTCTCTGTACTTATCATGGGTAGGCCAATAAGTCTCCTGAATGGTGAGTAATCAAACAGTAAGTTCTGTACAGCACCCAGTGATCCAGAGGTCACCCAGTACAGTGCCATAGCCTGGGTGGAATAGAAAAATTAATTAATTGAAGAAATTATCTTCACAGTGACTTTTTAAAATAAGTTATCACGCCAACAAAAGGGAAAACAGACATGTGTGTTGCTTATATGCTGTGAGTTCCTTTTGCAAGCTACTGATCTCATACTGCAGATCAAGAAGGTGTGCCACAATAGATTGTATAGTTATACTGGCTCTATCCCACACACCATCCCTCCATATGCCGAGGTCAAGAAACATATGAAATATACTTCATCTGCCCAAGGAACTTTACTACTTTATATTATATTGCTTTATTCTTTTGTATATTATTCATTTACTAATATATTTTTGTAATTAATATAGCAAGGTCTTTTTCCAGAAGCTGTAACAGCAAATATAGTCGTAGTGCCTAATTGGTTTTTCAACTCTAATTTAGTTCCTCAACCCAGTCAGGTACCCAATAAGAGCTGAGTGGCCTCATGGAATGCCTTCAGTTGAGTTATTGGATGCTCTATCAACCTACAATGAAAATCTCATAAGAGGTCTTGTTTTTCATTGGTCAAGAAAACAATTACTTTTTTTTTTCTTCTTTCATAACAAGGTCTACCTGCTTGGATTTTTAAGAAGTAACTCAAGATGCAACAAGGAGTAACTAATCTGACCTAACACCAATATTAAAACACCATTTATTTAGTGCTGGATGGGCATTATAAAGAGAAATCAACAACTACCAATCATCGTTAAGATACAATAAGAACAAAATTAATGTGACTGGTGTTAAGAAAGTTTTCTAATTAAACAATTACAATTTCCTTACACTGGGGACAGTAGAGGTGATGGGGATCATGACAACAGCAACAGTACGAAGTCCTCTAGTTAACCACTTCCTGTATCTAGTCACTATTGGTATGTTCAGACTGGTCATCTGAGAAAACACAAAGAAAAAAAAATATGTATGAAAAGTTTGTGCATGTTTAGATCCCATACAACTTTACTGATTAATAAAATGGTGAGTGTTCATTTGATAGCAATATAGTTGATGGAGGGAATGGTGTGTAGATTCAAGAATGCTGATTTACAGCTGATATAAAATTTTAATAGTTGTCTAGTATTAGTGTTCTCTAGCTAGAAATATTAGCACATAAGATTTAGTTTATTTTATAATGAAAATCAAAGTTCATGTTTCAAGTGGTCTTCAATCTAAATACCAAACTAAGGCAACCATCAAAACAGGTCTAACTCTACAAAAACAAAATCCAACTACTCTTAAATCATTACAATCAAATTTAAAAAAAATGGTACAAATGAGTGTATTGCCAGATCTAGTGCTTAATAGATTTGCAGTTTATAAAGCAACAGCAGAGTTAAAAGGAGACTCATACTTCTATATTTAGCAACATCACACCACCCATCATACAAGGTAAAATCCAGGTGCTGTCTACCGCAGTCAGGTCAGGAAACCAGGCCACCCCTTCTGTTTTCAGGCTCACAAAACCTGAGGCACCGTCTAAACAAAAATAAAGAAAAAATACACATTAATTCTTTTTTAGGATTAACATTCTATGATATTCTCATTTGTTCTCTAAAAAGTAAACACTACTAAAAGTTCAGTCCTCTAAAGTTTTTGTGAATCTTTTATCAGAGTACGTTCCCTTTGAATGTTAGTATCATAAAAAACTGTCTTATATAGTTTAAAGAGTAAATATATGATGGCGATACCTATCTGTGGGATTTGTGCTTTAATGGTGATATTCCTCAGAGCATATGAGACACTGATCCACAGAGGAAACTGCAGCCAGTACATAGCAGTATTCTTCATGGGGTGGCAGTTTTCTTTAATATACAGGTCACGTAACATGAGTTTATGCTGAAGAATAAAAAGACACTATCTAGTTAAAGAAAAATAACCTCCCTCAACAATATGAATTTTAATGAAAGTGGCATAGTTAAATGAACAGTGCAGCCACTAGCTTACTATAAAATGTTTTATTTGAAAATATTTTTGTTTCACAATAGATTTTATGTCCTTCAATTTAACTTATTAAGCAGAAAAAATAGTCAAATCCTTTTTTTTTTCAATTATTGTAGTGTTTAGCTTAAGAATTTCAAATATAAAAAAAACTAGTTCACTAAACTAACATCTGTAAAAGTAAACATGGCTGGCCATTGGTATAGCACACAATATCACTCAGGGTCATAGAGACAGATTAACTTAAAACCATATGTTCTTTGCCATCCTAATCTGAAAGTATTTTCTTAACCCTGTGCTGAATATAAAAGTATCACCACAGAACCATTATTATCAAGACCAATAAAACAAGTACTTTTCTGATGAATTCTCCCTTGGCTCTCTTGCTGGTCCAACCCAACTGCTGGGCATTCAACACGACCTCAGACTTCAGCCTCAAGCTCTTCTCCTTCACTGCTGGTGCCAGCCGCTCTAGCTTAGCTTGGTTATGGTGCACGTAGATGGTGAGGGGTGCAAGCAGGAAAAATCTCATGACAAGTGCGGTCACCATAATCCCTGACCACCATGACAAACCTGATAAGATTTAGATGGGTTATGGTGCAAGTAGGAAAAATCTCATGACAAGTGCGGTCACCATAATCCCTGACAACCATGACAGACCTGATAAGATTTAGATGGGTTATGGTGCAAGTAGGAAAAATCTCATGACAAGTGCGGTCACCATAATCCCTGACCACCATGACAGACCTGATAAAATTTAGATGGGTTATGGTGCAAGTAGGCAAAATCTCATGACAAGTGCGGTCACCATAATCCCTGACAACCATGACAGACCTGATAAGACAGTGGTTCCCAACCTTTTTCGAGTGGCGACCCCTTTTATAAAAAGTAAGTGACCCGCGACCCCCATAGAATTAAAAAGCCGAAATTAGTATGGGCATTAATAAGCACTAAAATAAGATTTTCTAGTAGACTTTCAATATGAACTACTCTTGATAACTGTTTTAATAGTATGAGTAAAATTGTATACTATTCACTAAACCTTCGTGGTTAATTTTTTAATTAAAAAATTTTTTTGTTAACGCCAACCTAAGTCATTATAATTATCTTAATTTTGTTTTTAATCGAAGAATAGTGTTGAAAATCTATTATCGAAAAGTCAATCAATTTTACGTTTGGGTATGAATGGTGAATACTACACCAAAATTGTGTCTGCAGTTTTTCATCTTACTCGGAATCATTCTGCAAATCAAAGAATTCATCTTGCAATTCATCGGGAATGCTGGCAACATCAAGGGAAGAAGAGAATGGGTAATGCGTAAATGCAGATTCTTCTTTTTTCAGCTCAGCGAAATAGCTTCTTTCAAAATTTTAATTATCTCACGGTCAGATTCATCTACCACACCGCAGAGTTTCTCAAATTTACAATATTTCCAAGATTTATTTTCTTTACCGATTTTGCAGTTTTGATAAAAATGCCCCGAAAATATCATGGAAAGTTATAATGCTCGTTCATTTTCCCTGAAGCTTCAGGTTAAGCTTATCAATAAAAATGTGTTATTTAACATTTACGTAGGCCTACATGCAAGCAGCGTTTGATGAGATGTTCTCCTAGTTTTTTTTTTTTTTTTTGCTTGGCATTTTCTATCGCGACTTCATTTGATGCTTGCACTAATGCTGGTGAAAACTTCCTGTTCGATCAAGTCTCTGGCGTTTGCAACTAGCTTCTTACCGACGAAAGAACTCCATATATTTTTGGTGTGTTCTGAATGACGTTTTAGTTTTGAAGATTTCATAGATTCGTAACTGAGAACAACTTTGTACAGTGCGCTTTGTTTCTTCTCTATTACATTTCCAGTGATGTTAATGAAGCCGAATTTCAAAAATTCTTCTAAATATTTATGTTTTGTTTCAAATTACTAAGGTTTAGTATACCAGTTGGCGACCCCCCAGAAAGACCTTCGCGACCCCCAGGGGGGTCGCGACCCCCAGGTTGGGAACCCGTGTGATAAGATTTAGATTGGTTATGGTGCAAGTAGGAAAAATCTCATGACAAGTGCGGTCACCATAATCCCTGACCACCATGACAGACCTGATAAGATTTAGATGGGTTATGGTGCAAGTAGGAAAAATCTCATGACAAGTGCGGTCACCATAATCCCTGATCACCATGACAGACCTGATAAGATTTAGATGGGTTATGGTGCAAGTAGGAAAAATCTCATGACAAGTGCGGTCACCATAATCCCTGACAACCATGACAGACCTGATAAGATTTAGATGGGTTATGGTGCAAGTAGGAAAAATCTCATGACAAGTGCGGTCACCATAATCCCTGACCACCATGACAGACCTGATAAAATTTAGATGGGTTATGGTGCAAGTAGGAAAAATCTCATGACAAGTGCGGTCACCATAATCCCTGACCACCATGACAGACCTGATAAGATTTAGATGGGTTATGGTGTACGTAGATGGTGAGGGGTGCAAGTAGGAATAATCTCATAACAAATGCTGTCACAATAATCCCTGACCAACACGACAGACCTGATAAAATATTGTCAAGAAGGGATTGTGAGGTTACTCTACAGGCTGTAAAATTGGCAGTGCTGTCATATAAATAACTTAACTGTACAAATGAGTGAACCTGTGATACAAATGACTATAGTGATTTGTGATAGCTAATTGGATAATGATTTTTATCAGCGGTCATGTTCTAAAAGGATATTGGCAATATAATAAAGATTAAATTCAAAGAATTTTAACAAAAAAATTAATAATATTATTAATATAAATAATAACTAGAGCCTATACCAAAATTACAAAACATTACAAAGTTAAAAGATTTTTTTTTATCACATGATACATGTCAGTTAGAGTTAGTCAAGACTTGTTTTTTGAATAGTAATATGTAATTTCCTTAGCATCACTGCAGTTGTGTCTCCCCTCTTCTGTAATTGAAAACCACCTATCAAGACTGTTATAGCGTTAAGCTTTTTTGTGTAGTTTGTGTGCAGTCTGTGTTATAGCAAACAAAAGCTATGGTTGTAAAGTAGTTTCTTGATAATAATATTTTAAGGGGGAGCCTTACTTGAAAAATGGTTTCACTGATTAATTATGGTTTATCTATAAATGAACAGTAACCTCACCTGTTAGTTCATGCAAGTAGTGTAATACTTTTTCTGCTCCAAAAATAAATGGGAAATCAGGATACAAGAGCAAGTTTGTGTACTGGTCATTGGCAACACTTACAACTGTTTCAACTGTTGCTGCATCTGGAAGTGCACCTGATGAACAGACGACTGTGGTTGTTGAAAACTGTCTTGATGAACTTGTACTAAAAGAAGTATCCAATACATGGCACTTGGTAGTCCAATGGTTTCTCAAGTTATTTTTATAACTGAATTTAGTACTTTTTGTTTCAACTTTCTGCATATGATTTATACAACTTTCTTTTCTTTTACACTCGAAAATATTCCATTGAAAACAACTACTGGGCAAAAATGTCACTAATTTCCTTTGCTGATAAGAATTGGATAAGTATGATTGGCTAGCTAATTTAAATGTAGAATGCAAATTTGTTTCGAGCTTAGAACAATGGAAAATTAATTTAAACATTTTATTCTGAATGTTGAATCCAGTAAAGGTGGAGGTGGCTTTAACTTTTTCACTGAAATATAGAGTTAATTAAAGTCACAGATTATGCAGAGTTATTAAAAGAGATTAAAAACTAAAAGTAAGTAGATCTAGTAGACATCTAATTCAGTAAGAGATCTACACACTACACAAGTAATTAACTAATTAATTAAATAATACTTTTATAATTTGACAAGTAGAACAGAGAATGATAATCTATCGTTTTAGGTACGTAAAATCGCCCGTAACTAGTAATGTGTAAAACAGGTGACTCCTTCAATTTTAATAATTATTTCACATTTTGAGGAGGATTTATGTCTTTTAAAATACAAAAATGTTTCCTTGTTTCATTTATGTACCTGTTTTTAAACAACTGAATTAAAACTTTTCAGTAAAAAATGAAGACTAGCGATGTTTCCAACAGATGCAACCATGCTCATTTACTATAACAGCCATCTTGTTGTTTTTTTTTATTGTAAACTTATAAGCGCAAGATTCAGGGGAAGCCACTCTTACTTACAGATGGCCGCTTTTTATATAGCAAATCCTGCTCGCAAACACTGCTGTTTAAAGTTAATTTCTTGCATATTGATATATTTATTAATTATTAATATTTAGCTATTGATTTACTAGGTTTATTATTCATCTATAATAATAGTTTCGCTGTCTCTCTATCTATCTATCTATCTATCTATCTGTCTGACAAGAACGCTCTAGAGAAAACACAAGGAATTTAAAAACCTGCACAGTAATTCGAAAAACGAAATATGACGTCGACACATTTAGCGTAGAGTAGAACATAATCTCAAACCAGAGAGTGCACACAGTAATGTAATGACGTCATTGAAACATTGAAAAACAGGAAATGTTGTCTAATCTAAATGGTTTGCGTGAAGAGTTTCTTGCATAGAATTCTTCGAGTAGGGGCGAAGCCCCACCCCCCGCGTAAGAACGTCTGAGCCCCCCCCCCCCTCCCCAACTCAAAAGAAATTTCCTCATCGATACTCTATAATAAAATTACCGCCTAATTAATGTGTCTAATCTAAAAAGTGGTTTTCTCGCAATTTCTTTAATGCAATTCTTCGCGTAGTGGCTAAGCGCGACACCAGTGTTTCTTTCAGACTTTTTCCTCCCCGGAGAGGGGTGGGGGTACTTGAAATTTTCGGGGGCGGGGGTAGAATTTTCGGGGAGGGGGCGGACACTGGAAAAAGTATATAATTATATTTCGTTGAATGGGACGGTAGACATGTTTTTTAGAGGGGGGGGGGGGGTGGGGGGGGGTAGGGGGGTGAGTGGGGGGGGGTGGTTTTAATTTAGACTTTTTCCTCCCCGGGTGTGGTGGGGGTACTTGAAATTTTCGGGGGTGGGGGTAGAATTTTCGGGGAGGGGGCGGACACTGGAAAAAGTATATAATTATATTTCGTTGAATGGGACGGTATACATGTTTTTTGGGGGGTGGGGGGTGTGGGGGGGGGGGGTGGTGTGGGGGGTGTGGGGTGGGTGGGGGGTGTGGGGGGGTGGGGGTGTGTGTGGGGGGGGGGCTGGGGTGGTTTTAGTTTAGAGAAAAGAGACAGCACTATCAGCCTAGCGCCCGGTGTATCCTTCCTCAACGGGCCATTTTTCTCGTTTATCTATAATATTAGACACAAATATATCACAATATACTTCTATTAAAGCCTTGACAATGAGGTAACTTTTTCGTACATCAGGAGATCTAGCTGCGGGCGATTTTGCGTACCTAAAACGATAGATTACCAAAAATATATAATCAAAAAATGTTGGTAATCTATCGTTTTGGGTACGTAAAATCGCCCGCGACTTGTTATGTGAAAACCAGGTGACTCCTTAAATTTTAATAATTATTTCACATTTTGAGGAGGATTTACGTTTTTTAAAATACAAAAATGTTTCCTTGTTTCATTTATGTACCTGTTTTTAAACAATTGAATTAAAACTTTTCCGTAATAAATGAAGACTAGCAATGTTTCCAACAGATGCAACCATGCTCATTTTTTACTATAGCAGCCATCTTGTTTAAGTTTTATTTTATAAGCTTATAGCGCGAGATTCAGGGGGAAGCCACTCTATTTTACAAATGGCTGCTGTTTATATAGTATATATATAGCAAATCTTGCTCTCAGACACTGTTGTTTAAAGTTAATTTCTGGCCTATATATATCGATATATTTAGCCATTGATTTAGGTTTATTATTCATTTATCTATAATATTTGACACAAACATATGACAATACACTTCTATTAAAGCCTTGACAATGAGGTAACTTTTTCGTACATTAATAGCCGCGGGCGATTTTAATTTTACGTACCCAAAACGATAGATTACCAAAATGTTTTAGATCCAGATCTAATCTAATAATAATAATCTAGATCTAGATTCTATGTCTAAAATTGTAAATGCTAGTTCTATTAGTATAACTATATTAGATCTAGATCTATATACTATATAGGCTACTAGAGTCTAGATCTATTCTATTTGAGTATTTGCCAAGCAATTTTTGTCCCCGAGAATGTCAATGACAATCGTCAAATAACTAGATTTATCATTTTCGCTTTCGGTTTTAATTAATTTCCGGTCCGGTTAGTTCCCTTGACTGTGTGCATCGAACACACTCTAGGCCTATTTTGATATTATTTATATTTTTTTCAGTCCTACGTTAGTCTGTCAGCTATTTATTAATTTAAACATAATCAAAGGAGAATGAATTAGGATAAAATAACTACCACATGCATTTGCTTTCCAACTTTATTCATGAATACTAAATATTTAAAAATCTAGATCTACTTCCAGCTATATAAAACAACAATTTAAAAAAAAATAGTATGCGTCGTTTTTTTAGCATTCCATTCCAGTCTGAGTGTAAATTTAAAAAAACTAACAACCTTTGCCCTTTTGTAATTATAATTAAACCCCGCCCACTGTAAAAGTTTGTTTAAGAAGTAGATCTCGATCAAGATCTGGTATGGGAACAATTTGTAATACTTTAGGCCTATATACTTTATATATAATATATAGGCCTAGTCCTAATAACGACGTTTATATTTAAAACCATTTATATTGTCACGACTAGTAATCTAGTAGTAGGAGTAAACCTAATCAATAATGCATTCAATGAATAAAGAAGGCGTGGCAAGCACTGCACAAGACGATTTTATTCTATGAATGAGTGCATCACTGCTCCCGATTGGATAGCTATTTCTGTATCTTTCACATGGCGATTTGTTTGAAGATGGCCGCTGGTCTCGTGAAACCGGTTTTACAAGTAAGTTGCTTAGTTGTATAACTAAAATAGAAGCTATAGGCAGGGCTGTTTTTATTACTAATATCAGAGTAACGGCTTAGTGTTTGCCGAATCACACAGTAGGTGTGGTGGCAAGATTGCCGGTCATTTTAGCTTCACGGGTGTAGCAGGTAACAGCTACTCACGTTGTAAACACTGAATTTCTTCAATTTGGTTAGCAAACAATCAACAATCAACTTGGTTTTATGACACGCCTCCGGTTAGGTTTCTTTCTGTAAGGACTACAGATTTCACATTTGATGCCATTTTCTTATCCATAAAAAAAACCTAGGATATCTGGTAAGTCTTATATTTTCTATAGTTTGCTGTAGTAAATGTTTGTCAACTTTGATTTTTCTCATTCATTTTGCAGCTAGCTTTTGTTTTGGCATTCATATCATTAAATAATAAATATTATACTTTATTTTTTATTTTGTTTGATTGTTCACAGACTAGATCTAGATCTAGGAGTACCAGAGCTTCTGTGTTATTGTTAATGTAAACAAATTTACTTGTCATAACTTGTCGATTAGCTTGACTTGTATAGAACTATAGTTACTATACACAGTATGTTAGTGTAGTGTAGATTACGTAGTATCTTCTCCTATCTATCTTGTTAGTCATGCTCAATCACTACCACTAGCTTAAACTCCTTGCCTTAAACCATATAATATTATATTTCTAACGGTTAAGGTTATTTTACTTAGTATACAATGCATTGGCCTACGATTGTAGGCCTATTAATTATTGTTCTAGCTTTTCTATAACCCCGTGTTTCGTATAGATGTTCAGGTATATTCAAAAGTTTGCAAATCTGTGTAGGCCTACATTCAGTGTAAATTAGAGAGGATACAAAAACTCAGCAATAGGAGGCCTACTGTAAGGCTATATAGCCGGGCAAGCCATTGGAGTGTCCTGTATAAACTAGCATTCTTACTTTAATCCAGGGGTCTCCACTTTTCAGTCCGAGGGCCGCATTAACTATCAAATTTCAGTTCGGGGGCCAGATTCTTCCAGGCATGTTTTGATTTTTCTGGGCAAAGTTCCTCAGCCATCACCAACAAACGATTTTTCCGTGGACAAAAAGATCTCCGCGGGCCGGATGAGAGGACTTCGCGGGCGCATCCGGCCCGCGGGCCGTAGTTTGGAGACCCCTGCTTTAATCCATAGTCTTCCTAGTTTATCCACAAAGGGCACCATATACTGTCTACTTCATGATATATATTGCTTTACTTTGTTTTTATAAATTTTCATAGCATGAGACGTGTTTTTTTTTTAAATATTGCTATAAGCTGCTAATTCTTTTATCTGACGCTTTTCCCTAACATTGCGCAAACATTTAAAATGCATAGAAAATGGATGTCCACTGTAGGCTCAATTAAAAACAAGGTAATTAAAAAGTCTTGTGACAATTTAAGCGCAATTTCCTTATGTTATCTAAAAATAGCTCTGTCGTAGCGTAAATCAAGAGCAGGGTTAGTAAAACCATTGGTTAGTTATTAAAACGTTTTTTATTAATTTTTTTTTCAGTATTTTACATGTTTTATTTACAATAGAGTTACATGACTAAAAACCATTGCGCGCCTAGCTACTGAACGTGATGACGCAGCCAGTGAACGTGATGGCGCAGCTATTGAACGTGATGACGCGTGTGGTGTGGTTGGAAAAAATGCCTACTAATTCGGTCCAAATTTTAATTAATTCAAAAAAAATGTTTGCGACCGAACGAAAGGATATTTTTGAAAACTTTCTTCAGCAATATTGTTCTAAATTATGGCAGGAATCGATTGGTACATGTTTCAAGTCGCTAAGTGGTCTGGTTGCCGAGATATGGGCCAAAAACTGCATTTTTTCGAGTTTTTTTTTGCTTTTCCGGGAAATCCATGAAAGAAACCCGGAATTTTTATGGCCTATGTTCATTCTCGTAACTTGTTTAACATAATTGCTTTTGGAACTAGTCATCGATATTGCTTCGTTGAGGAGGAGATACGACTTAAAGCCCGGACACACATTCATCCATACATTCATTCATTCATCCATCCATTCCCAGAAATGACGAGTTAATAAACGCAATTCTCCAGAATGGAAATTGCGCTAAAAAATGTGGTGGCTTGTCCTTTTCGTTGTGCTTCTTAAAATCAAAACATGAAAACGTGGCACTGTTAGAAACAAAGGATACGGACACAACAAATGAACAGCATTAGGTTATCACCAGAAGAGTTCCTTGTAAATCGAACAGGTGTACACAACACAATTGTTAAATCCTCATGCACCTTGATCTAGTTCAGCGGTTCTTCACCTGGGTTCGATCGAACCCTCGGGGTTCGGTGAGTCCGTCTCACAGGTTCGGCGGAGGTCAAGACACACGCCCGACTCCTATGATTCACGATCGGATTTTGTCAGTGCGGACAATAGCACTATTAATAAGGATCCGAGAATGTGCACATGAAACTGGTTGGGTTCGGTACCTTTTAAAAGGTTAAGAACAACTGATCTAATTGTTTAGTATAGATCACTCAACATGCGGCGGCGGGAAACGATGAATGAGCACATATTGTGACCCAATAACCCCGGCATTATAGAGGCTACTCCCTATATGTTACTGTCGGCATAGTATCGAACGAGAAGACAAATCTAATTCATGGGTGATCATTACCTCTATTTGACGTCACATACAAATAGCTGTTATAATTATTATTAGGAAGGGGGTTCTTCCATGGTTCCATAACCTCCGACCCTCAGCATACATTATGCATCGATCTCTCAAAGCACCATGTCATATGTGCTTTTATCATGATGTACGAAGCAGTTATTTATAATTAAGCCTAAACATCAATTTAAAGGCTTTGAGCTCTGGATTTTCAATTTTTTTTTCATCCAGTATCCATTTTTTAAAAAATAACATTAGCCAAAAAAAAAAAAATTGAATATGTACTCTTGTATATGTAAGAAGAAATAAGAGCCTTTTTTGTATCCTGCAAATTTAAAAGTTTTGTTCTTCCATACTCCCTAGTGACAACTTTCCATGTGAACCATATAAAAAGCAATATCTAATAGGTCAGTAGAAGATATTAATGAATCAAATAATGTCTTAAACATTTTAGAAACATACACATTCATGATGTCAATATTGGTACTAATGTTCCCAAACTTTCCAACAAGACGATCAATGTGGTTGGCATTTCTTATTTCGATTTGCATTTTTTACGCATTAAAAAAAAAAGTATGGACCCAGCCTTTATGTGTAGGCCTTCTAACACACTGCAAATATTAAAAATAAAATGTTCCTTTCAATTGAAGTCATGTTTTTATCAGAGCCAAACCCAGTTGAGCGACATTCTTGTAGACGTGTATAGAACCATGCGCAACAGCAGCGTGTGAACCCACGCCTTTACCCAGACGTGATATCAGGGCTAGTATCCAAGAATAGCCGCTCAATGCCTATCTAACCGTAACGACACATCGGGCACCAGATAGGGCTGTGTGTTTAGGTAGGCAGCGAACCACGCTCGGCTGAAAAAACTTGTTTGACGAGTTTATTAAAAAAAAGTTTTGGACGGGTGGGGGTGGTGGTTGGATAAAATTAGCTTCACTTGATTGGGGAACTTTTCTAAGAATGTTGAGACCAAAGTTGGATTCTTGTTTCAATACTGGAAAAGATTAATGCGATACAATGAGTCTTTTTGACTCAGTTTTCCTAAACTTGTCAACGTCTCTGGGATCGCAAATTAAACCTAACCCCAAACACAATGTGTAACGATTTAAAAAAAACAACTTTTGTAACAGTAAACAAATCCAAATAACTTTAAAGTCACACATTTGTATAAGGTTTAGTGTCTACTATGCTGTAGTAGACTTAACGGACAATTAAAACTTTATTTCAAGCATGTCACATTTACACTCATGTTTTAAACGATGGGTGAAAAGGGGGGGGGGGTTGATTAAGTTTTCTCTTCTGATTTTAGCCAGATTTGGGAGGAGATAGCTTGTCAACGAAATGGACAACAGTTCTACTGAACTAGTGTAAGGTTAAACCGTTTACCACCCAAACTGCTAGTTTATTTATCTGACACCGGGGCAAGTAGACACCAGCTCATCAACAGAGTGAACCAGGCAACCACGCCTCCCACAGGCAACCACTCACCTCCGTAGGCAACCACGCACCACCCCAGGCGTCAGTGCAGTGCTAAATCGCTGTAGCATCATTGAAAAAACCTTGAAGTTCATTATGCCATTATCCCTCCCTCCCCACCCTCTACTTTTATTAGCGCTCAATGTTTTGTTCAGCTGTCTGGTGCACGGTGCCTTGTTTATCAAAATTAATTTCCAAGAGCATCACGTGTCTTGTAATTTGCAGTAGGCCTACATATAATATAGTTTTCAGCCCGTCTGGGAGAAACACGATCCCATGTAGCACACCATTACAGTATGACTTACCTCCCCTCGAACCTGAAAGGATTCCATTACTACGAGGCTATTAAAAAACATTTTAACTACACTTGTAGTTTCTAGCAGAAAGACGGCCACCCAAATTATTTTACATTTTAAGTACATATAGCAAGACCGTTTTTTTTAAATACATCAATGTAAATAGTTAGACTCAACACACATTTCGATTTTTGAAAATTCACTATTTTATTTTTGCAAAACATCATAAAACAGAGTTCGTTCAACTGCCTTCCCCCGGGGGAAAAATGGTTGAAAATCACATACATAAACTCAACAATCGATTTTTCTTTTTCTCCCCTCAGCTGGGTCGTGACGTAAGAACTGGTGGTCAAGATGGGGTGGAAAGGGGTGGAAACCCCGGTGTTAACTTTGGGCCTTTTGTGTATGATCTGCTTCACTGTTACATTACAGCAAGATCGTAAGTATGCTTTTAAAATTAATTGAAATTTGGTGTTTTAATTGAATTTGGTGTTTTCAGCTTCACGTGAACTAGCTGGTATGAACGTAAATACTGTGGAGACTTAAGGGGAAATAAAAAAAAAGTATTTATCTTTACAAATATTTGTATCAGTGCCTTCCCTGTAATTTGTATCAACTTCTTTAATTTAAAAAAATGTGGTAAGGGGTCGTCCATAAATGACGTCACACTAGTAGGGGGGAGAAGGGGGTCGGTAATATTGTGACGATGTGTGATGAGGGGGAGGGGGGTTCAGATGGTGCGACGTCACACTTTTGCTTTATAGATAAGAAATGTTAGAAAACGAATTTTAGACGTTATTTAGCGTTTTAGAAAACAGTTTTGATAAATTATAATAGGAATAGGTTAAAATACTCTATTTTGACATATTTCAGACAAGATTTTGGAAAAATATCGATGTTTAAAAAAAAACCCAACTGCAATTTTGAGGGGGGGGGGGGTTTGTAAGCTGAGGTGTGACGTCATTTTAGGGGGGGGTCAGGCTTTTTGTGACGACGTGTGACGGGGGGGGGGGGGAGGTAAAAATCGTCAAAAAAGCGTGACGTCATTATGATAGAATGTATTTAGTAATATTTACTGGCATTCTGCAGCTGTATAGCTAGCATTAGGCAATGTCATATAAGTAGTGTAACACTAACTATTGGCCACGCGATTATGATAGACTGTGTTACAACTTTTTGTACATATTGAAATATATTCTACATGCTACGTTTTTCTCCCATATTTATTGAAAGGGAAATATTGTTTAATGGAAATTTTAAAAATTTGAATGCTTTTTGTCATGATGTTATCAATGTGATTTTTGTTTTACTTTTATCAGCTTGTTCAGGAAAAACCCAAATTGAAATTAGTTTTCCTGAAAGTGAGCTAAATAGCAATTTGCCTAATACAGGTAAGTGAAAACTTTTCCTCCAGTGTGTGTGGGTTTTTTGATGTGTTAAATTATCTTTTTTTTTTTTAAATCTTTTTCCTGTGTTATCATATTTTTTCCCACGTTTTCTTTAACTTGCTTTCTCTGTGTGTTTGTTTATTTATTTATTTGTTTGTCTTTCCAATCCAATCTTGCGATCGAAATTTCTGGCACTTCCCAGTTAGCTAGCGCGCTGAAATTTTCAGGGAAGCTTTCTTTTGGATGACCATTGAATATTCAATTGTTATTATTACTAAATTGATCAATGGAAACATTTTATTGAGCATTTTAGACCGCTATATAATCTATATATATAATTCTCCTCTGCTAGCCATTAGAAAAAAAACCAGCGACGCGTACCTCGCGCGCAGTGAAGCGAACGATCACATGTCGCCACAGGCTTAGGGGCAGAGAATTTAGCTTGAACCGAGTTTAAAGTTACAGGAGGTAGGCCAGTTTGGGGGAGACGATATGGTCGAGTGGTTGGGCACACGATTGCTATCCCACTCGACACGGGTTCAAATCTATGTGTTCTAGTCAGTAACGTATTCAAACAACGTGTTTTTTACGAGTTGTCTTTTTACGAGTTGTCTTTTTACGAGTTGTCTTTTTACGAGTTGTCTTTTTACGAGTTGTCTTTTTACGAGTTGTCTTTTTACGAGTTGTCTTCGTTTACCCAAAAAAAGTGAAAAGATAAAATCGATAGCAAGATTTTAATGCAAACAAACAGACAAAGACTAAAAAGTAGAAAATAATAATCATTAAAAAAGTTTAAAAAAACCCACGTTTTCTGATTGAACTAAAAAGTAGAAAATAAATGCTATAGGCCCTACATCACAATAATGCAAGCGATCACTCTACTATAAGCGAGCAAAAACGTGGGGCGCCGTGATTTTCTTACAGTTTCTAATACTGTTGACTCTCTACAAGCTCCCTAATAAAAGTCAATAGTATTATCTAATCAATAGTAATATAACTTTTACTTCGGCGCCCAACGTTTTTGCTCGCTTATAGTAGAGTGATCGCTTGCATTATTGTGATGTAGGGCCTATAGCATTTATTTTCTACTTTTTAGTTCAATCAGAAAACGTGGGTTTTTTAAAACTTTTTTAATGATTATTATTTAAAATAAAATTTAAAAAGTTGATTTTCATAAGTTTTTTTTTTTTGTGTTGCTATAAAACTATGTAATGGGAGTATGTAAGCTACTACCAGTTTTACTATTTTAATTTTCATTGGTTTCAAGGGGACCACCATTCTTATATTAATATCCTTAAACTTGATCAAAATAAATTTGTAGAAAATCTAGTCTTGGCAAAACAAACATCAGAAAATATAAATTACTTTTTTTTTTCAATTTAGATCCAGCTTATACACAAGTTCTGTTGAATTCTGCACAAGAGCTAAATAATGTGACAGTTGGAAAAGAAAAAGACGCTCCAGATCCATATCCATTTAAGGATTATTTTAATATTGGATATTTTAATGGAATCTATAGAGTATTCATGATAAAGGGCATTGATCGAGATGTAAGACCTTCTTTATTCTTAAGTTAGCTTTTTTTTAGGTTTTAAATATTTTAGACTGTTTATTTGTCATCTATAATTTTTTACTTATCATTTTAGTTTTTATTTTCAATCATTACAATGCATGTCTAAGCCACATAAAATGTGTATACAAAATGCACTATTCTAACAGGGTCCCACATCTGCAACAGAAGATGATGTAAATATACTGCAGTTTCAGATGTCTTGCCAAGCCAATCCCGGTTCTGCAGTAAGTTGTGTACCAGTTAAAATACAATTATTTTTTTTCTTTGCGTAACATAAATAAATGGACACCCCTTTCTCACTACACAGCAGGGTCTCAGTAGTGAGGCTTAATTTACTGCAGTTATATTACAATAAAAGATCATGTGAGAATTTCAAGACTTCTATCAGCTTACCTTCATTGGTTACCTAATACTATTGTGTATATTGAACTTTTCAACTTCTGCTTTTATTTAATTAGCTATACCATATTTATACTATGTTTTAATTACTTTTCAGACATATTACCTAATTCTAAAGATTCTGATAACTGATATAAATGATAATACACCACAGTTTTCGAATGCTCCTTATTCAGTGGAAGTTAATGAGGTAAAGAAAATTAAATATCTTACCATTGATTTTTGTGTTATTGTAAAAAAGCAATTTTAAATAAAGCGTGAGTGATCTCCCCTAATCTTTCTAGAATATTCTTATATAACACTACGGGGAGGGGGGGGGGGGGGGTTGTGGTAACTCTAGATATAGACATGGTTTCCAATTAATTTATTTTTATTATTTAAAACTGTTAAAAATAGAACAGAATCTCTTAGAAAAAAGATTTGCGCACCAAGTGAACATAAAACAATGTGTATATAGTAGTGCAGAATATTAGTACTTTACAAATTCATATGTGCTTTTTGAGAAATCGGAAATAGCATAAACTTTTACTTCAGGTCACTGAAATTACTCAATATTTGACAGAAAGCAGAGAATTAGATCTTTTATTTATATATGTAATTTTATCTATTTATCTGAAAGTAGAATAACTTCCGGTTACCAGAAATAGCTGAAAAATTGATACAGAACTAAAAGTTTGATTCAATACTTACATATGAAATTTCATCAACGTAGCTGAGTCAGTACTCACAGACACATACACAGACAGAGTTGCAAAGCCTAGTTTTTCCAGCTCAATAAAGCATAACATTTTTATAAATCTGGATTTAGAAAATTTGCCTGATTAATATAAGTCCCCTATACTCTTTTGATGAAGTACTGAAGTGTAAACCTGTGAAACTGTCAAAATTTCATGTGATTTTTGTGCATGATCACAATACTTCCTCTACACTCTGTACACAAGAAAGCATTAAAAAGTAGAAACATTTTAGCGTTCACATGGAAATAGAGTAAATTACCACAAAAATTGTTGAAAAGTTTGCAGAAACCAGTACATAGAATTTAAACTTTATAAAAATTCTGTCCACCTAACTTATTAAACAGTTTCCAAGTTTTCCACTTTTGAGAATCCAGAAGTAGACTAAGTACCACTTTTGGTTACCAGAGAAAGCTCAAAACTAGAAATTTTATTAAATACTTATATATGAAGTTTCATCAACAAAAATGAAACATTACTTAAGTTACTTTGTTCACAGACAAAATTGCAAAAAGAAGTTTTACTTACTTTGGGATGCATAAAAGTTGTAGCCTCATTGATATAGCATACGGCGTTAGTGGTGGGGAGGAACAAATATTTTTGTTGTAAAATAAGGTTGTAAATTAATTCTATACAAGTAGATACATTTATCTTTTACATCTCAATGTTTATGGAGCTTTTTTTTTTAATCATTTATTTTGACTCTGTTATAAACTCCATTTGTATAGAGTTTATATTTTATAAATAAATGAGCAGCTTTTTTCCCACAGGTCCATTTAAGTCTAGAATTTGAAAAAAGTTTTTTTTTTTACTGTTTCTCAAAAAAAAATATATGTATCTCACAGTAGGTTAAGTAATATGTAAATTTTCAATCAAAAAATTAGCTTAAAATTTTTGCTTGAATAAAAATTTTTCATATTGTATGTTAGCTGACCCCACTAGGTGTAACTGTCTACCGTGCCATTTCTGCCACTGACAAAGATGAAGGTCCCAACAAGCAAATTACATATATTTTGAGTGATGATACAATCACACAGGTAAATATATACAGCTTTTTTTACTGCTGGAAACTGTAACTTAAGTTTCCAACATTTGTTTAAACTACCATTCCTAGTTAAGTTCTGTTGGTTGAGGTTCTCAACATCTTCCTACTTTATGTTAAATTTCGTACCCCTAAAATACACCATTTTAATAATGAATAAAACTTTTTTTTAGTTCAAAAATGGCACACAGTACTTTTCCTTGCCCTCTGATCAAGAAGGTTTTATAAATGTAAAAGGATTTCTGGATTTTGAGAGCATGTACAATGTGACCAGAGATGCTAGCAAGACGTTCTACGTTATCAATGTGATCGCAAGGGTAAATATATATAATCTATCTATTGTTTTAATCAACATTTGCAAGTTTTAATTGAATAACACAAACATCATCCATTTTTTAAAAATTGTATTATTAATTGGACCAGGACAATGCTGCAGATGTAAATTTACGAAGGTCAAGTATGACAACATTGACTGTAAAAATTTTGGATGGAGATGATCTGGGTCCTGAGTTTGTGTATGATTCCTGTATACTCAGTTATGAACAGGTCTATCCTTTTTGTATCAGACCAAAGTACACCACAACACTACTCTCAGGGACTAACCAGGTAGGTCATTTTTTTCTCTTCATTATTAAGCGAAAATCTGTCTATTGAAAAATAAGTTATTAAATCTTTGAAATTAAAGTAACTGTCAATAAAATGAAATTAATTTTTTTTAGGACGTAGAGTTGATCTTTCGGCCAGTTCCATCAGTTCCTAGTAATTCAAATAACATAAGCATAGTAATGCAAGATCGAGACACTCTAAACTCACCAATTGCTTGTATTATAAAAAACAGTAAGTAGAAATGTGATAAAACAACTAATTGTTTTTAAATATAATTTTAATATCATTATATTTTCAAAATATTTTACTCTTATTTTTAACTTCAGTCAAATCTAACTTAAAAGTTACAAAGTAATATATTTATATATTTCATATACTTTTGAAAAAATGGATTAAAAAGAATTTAAGAATGTTGTAAAATATAAATGTAGAACATTCATTATTTTAAAATAACTAACAATTGCAGCGGTTTATAAAGGGGTAGTAATCAAAAAGAAAAAAACAGTTGAATGTATGTAAAGACTAAAAAAAATCAACTTGATTTAAATATTTAAAGTAACATGTCTATATTTGTTTACTTCCAGCTGAACCAGCAGGGTACACAGACTATTTCACAGCTACAGCCATCCAGATAGGCTCCAGCAAGCAGTACAGGTGTAGAATTGTGAAGAAAGCTGGAAGTGTTCTGACTAGATCTGATGTATCAAGTCTGGAACTTATCATTGTGGTAAACAAATTATTTCAAAAGTTTTTTGATGGTTTGGTTTTCTTTCAATATATTGCCTTAACAGTTTCAAAATTTTAAAATCTCTCTTTACATTAAATTACAAAAATTGCACATTGAGTTTAAATTGAATAGGCTATATTTGTTTATTTAGGATGTGAGGTTGGGCACTGCTTCACAGTGTATCATTATGAAGTCACACATGTCATTTTCTTGTATTAATTACAGTTAAAACATACTTTTTTTGAATTTGTAAAGTTAAAATATAAATATTGTAGCACAAAAAATTCAGTTATTAAATTTTTATTAAATGATCATGTGACAATATTTGACCAGAGTTATGTGCTGCTGTTTATTTCTCTATAACATGTTTAATTTTTAAGTCCAACACTAACTCTTATTGACTTTGTATTTTACATATTCTAAACTGAAGGAAACATAATTTTTCAGGCTACTGAGCAGTCGTTTAACCACAGAGAAGAATACGCCATAGTGTCAATACAGATAACTCCCACAAATCTGTACCCTCCCACCATCACACCATCCAGTGGGGTTGGCTACATCTATGAGAACTCTCCAGCCTTGACCTTGGTCTCTGACAGCATCAGTATTACAAATGCTTTCAAGCTGACATTTCAAGATCCTGACGTGGTAGGTTGTCACCTGCCTTGTTTTAGCTGTAGGCCCTACACCACTTGTATTTAGCATAATGTGTTCAAAAGCTCTTAAAGTTATCTTGGGTTGGCTCTACTGAGATTAAGTATCAAATTAATATTGTATTGTATTTGCATGAATTTTGTAAACATGTTTTGATGTGTTTTAGACAGGAACAGATCCCCCTACAACATATACCTACAACATATACCTAAAACTTGTTTTGATGTGTTTTAGACAGGAACAGATCCCCCTACAACATATACCTACAACATATACCTAAAACATGTTTTGATGTGTTTTAGACAGGGACAGATCCCCCTAAAACATATACCTAAAACATGTTTTGATGTGTTTTAGACAGGAACAGATCCCCCTACAACATATACCTACAACATGTTTTGATGTGTTTTAGACAGGAACAGATCCCCCCACAACATATACCTACAGCACTACTGGAGGGCCTTTCACAGTTGGACCAGATGGTTATGTAAGACTGACCACTAATAATGCACTGGATTATGAACAGACTAAAGCCTACACTCTTACTGTAAGTTAACACTTCTATTTTTGAAGATTGCAAGCATTTTTTTAATGTTTTATAAAGTTAGCAGGATGAGTATTCCAGTTAAATTAAGATTGATCAGTTATCTTAAAGACCATAGTTGTTATAACCCTGGCCATGTTTAGCTCAGTTGGGAGTTGACTCAGGCATTCATATGGACTGAGAGGGTATCATCAACTAAAGAGGACTTTATAAAATGTAAGCTATTGTAAAAAGAATAGTCTTTCAGGTTATTTTAACTGTTTAAAAAATTTCATGTAGGTTGTAATAACAGAACAAACCCCAGAAATGAAATCTGCCACAGCAACAGTGTCAGTGAATGTACTAAATGTCAATGATGTGGCTCCTAGTGTTCTGTCTACTGATAGCTACATCATTCAAGTGCCTCAAGGAAACTATACACTAGTAACCCGTGATCTTGTTACAGTAAGTATTTAAACTCTTGTATTTTTTAAATAAATTTTTAAGTTATTTTGATAGATATTTTAATAGTTAATTTTATTAAAATTATAGCATTTATAATAGCCTACATTGTAATATTTTGTAAATGTTTTTGAGAAAATTTATTCATCAAATTTTGCTTTAAAAATCTAAAATTGAATGTTGTTTAAAAAAAAAAAATACAACACAAATTATTTTTTCCCCAACCACAGGTGACTGCAATAGACCAGGATGGACCAGCCTTGACTTATTCACTTAAACGTGTGTCTCCTGCTGCTAGTGCTGCCAAATTTAATGTACTCAGTAATGGCCTGGTCAAACTACAAGGGGCAGTCACTGCAGGAGAAGTGTACACTGTTTATGTTAATGTTTCTGATGGGGGGACACCACTCCTAAGGTTTGTTTTTTCATATGATACTTTATATAAAATATGACTTAAGATGTTTTATTTTATGCCTAAACGCCTTTTATACTTTCTCGTATATACGAGGTATAGAGAAAGTATTGTAATCGTGCAAAAAAAAAAAATCGAGATTTTTACAAATCTCGACGTTTTACATCTCACTGATAATGAAAAACATAATTTTGCAATCTTGTCCGTATGTCTGTGTGTCTGTCTGTGTGTGTGTGTGTAAACACGATAACTTGAGTACCGTTACAGCTAGGTTGATGAAATTTCATATATAAGTATTTTATCAAAATCGTAGATCCTTATCAACTTTTGAGCGATTTCTGATAACCGGAAGTGGTACTTTTCCTACTTTGAAATTTTCAAAAGCCAATAACTTGAGTACTATTTCAGATAGATAAACGAAATTTCACATGTAAGTAAAAGATCTAATTCTCTACCTTCTGTTAAATTTTGAGTCATTTCCGTTGAACGGAAGTAGTAATTTACCCTACTTCCGATTTCTCAAAAAACTAATGTAAATTTTTAAAGTACTAATAATATTGCGCACTATTATGCACTTTTTTATTTAGCGTTCATTTGGTGTGCAATTCTTTTGTCTATGGGATTTTATTCTATTTTAAAAACTTTAAATATTTAAAATGGATTAAAAATCATGTCTATAGCCCGAGGCCCCATCCCCTGTTATTTTATATAAAAATATTCGAGAAAGTTTAGTGGAGGAATGGTATGAGTTGCTGTTCCAATGTTTAGATGATTCAGAGTAAAGATATGTTTATTCTCTTGTAAATTATTTCAGCTAATTAAATCTGCTTTTAAAATCTGAACTTTTAAGGTAAAAAACTAATTTTTTCCAGAAATGTACATAGAACATTATATATAGAGTAAAATGAGATCAATGTTAACTTTTTGCAAATTCACTAAGATAATTTTATTCTACAAAGATAAAATTACTAGTGTAATTTTTATTAACATTAATGAAACCCAATAAACAAACACTCAAATACATTACACATACTGCCATGTTGCTTCTTTTCAAATGTGCCATTAAAACACTTAAAACCTAATACATCCCAATACATTAGATGTCCAGTAACATTGCATATCTAAATAAAACATTACACAATACACTTGTCAGGTAAATTCTTGGGTAAAAATATAATGATTGTCAGGTAAATTTGAGTGTACTAATATAATAGTTCCATAATTTCTTGTGTACCCCCCAGTGCTGAAGCTGCTGTTGTCGTGACTGTGCTCCCACTAGCCAACCAAGCTCCAGCTTTCACAGCCCCCAGCTACACCATTTATGTTAGTGAGGGAGTCCTCAATGACTCAAGGCTCTTTGACTTACCTGTGAGTAAACTGTGTATACATGTCATTCAAATTTACAAGAATGATGCTTATGCAAAGGGCATTTAGTTTTTATAATCTTAAAACCTCCTTTAAAATATAAATATTTTTCAAGTTACCTAGGTTCACATTTGATTTAGTTGAGCATTTACAATTTTTACATGTAGCATATCCCATAATTTTGTTTCTAGGTTAGTGACCCAGATACACCACTGAGTCAGTTGGTATTTACTTCAACTGAACTTACTACTGACAGATATGTCTACATGAGTGGGTTAGTACATTTTTACCATTCATATTTTTTACAAAATGTTTTTACTTTTTAAATGTATTTCATATGTTAATTCATTGTTTTTAAACACGCAGGTTAAGCTTATTCAATGTTAGGCAGTTTGACAGAGAAGTAATTCCCCAACACACTGTTACTGTAAGAGTTGCAGACCCTCAAAGAAATGTAAATATTTTTATCTTTGTTTTTAAAACATTGTATAAATGATTTTACAAAAGTCAATCAGCAGTAAAAACTTTGAATTTTGAATTTCTTGATTTTTATAAAATACATCTTATTGCTGACTAATTGGTGCTACATAGATTAATTGTTCGGATTTTATTTAAAGTTGCATTTTAAGGCTGTCACATAACACAAGTGATTACTTTAAGCGTAATTTTTAAAAATATTTTTAGACTGCTACAGCTACTGTCATTATAATTGTACAAGACATCAATGACAACAGTCCTACATTTGGACAAAACCAGTACATTTTCAGTATACAAGAAAACCAACCTGTGGCCACAATTGTTGGCTCAGTTTCAGTAAGTGTTTTAGGTTTCACCTGGTTGACATAAAATCTAAACTTTTTAACTATGTGAAGTTTCTATGAATATTTTTATTTTTACAAAATGTGCATGAAAAAGTGTTTTTAGTTGTTTAAATAGCCAGCTTTAAAATTAATTAAAGCTTTAGAGGTATGGTTCATGTCAGTTTAAGCTGAAAAACTGATACTAACTATAATATAAAGATAATAATTTATGACACTAATTATATATATAATGTAATAATATTTAATAATATACCACACTAATAATAACATACAGTAACAATGTTAGATTGGCCCAGGTTAAACCTCATGTTTTATCACCAGGCTACAGATGCTGATGAGCCCAACACACCAAACTCAGCCCTAACATATGGCATTGTCCAGACATTGGACTTTGATAAGTATGTTTTCCTGCTCTCTTCTCTGTGAAGTTTAAATATTGTCTCATCTTGTGACTGGGCTTTGTTAATTAATGTATGCAAGTGTTTTGTTTATAAAGTTTAAGTAACATCTAATGATGCAACACAAAAAGTGTTTGAATGCTATGTATACAACTTAGAAAAGATAGAATAAATTACATGTGAAATTTTAAGTAGGAAGACACTTATTTCTAATATTTGCTATAAAAAAAGTATTTGTATCTCTTTCTTTAAAGATTTACCATAAACCCATCAAGTGGGCAGCTGTCTTCCAATGCCATATTTGATTATGAAACTAAACAACAATACCAGATAGTTGTTAGAGTCTCTGACAATGGAAATGCCCCACGGACTACAGTTGTGCCAGTCACTATCAACATTTTAGATCTTCAAGACAATCCACCATTATTCCAAGTTCTCAACACAGAAGTGTCAGTTAATGAAAATGATTCAAATATTCTTGTGGCAACTCTTAAGGCTAGTTCTTTTTAAAATATATAATCCTTTTTATAAATAGTTCATTCTTCAACCTAGAAAATATAAATTATATTGATTATTAAAATGCATGTTATTAAATAGGCAGTCGATTTGTTTAGCTTTTATGTTCATTTCATGTGTAAAAAAAATAATTGGTCTTTGAAGATCAATCCTTCATAGCTTATCACTAAATATAAATTGAGAATACTCATGTGGAATGAGGTCATTGAAAAAATTTTTAAAGAGAAAATGTTAAAGCAAATAGCTTAAAGACAATCTCTAAATTTCTTTTTTCAATAGGCTGATGATGCTGACTCTGTTAAGAGCTACAATTTTGTCCTGGCTGATAATGCAGGTAGTACAGACTCTTCAGCTTTCTCTGTACAAACTGTGAACAATGAGGCAAGAATTTCTGTAAACACTGCACTGAACTATGAGGTGAAAAACCGCTACACTTTCCTGGTGACAACTCAAGGAATGACAGGAAACATTTTGTACACAACGGCTTCAGTCACAGTCAATGTTTTGGTTAGTATGTTTTCTCTGTTGAATTAATCAGATGTATAACAGGGAGATGAATAATTTTAAATTCCTTATATACGGGCAAATTTTGTAAGATGGAAGAGACGATATGTGGTTTTAATTAGAAATATGGTGGATATAAAAAAAAAGTTAGAATTATTTTCCTTTAATTAACCATGAGAACCCTTAATGCTCCAACCACATCAAAAAAATTTAATTAATGCAGGTCTACAAGAATCTCAGAAAATTAAGTTTCAATTCACACTAGCTTCCAAATGTATAAAAGAGTTTAAACAAAAAAATTCTAAATTGTTTTTACAAAAAATTATATTTGCTGAACTTACTTCCCTCTTCTCAAATGAATAGATTACCTCCCCTATTCAACTTGCAACTTTTTTTATATTTCAGGACATGAATGATAACTCCCCAGTGATTGGACAATACTCTGCAACAGTTACTGTACTGGAAACTGTAGCTATTGGCTCAGCTCTGAGTAATTTAACAGCTACAGATGCAGATGGGACTGTAAGTTTCCAGATATTTGCTTTGTTTCATTTATTGTTAAAAAACTTTTTACATGATCCTCTTTTAATATAGTCATATAATAATAGTGTTTAAGAAAAGAAGAAAAGGAAACGAAACAAGTCAAATGGAAATGTAGCCCAAGAGCTTTAATGAAAAATGTTATAGCATTATCTTTTTGAAATTTTAAAAATGAACTTCAGCTCAGCATAATTACAAAATACTAATACAATAGTATCTAATTCAAATAATTATTTTAACATTATGAATAATATAAATCTAGATTTTAAACTTTTATTTCAATGTTTAAAAATGTATAGCTTAACGTATTCTAATTAAAACTGGTGTACACAATATCTTTGAGATAATTTAAAATCTTCTTCTGACCAGTCACCAAACAACAGGATAGAGTACAAAGTCCAAAGTGTCAGCCCAAACAGTGGTAGCAACCTCTTCTATGTTGGTGAGAAGAGTGCTATTCTAACAGTTGCATCCTCACTCCAAGCTGACAGGACTGTCAACACTTATACTGTAAGTCTTGTCATCTTGTATTTAGAAAAAACTGCTTGCACTTAGGAAAATTAAACAGTTAAATATTTTATATCATGGTCTACTAATTAAGTTGGTGTAAGCTATATATTGTGCAAAAATATTCTTTATTATAGGATTTTGTGCCAGATTGTTATTTGTCCTTGTCAGTTATGTCAGCATTAGACTGAAGTGATACTCCTTAAAAATGAATTCTCCTAACCTTTTTTATATTGTTATTGAATTGATAAAGTTAGTTTAAAATTGGTTCTTGTTTCAGGTCACTGTCATTGCCTTTGATTTAGGCACACCATCTTTAACTGCCACAGGGACAGTCACTGTGACTGTAAAACGCAACACTGCACCATTTTTCCAAAGTGGCTCATCAACTATTCCATTTGTAAATGAAAATGCTGCCATTTCTACTTCCATTTTTAGAACAGTAGCAACAGATCCTGACACAAATATCACTGTAAGTTTTTTTAGTTTAATTAGGTCTAAGTTCATGCTGTATCCAGACATTACAAGAATTAAATTTAGCCATATAAATCTTCTATAATTTAGTAGTAAATGTTTTAGTATTTTAAATTTTACTAGTTTTAATAGCAATAGGAACCTGCATACCAAATATTAAATCAAATAAGGATTCTGAAATACAATTTATGTAAGTATGCTCATAAAATTTAAAAATGTGAATTCAAAATTTATTTTTAAAAATTTTCACCATTTACAGCCTGAGTTTGCAGGTGTGACCTACTCACTGGCAGCAGACTCAGTTGCTTCAAGCCTGTTTCAGGTCAACCCCAACACAGGAGATATAACATTGACTGGTTCCCTGTCTAACAGAGCTGACTCACAATACACTGTAAAATTTCATTGATTATTCTTAATTTATAACAACACCTAAATTAGTTCATTGGTTTTGTTTTCTTGTAAAATATCAATGAAATATATTTTAACTTCATGCACAGTATAACTTTCATCCTTGTTACTTTTAGATCCAAATTATTGCAACTGATCTTGGAGGTTTGTCAGCCAGAATCAATGTCATCATACCTGTGAACAGAAATCTGTTTGACCCACAATTTGATCAGTTGAGCTACACAACAACCATCAATGAAAACTTCCCTCTAGGAGACACCATTGTACAGATAGCTGCTCGTGATAATGATGTCAATGTGAGAAGTATTCAATTTCTTCATTTAAAAGTAGACAATTTTAGTTTAATTCTTTACAATTAAATAATTTTATGACTTATTTTCTAAAAAAAAAAATACATGTGTCTGTTTTGTGTGTAATGTTTAAACTATTGGTTCACATTAGCTTACTTAATTGGAACTGGGTGAATCAAAATTTAAAAACATTGGCTTACAAACATTGAACATGCTTCCAAATTAAATTGTTAGGTCTACCTTATTTTGAAATTGTCTCTAAAATTATGTTGATTGGTGTCAGATAATTAATGCAAAATTTCTTTGTGAGATAAACAGAAGATTTAAAATTACCAAAAGAATTTATGTTAAGCAGTTATAATTTTATTTTACTTTTTTTGGTAGGAATAAATATTATACTTAGTTTCATAGTGATACACATTTTAAAGATTAGTTTAAACAAAAAGTATGACTTTAGACTAGGATAAGGGATTTATACGGGATTTCTAAAGGATTATAGAAGGGATTATACAACAGATTATTTAAGAAGTTTACAAGGGAATTAAAAGAAACATCTTATAAATGTCTCAATACAATGAAATTTTTTCTCCACAGAGCCCATGGAAAGACTTGTCCTTCACTATCACTGGTGACGCTTTAGGCCTACAGTACTGTGCTGTCAGTGACACTGGCATAATCTTCTTACGTCGAACTCTGGCCTTGACCAACATCACAGAGCTCAATGTAATTTTAATTTGACAGTTTCAAATAATTCTTCATTAATAAAAGAATTTAAGAATCGTAATAAAATAAACTTAGTGATTAAAATGTGTTTAAAATATATTTTCATCGTCTATTGTGAACAAAGTATAACAGATTTATCACAATTCACCATTATACTTAGTTAATGAAACACTTGTGTGTATTGATATTTAAAGCTGTGGAAAAAGTCACATATTTTTACAATATATTTTTAGCTGGTGGTATCTCTAAAAGACAAAGGCAATCCACCAAGAACTGCGGCCGCTACAGCAACTGTCAAGATCACTGTAATTAAGAACTCTCAAAGTCCCATTTTCTTCAATGAAACTTATCGAGTCACCATTCCAGAAAATCAGGCGGTGTCCTCACCAATCATCACAGTCAGTGCAACAGATTCTGACGCTGTGGTAAGGATGATTAGTTTAGATTAGGGTTTGGGATTTTTTTTTTACTTCATTTATCTACGAATTTTAAAAAATTATCTAGAGCTGCTCATTTATAAAGAAACAAGTCATTTGAAAAAATGAAATTTGAAAACTATATATAGAATTTTTTTTTAGTCCAGAAGCTTAATTTTCTTGGAATTTTGATCACAGTTCAACAAATTGACCTACTACATTTACAAAACTTCTTGTTAAGTTAGTTAAAAACATTAAGCTATTACATTGACAAAATTTCTAGAGACTGAAAAAAAATTATGTTACTATTCAACAAACTGACCGACTACATTAAAAAAAACAATTATGTTACAGTTCAACAAGCTGACCTACTACATTGAAGGAGACCAGTCAGCTGCCGCCAACTTTGCCATAGATCCAAAGACAGGAGTAATTACATTGATACGGGACCTCAGGCAATCTTCTCTCAGCTCTTTTGTGGTAAGGTTTTAACTGCTTATTATGGCTTGATGTGTTAACAGATGTACAAGCAGAATAACAGCCTTTCTAAAATAGTTCTAATAATGAATAAGTATTGAAATAGCTAGTGACAAAATTCTTGCTTCTTTTCTTTGGTATGGGTCGAACAATATTTACTCTTGTATTGTCAGGGTGACCCCTCAGATAAAAATAGAAATGACTTAGTAAAAATATGTTCTCACACTGTTTATACTTGCGTAGATTCGAGTAGCAGCTTTGGATGATGGTGCCTACCCCAGGAGGGGCACAGCTCTAGTGTTTGTTGATGTCACAAGAAACCTCCAGAGCCCCAGCTGGATAGCTGGTAACCCAACAACTGCCACAGTGTATGAAAATGCTGCTTCAGGGACCAGTGTTGTGAGAGTTTCTGCTACAGACACCGACTCTCAGGTTTGTTCATTCTATATTTAGAATGTCTAAATTATTCATCTCGAGATTTTTTTGCTTAGAGTAGAGATAACAAACTTAAACATTCACTTAGAGGTTAACTACTCCCCCCCTCCCCCTCAGTTTAACTTTCTCCCCCGATACATGAAATAGGTCAGGAGTGTGTTACCGATAATAATTTATTATGTCAAACAAATTATTTTTTTATAACACGCAAATCAAACTAGATTATTTAAGAATGAAATATTGTCTTAAAATTTTTGTTTATATCTACTGTATAATTTGTACAGGCCCCAAACAATGTGATTGACTACATCATCACATCAGGAGGAGAATACTTCCAGGTTGATCAATCAACAGGGGTCATCAGTGTCAAGGTCCCTGTTTACCTAGACACTGCAGCAAATTATCAAGTTAGTATTTTGTTTTAACTGAGTATCACTGCAATTCATGTATTTTTTATTTTAATAGTTTTTAAATGCTGGGGAACTGAGAAATTAAAACCATTTCTGTTTTCCAATTTCAATTCCTAAATTACTTTTAATTTTTAAAAAAAAAAAACAATTTAAAAGAAGTTGGGTTTTTTTTTTTACTAGTCTTGGTATATAACTCAAATAGTTGCAGAAACATCAATTAAATGTAACTCTTCAATAGAAATAATTGTGAATTTTAGCAGAAATTTGGTAAATATTTCTATGACTCGGGTAAATTTTGTTTATGATTAATGATTGAAAAATAATAATTTTTTGTTCAAAGGTAACGCTGATTGCAAGAGACAGAGGAACTCTTACAAGGGAGTCAGCTCCATTCACTGTTACAATAATTCCACAAAGAAATAGGTTTGCACCAAAATGGCAGGCCACTCCCTACAACTTTTATCTGAACCTACCACTAACCAACAATCAGTTGCTGAAGACTTTAACTGCAACAGATGATGACCTGGTACAAATCTTAAGATACATTTTTAAATTGTTATTTTTAATAGTAGTAGTTTATTATGAAAACTACTCCGGAAAAAAGATATAGGTCTACCAAGTTTTTGTGAACATAAGAAAATAATTTCCTGTTCTCTTAACTTCGCATACATGCCTGGGCCTACATTTAAAGTTTTTTTTATTTCAGCCACCTTTCAATCAATTGACATTTGAGCTACTTCCCTACTCCAGCTCATCATTACTATTCACTTCTGATGTCAGCACTCAGAATCAGAACTCTATTAATATAAGAGTTCCCAATGCAAACCTAATCAACTCTGACACACTGCTGCAATATTTCGTAAGTTGAACTTTATAGTACAGACTTACCTGATCACTGTTAATATCTATACAATATTTATTTATGTGTAGGCTAATAGAAAGAAAAAGGCAAAACACTTCAAAACAGACTTGCTTAGATAAAGAAGTAATTAATACCAAATCTATTTCAAACTGCTTAGGGTTTTTTCTACTTTCAGTTTTATGCCAAAGTTCGTGACAGTGGAAGTCCAAGCCTCTCAGATATAGCTCTTGTAACTTTTAATGTCAACCGTAACTTGAATGCACCAAGGTAAGAAAATAGTCTAAAGCGTCAGTGAATAAAATGAGTAGAGTAGCAAAACATTCTAAACCTTTGATTGAATAAAATATAAAAAGCGACTAAGGTAGGATAACAAAATGTTTCATGAAATAAAATCAGTCATTATGAAAATAGTCTAAATCTTTTAAACCAGTTATGCTCTACTGTCTACATACAAATTTTTTTTTTTTTGCCAGCTTCAATCATTGATTGCGTTCAATTATTTATAGTTTCCCTACTACAACAAAGGCTTTCACCAGCTTCAATCATTGATTGCGTACAATTATTTATAGTTTCCCTACTACAAAACAAAGGCTTTCACCAGTTCTATCATTGATTGTGTACAATTTTGTTTAGTTTCACCACTACAACAAAGGAAATCACCATTAATGAGACTTTAACTCCTGGCTCCTTCGTCATTGACTGTCCGGCCACAGATGCTGATGGCACTGCAACCAACAATGGTGTTATCACCTATTCTGATGTTTCAAACTCTAAGTAAGCTGAATACATTATTTATTTTATAATATTATAAATACATATAAATATGTACTACCTCAAAAAACACAAGTTTACAAAGGTAAAATTATAAAAATAAAATAATTTCATAATTAATATTAGTCAAAATGCCATAAAATAAAGCAGGAATACCAATATCATCTATAAATATTTCAATTTTTACTTTTGCTTCAGCTATTTCCGTGTGGTAGGGACGAGTAGTGGCATCATTCTACAGCGTCCACTACAGCAGGACCCAGCCACGACATACACTGTGATCATTGGAGCTCAAGATAACGGAAACCCCCCACGAATAGCACCTAACACATGCACAGTTACAATCAGAGTGATACGCAACCAAAATCCACCGGTGTTTGTCAATACCCCTTATGACAGTACCATTGCACGTACTGCAACTGCAGGTTTAAAGGTTGTCCAGGTGACAGCCACTGATGCTGACTTGCAGGTACAAAATTAAATTTCTTTACTTTGTTGATACTGAACATTGCGTTAAAAGGTTGTTTAAGGATAAATTTAGTTAGCAGTAAATGTTAATGGACATTTTATCTCCATTTTTTTATTGAAACATCCTTATCCAAATGTTTCTAAAATTACTACAATTGTGAGGTTACATTATTTTATAATAGTAAAACTGTTAGGTTCCTATCCAATATTCTTATTTCATTATTCTATAAATATTATTTTTAGTTAAAAATTTTTGTCATATATTAAAATTTGTAACCAGTTTATGTCTAAAACTTTTTTCCATTCAGGCCCCCTTCAATGTTGTAAGATATGAGATTATTCGACAGTCTGTGCCAAATATCTTTGTCATCAACTCAGTTACAGGAGACATTACTTTGGCCACTGGTATGGCCAGTCAGACTGATGCCTCATACACAGTAAGGGATAAGAACAAAACTTTCTAAAACTATCTAGATTACATGAAAGTAAAGTAGTTTACTTACATAAGATAATTTACTAATATTTATTAAAGATGCCTGTTTAAGTAATTTAAAAAAAAAAATCTGTTTTATAATTTTTCTATTTTTATTGCTGCAACGTTATCAGCCTAGAAAGTGTGAAAATCTTAACATTGCTAGGCTAATTTTCCCACACTAAATAAAAGATTACTAGAGATAGATTATGGGTTGCCTTAAAATTTAATAACTTTCTGTCTCAGCTGTAGAACTACTCCATTGTTTACATTTTTTATTATAACTATTTTTTAAATTAAAAAAAATTTCAGATTGCAGTTCGAGCTTATGATGGAGGAAATCCAGCCCTCTCAGCCTACAATGTTTTCAGGGTGACTGTCAATGGAAATCTTCAAAGCCCAGTGTTTGTGGTGCCAGGTTCTGCTGCCAACTACATCGCCAGTGTTGAGATACTTGAAGGCATTGATTTCAACTACAACATTTACACTGTCTCTGCTACAGATGGGGACAATGTAAGACTTTTCATTTTAGTTTAGTTTATTCAGTTTGTGAGCATATAGGCCTCGACATCTAATTATTGAGCCCCTAAAAATGCATTAGGTTAATAATGTACCTTGTAAACTATATATTCCTTTACCTGAGATTCATTTCAGATATTTTTTAATTGGCCTATACAAACACAAACAAATCTGATAAAATTGAAATAGAAGTTAAATATTTTAATATGCATATTTTTTAAAAGTTTCATCTACTATGACAAATGCAACCTATTTAGTTTGACCCAGTTACTTTGAACATCAAAATATCTGTTACTCTTGTTGATTATAATTTCTAATTTGAAGTTTTAAATAGTAGGCAAAGGTTATCGGCCATTCTGTATCTAATTCTTTGCATTTTGTTTGTACACACATTGTTGAAATACTGTTTAAGACATTCTCAGTCTACTATTTTGGTTTTCTGTTATTTAACAGAATTCTAGCCCACTGTAACATTGTATGTTATAATATTGTCTATGTTATTATAATCTACCCCTGTATCCACCAATCAGGGTGATGCTGGCAAAGTGAGCTACTACCTAGTCGGTGACAATCAAGCACTGATGTATTACCAAGTGATCACTGACTCTGGGATTATAAGGATCCGTTCATCACTGCTTCAAGACACTGTTCAGCAGTACACTGTAAGATTTGGCTGCTTAAAGTTATCTCAATTAAATAAACATTATAAAGTTATTTTTTTGTCTTTTAAGATATTATATTTCATTATATATTTAAGATTTTTATATTTTTAAGATAAAGATAAAGAATTATAAGAATATCAGCTGTCACAAATTACACTATTTATAAAAAATCTTATTTGTTATTTATTAACTGTTAAACAAGTGTAAGCAATATTGTGTGTATTAACTAATGAAATGTGTTTTATTACTTTCCAGTTGAATATTATTGCTCGGGACAGTGACATCAGTAACCCTAAAGTGTCTACAACTACAGCTACCGTCTCAGTCAGTGTGTACAGAAATAAATTCTCGCCACAGTTTATCAATATGGCTGCTTACAATCAAGTGATTGACGCAAACCTGCAAGTTGGGCAACGTGTAACAGCTGTAACAGCAACAGATGCTGATCGAGTGGTGAGACTTTTTCTGTGTGTCAAAATGAATATTAAAATTAGTTTTATTACTTCTCCATCTTTTTGTCAAATTTTATTAAACGTTGAAATTAGTTTTACTTCTGCCAAACTGAATTGAGTATTAAAATGTGTGTAAATATCTTTTAGCCAAATTTTATTGTTGAAATTAATCTTCTTTAAATTTATTTTACCTGATTAAAAATGCTGTCTTATTTTACAGAACACTTATGAGAGGGTGGATTACCAGATCATTGGGGATGGAGATTCTCTCGGACTCTTCCAGATAAATTCTAATACTGGTGAAATCACACTAAAGAGCTCTTTAGCCAATTATGGAGCAAGTGTTTACTATGTAGGTTCTATTTGAGATCTCTCTCATTTTTTAACATTAAAATATCAGTGTTTTTAAACTGTAGGCTTATACCAAATTTTAAAAAAATTACCTTTTTTTAGTTGATATATTTAATTTTATATAAACTAATTTCTTTGCCGAAGTTAATTTCTGAAAGAGTATACCTTAGTTTTTAAAAAATTGCAGAGAGAGGGGAATGGGTGTGTGTTTTATTGTTCTGTCCATGGACAATGATTCTAAGTTTAACACAAATAATCTAGCTACAGTTGGAAATGTTTTTTTTCAAGGTTTGTAATAACTTAAAAAAAATGTGTGAAAATATAAATTGTTCAATATCAGGTGCGAGTCCAAGCTAATGACAATGGTGCGGTCCCTCACAAGTTCAGTAACACAACAGTCTTGACCATCACAGTCAACCAAAACTTGTACACACCTGTTTGGAGGGTTGCAGACCTTAACAACCCAGCTTTCACCTATACGATATCAGAAGATCAGTACCTGTATTTTCCATTTGGGTTCCTGTCTGCTACTGATGGTGATTCTCAGGTGTGTTAGTAATTTTATGAACTGTACATTTTTTTGTGTTGGTTTGTGATTTATGACAAGCTGGTTATGCTTGTGCTATATGAGTTTTTTTTATGAGGTGTATTTTGTACAGTTGTTTTATTTTGGTATCTTGTATAATTTGTTTTTATGATAGTGTTTTATAGGGTATGCTTGCATAGTATGAGACATGTTGTGAATAGCAATGTTTTAGAGTATCATTGTTTTCTGTGTTAGTTTTAAGATGGTGTGAAACATTTTATTTTATCTGTTTAATCTATAGATGTATTTTTTAGCCATTAAACAGTGATATCATTCAACATTCAACATTATCAATACAATTTTAAAATTTTAATCGGATCTATCAAATGTTTTTTGAAATAGATGTATATACCCATGAATATTTTTATAAATAAGAAAATTATTATAGTAATTAGCACATGATGTTAATTCCTCCCTCGTCATTATTTTTGCTACTCCATGACCATGTTCTCTGTTTTGTTTCTGTAACTCCAGCCTCCACACAACCTCGTAGACTTCTACTACAGCCCAGCCTCTCAGTCTGCTCTTGAGTTTTTCCGTGTGACCAGAGATGGCGAGGTGTCAGCAATTAAGTCATTGGTTGGAACAACAAGCAGCTCTTACACTGTAAGTTTTGTTACTTGATCAACTCACTAGTTGTTGTTTTTTTTTCAAATCAGAAATCACATATAAACAATAACAAAATATTGAGTTTTACAAAGTGTCAATTTCAACATTTTTTAGTCTTCTTTAAAAAATTTTTACAAAAGGTTGAAATAAAATATATAAATAAACTATTAAAAAATATTAAGTTTTACAAAGTATCAACATTTTTTAGTCTTCTTTAAAAAATTTTTACAAAAGGTTGAAATAAAATATATAAATAAACTATTAAAAAATATTAAGTTTTACAAAGTATCAACATTTTTTAGTCTTCTTTAAAAAAATAATTTACAAAAGATTGAAATAAAAAAAAATGTCTTCCCTACAGTGGACCATGGGACTGAGTGACAGGGGCACTCCTATACGCAACAACTCTCGCCTGGCCACTGTGACAGTTATTATCACCAGGAACAACAACGCCCCCTACTTTACAAACTGCCCGCTTGCAACTACCACAGTTGTTAGAGAGGACGCTGCTCTTGGCACCACAGTCCTCCGTGTCACAGCCTCTGACAATGATCCTCCTAGTTCTGTAAGATTTTATTTCAAATTTTGTTTTTGAGTTGCTTATAACTTTATTTTTTGTTCACTCTTAATTTAAATGTAACTTTATGCCTGAAACTCTTCTGTCTCCAGAGATTTGGAAATATCACTGTGACATTGATTGGGGATGGAACCAGCAATGTTTTTTTCCGCCTCAACTCTAATAATGAAATAGTTGTAAATGGAAACTTAGCATCGACCAGCACCAGTAGTTACCAGGTAAAAATTACATTCAAAGTTTATTACATTTTATACAATGTTTAATGAGTGAATATATAATTTACATACACATCAAAAATATCTTATTTTTAAATACTCTGGATACTAAAGCTTTCTAAATATGAAATGATTATATTATTAATAATTTGAAACATATTATGGAAAATAAATAATATACTCAAAAATTACTTTAATTCTAAATTATTGATATGTTGTTATAATAGTTTTCTGTGGATACTTAAAATATGTGAATATCATCTTATATTATGTTTATCCTAAGTAACTGTCCGATTTTTTGTCTTTGTCCAGATTTTGGTCCAAGTTTCTGACCAGGGAAGTCCACCTAAACAGGCCCAGTGTGTCATTCCTGTCAGCATCAACCACAACTTGCAAGCACCTGTCTTCAACAACAACAGTTACAGTGTGAGAATCCTTGAAAACCTGCCACCAGCCTCTTCAGTGATCAAGGTCACTGCCACAGATGCTGACTTATTTGTAAGTGATCTTATTCCATGAAAGTCTTCTTTCATAAAGGGTACCAGAGGAGTACTATTAAAAAACAATTTAACAATATCATCATCAGGATCATTTAAACTACACAATGTACCTTCCTTCTAAGTTTAGTTTTAAGTGTTTTTGCATAGTTATAGTGAATAGTGGGATGAAAGAAACAAGATAGTGTAACCCTTGCAGCTTTTTGCACCTTCTGCTTTGTTCACTTCCAGAGCCCCTTCAACGCACTGACCTACAGATACCTACAAGCTCTAGACAGCAGCCAACCAGATACTTATCTCAGCGTTAGAGCAGACGGCCTCATTGTTGTACTGAGAAGCTTCCAGATGGACTCCACTGCTAACACACTATACAGGGTAAACACTTTAAACCACTTTACTGCCAATTTAAGAAGTTGTAGTTGTAGCAGTAAAAAAAAGTTGTAACTTGTTAAATAAACCGGGAGTGATCTCCCCTAAACTTTCTCGAATATTTTTATATAAAATAACAGGGGATGGGAACTCGGGCTATAGACATGATTTTTAATCCATTTTAAATACTTAAAGTTTTAAAAATAGAATAAAATCTCGTAGACAAATTAATTGCACACCAAGTGAACGCGAAATAAAAAAGCGCATAATAGTGCGCAATATTATTAGTACTTTTAAAATTTACATTAGTTTTTTGAGAAATCGGAAGTGGCGTAAATTACTACTTCCAGTCAACGGAAATTACTCAAAATTTAACAGAAGGTAGAGAATTAGATCTTTTACTTACATGTGAAATTTCATTTATCTATCTGAAATAGTACTCAAGTTATAGGCTTTTAAAAAATTCAAAGTAGGAAAAGTACCACTTCCGGTTATCGGAAATCGCTCAAAAGTTGATACGGATCTACGATTTTGATGAAATACTTATATATGAAATTTCATCAACCTAGCTGTAACGGTACTCAAGTTATCGTGTTTACACACGGACAGACAGACACACACACACACAGACATACGGACAGAATTGCAACGCCCAGTTTTTCAAACTGGATTACGCATAAAACCTCTTAATTTTGATAAATCTGGATTGATAATTTTTGCCCGATTAAAATAAGTCCTCTATACTTCGGATGTGATGAAGGACTGAGGTGTAATACGGTAAAAATTGTTAAAATTTCAATTGATTTTTGTGCACGATTACAATACTTTCTCTATACTTCGTATATACGAGAAAGTAAAAAACACTCAGTAATTGAAATATCAACCAGGGCCTTAGAAATGTGCTGATATAGTAATAATTTTTTGCTAAACAGATTTTTTTATGCTAAACTTTTCTTTTTTATAAATTTGAAATCAAAGCAGAAACCAAAGTTGTTTTATTTGATTTAAAAATAAAATATTTCTGTAAAATATACATATTAAAATCTGAGGCTCTTAGAAATTATTTGTGTGCAGATTTTAAAATTTTTAAAATGTTTTTTAGATGAATTGTAGAAAATATTATTTTTTTTATTGGTGCTGTTAGATGAATTGTAGGAAATAATTTTTTTTATTGTTGCTGTTACATGAATTGTAGGAAATAATTTTTTTTTCAGTTTACTGTCGCTGCAAGAGATGGTGGTGGTCTAGAGGCCACATCATCAGTTAGTGTTACTGTCGTCCGCAACACCCCACCCAGAATTACAAACCTGAGGAATATAACAATCAACTACAATCACACAGTCAATAGCCTAATTCTTGATGCTGATTACACTGATAGTGATGTAGATGTAAGTATAACTAAACATTTATTTTAATTTTTTTTTGTTGTTGGCTTGTTTTTGTGTTAAAAAACATTTTATTTCTCTTCACTGCCTTAATTTAGTATTTTTGTATCCATTCAATGTGAAGATCTAATTTTAGTTTTTTTTTGTCTGGAGACCTAAATTTTTATATTTTAAACAAAATTACAGAACCCCTTCAATGTGGAGACATTTTCACTGGTCGGAGAAAGCGATGCTCAGTATTATATGCGAATAGACAGTGTAACAGGAGTTGTCTCCCTTGCCCAATCTCTCATTGGAGCTGGACCTAATGTATTCCTGGTAGGTTCAACAAAGCTATTAGAACTTGGAAAATAAAAAAAATAAATCAGATTTAGTTTTTTTATCAATGCACTAGACATTTGTTTTAATATACATTGAAATAATGTTCTTTTAAAATATTAAATGTTGAAATGAAAAGGGTGGGATGGTCTATCAGAAGTTTGCTAGCTTGCCCACCCAAAAGTTGGTCAACTCCATAGTTTGCCCCCAGCGGAACTGACCCTATTTTTTAACCTGGTTGGGCAACGAACTGGGGAAAATGGAAGTATTTACAAACATGTATATGTATTGCATTCTATTTTAAAACTAATTTTCCCCAGGTCAATGTGAGAGTATGTGACGGAGGAAACTTATGTGACCAGGGCACATTTTCTGTCAACGTAACCCGTAACTTCGGCCCTCCAGTTTTCCTGCAAGCTGCCTATAACACAACCATTGGGGAGGACCAGGCCGTGCTGTCTTCTGTCCTTCAAGTATCTGCCACAGACAACGACCTAGCTGCCCCGTACAACACTTTCACCTACAGAATGCAAGTGGATAATCCCAGATTTTCCATAGACCCAACCAGTGGGGTCATTTCAGTTAGACGTCCATTAAATGGAGAAACACAGAGTTTTTTCGATGTATGTATTTTTTATATTTACATTTTTTTAAAAAGATTACAAAATCTTGATGGATTCGGTTACATTTTGAGAAATAAAATCCAAAATATTCCTTAAGTTTGATTTTAAATAGTTTGGGTTAAAATTTTTTTCATTCTTTAGTTCATGGTGGTTGCTGTAGATGGTGGAAACTTAGTCAGTGTTCCAATATCTGTAAGGATCAACATTGTGAGAAACAATGCTGATCCTGTCTTTAGTACAGCCAGCTGTGATGGAGCAATTTTAGCAAATGTCCAGTCTGGCACACCAGTAACATCTGTATCAGCCACAGATAGTGACACATGGGTATGTTTGATTTGCCAGATTTTTTTAAAGAGCCAAGTCTTTTGTATTTAAACCTGATTTATAACGCATTCAATGACAGTATAACCAGCATAACATTTTTTTTTCTTAGACTTCTTTTGGAACTTCTTCAATCACTTATAGAATTATTGGAGATGATGGTGCCAGCACATTTTTTAGCATTGGCAGCCAGAATGGGCAGGTGACAGCTGGCAGTGGTATCAGCTCAAGCAGTGCTGACTCCTACAAGGTAACCCTTTGTCAGTGTTGACACCCACTTAGTCAGTGTTGACACCCACTTAGTTGGTGTTGACACCCACTTAGTCACACAAACAGTGTTGACACCCACTAAATCACACAGTGTTGACACCCACTTAGTTGGTGTTGACACCCACTTAGTCACACAAACAGTGTTGACACCCACTAAATCACACAGTGTTGACACCCACTTTGGTCACTGTTGACACCCACTTAGTCACACCCACTTAGTCAGTGTTGACACCCACTTAGTCACACCCACTTAGTCAGTGTTGACACCCACTCTAGTCACACAGTGTTGACACCCACTTAGTCAGTGTTGACACCCACTTAGTCACACAGTGACACAGAGATTCACTGAAAGTATAGTTATAGAAAAATTAAAAATTTCTGGTGATTTATCTCTGTACAGTGAGTGACAACATGGTCCAATGGTAGAGCTTATAACTGATAGCCTGAAAGTCTTAGTTTGGATCCCGGGCTCAAGCCTGTGGGACGTCACTGAGTCTACCCTGCTCTGATGGGTACCTGACTCACATTAAGGAAACTAAGACAGTATGGCATAGTACTGACAACACTAACCTCGCCATATGCTGAGGTAATTGAAACAGATGAACTCGACTTCATCTGTCCCATGTGTCTTGGGCACAAACTGGAAAAGTTGATGCTGATGATATCTGAACAATAAATTCTGTCAGTTTGTAAATATTTTTGGAGTAATTTTTTTCTATTTAAGAAGTCTATAGGGATTTAATAACGAGAAGAGCAGAAGTCAATTTTTCAGTCTGTTTATTTTTGTAGATTCGTATTGAAGCAAGAGATGGCTTCGGCAGGTCAGCTGTCAAGGTATGCACCTTAACAGTGACCAGAAACCTGAATGACCCCAGATTTGAAACTACAGCCTACAATCAAAGGATCCTAGAGACTCACCCAATTTCAGCCTCTGTGATACAAGTTTCAATTGTTGATGCAGATACCAGTGTAAGTCACAGCAGTTTAAAATTCTTGTTGAATCCTCTATTAGCTTAAATCGACATTGGCCTGTGGCAAGATTGTAAAATATGAGTAACAAAGCATGGGCTAGTCAGGATTTGTACAGTTTTCCCAGAGTTGGTGCTAATGTTAGAGATTGACATCTGGTAGACGTATTGTTTAGCCAGTGTGCTCTTGCCATTGTTATATATACTTGCCATAGTTATATATACATGCCATAGTTATATATATACATGCCCTAGTTATATGTACGGGCCATAGTTTTCTGTAATGCTGTGACTATGCCAACAGTTAACTTTAGTTGACCCTCAATTTTTTTTTTTGTTAGAATCATCAGCTAGATTAAACCTTGAAATTGTTATATTTTTAATGTATACATTTGTTTTACTTTCCCAGGCTCCATCTAACCTAGGGAGCTTTAGCCTCTCAGGGACACCACTTTGCCAAGAGTATTTCAAAATCGACCAGATTTTAGGCCTAATTTACGTACAAAAAGATCTACGCCTGAATCCATTCAAACCATCAACATACACTGTGAGTTTCTATGAACAATCAAATAACATTTTCAATAACATTGTAGTCTGCTATTTTGTAAAAATAAAAAGAATTTTGAAATATTTTTTAAAAATACCTTTTTAGTGCACAGTGACAGCTACTGACAGAGGTGTTCCCCCACGCAGTGCAACCAACACAGCTACAGCCACCATCACAGTTGTTTACAACACTGCTCCAAGCTTCGACAAGGATGTTTACGTGGCCAATGTGAGCAGGGCCATCACAGAAAACTCAGTTATTGCCACTTACACCGCCACAGACAATGATATTGATGTAAGCATATTGAAAATATTTTGAACCCATTTTTATTTTGTTTAATCTATTTTTATTTCTGGCTATCATGAAACAATGATATCTGTACAATATTACTCACAGCTGTACTTAATGCTCTATAATATTTCCTGTTTATTTCAGATTCCATTCAACCAAATTACTGTTTACATTTCTGGAGGGTCAGATGCCAGATTTTTTGCCCTGAACCAAGCCAATCAAATTTTGGTGAAAAACACAGCAGACATGGCTTTAGAAAGGGATGTAAAATACACTGTGAGTCAATGCTTTATAAAATGGATAGTTCCACACCATGTTGTTAGTTATCATAAAGAGTACTGCTATTCATGATTTATAAAGAATAAATACAGGTATCCCGGTTTTAAAATCAGCTAAGTTATTTGTAATGAATATCTTGTTGCACCTCATGTAAAAGAAAATTAATGTTAACCTAAGCATCTTCCAGAACATGCCTTTTAGGCTGCATGCATAATCCAATCAGGTTTACAACTATTCAGAATTAATGCTTTAATTGTTATTAGTATATAAATATGATTCAGATGGGTTTTTTTTTTAGCTTAATTCTTAACATAAGTTTGATTTGGTTATGTTAACATGATAATACCCTTAAACTATAAACAAAAATATGTTGTTAATGTTTGCATTTTTGTGTGCTCCTACTCAGGTTTTTATTACTGTGGTTGATGGTGGTAGCCCCCCTTTGAATGACACAGCTGTTGTTGTGTTGAATTTGGACAGAAACCTGGCCGCCCCTGTTTGCTCAACACCAGGACCAGTCACCATACAATACAACCAAACACTTGGAGTGTCCTTTGCTTCCCTCACTGCTACAGACAGTGACACAATAGTCAGTAGCCTATTCAGTTTTTAAAAATAAGTAAACCATATTTTTAAAATGGATAGCATGTATATTTTTTAACCATTCAAAATCTTTTTTTCCAGGCTCCAATGAACACAGTGACCTACACCCTAGTGGGTGACCTACTTCCACAGACGTATGTGCAGATAGATCCAATCACTGCTGCTATCAGTCTGAAAGCCAGTCTTCCTTCTAGAAATATTAATGGATTCCTGGTAACCACTAGATTTCATTTTTTCAATATCAACTGATTTTAAAATTTTGATTTTACTTTTTGATTTTTTTTACTTTATGTTTTTAATAATTTATTTAGATTTGTAAAATGTAAGCTATTTCACTCTTCGTTTCCTGTTTGCATTAGGTTCGAGTTGTGGCAAGAGATGGAGGATTCCCATCACGGTCCAGCACATGTAGTGTCCAGATAAATATCCTCACAGACTCGGCTGATTTAAGGATAACTGCTAACCCAACATCTATTCCAGAAACAACTGCAATCAATACTACAGTCTTATCAGCGTCTGCTCAACCTCCAGTTAGTGTTTTATTTTATTGGATATATTTTGTAATCCACTAAATCAACAAAACATTTATGTTTTCAGTTAACTAAATTTGTAAAAATAGGATTTTTTAATAAGAAGAATTACAAAAGCGAACAGATCAATGTATTCTATTGCTGCCATTAAACTTACTTTTGGTTAATTCAAAACTAGTTTCCATTTTTTTTTTAGCAAACTTACAGTACTATTGAACAAAAATGTGTATATCTATTATTAATTTGAAATAATCTGTTTTTTTTTAAATAAGCATTAACTGAAAGGGAAGTAAATAAAAGCATACAATTTTCATACATTATAATTTTTAAAGTTGAATTGATGAATACAAAAATTTAGTTTACTTCCAATTATTTTATAATGTATTTATTTTTAAAATTCAAGCAGCAAACAAATTATTTTTAATAAATTTTTTTCCCAGCCTAATATCAGGTACAGTGTTGTTGGGTATGACACAGGACCAACATACTTTGACATTGATCCAGTATCAGGAGCCGTCTTTGTCAAGACTGATTTACGTACAGATTTATCCAAGAGAACTCTCTACACAGTAAGTTAATCATTGTCCTCTGTGGGTTTTTTAAATCACTGTGATGATATTTAATTAACTGCATAAAGGCCTTTGTGAAATCCACCATTAAACATTGTTTACATTTTTTCTATCACTCAGTTGCGACTGAAAGCTGTGAAAACATTTGAAGTAACCACACAAGAGGCTTATGTCGATGTAACAGTCGCAGTACAACGCAACCAGAATGGGCCTGTATTCACACCACTGAATGGCAATTATGTCACAACTGTCAACAAGGACGACTACATTGGGACCCCAGCTATACAGATGAGTGCTACTGATGCAGATGGGGTATAGTTTACTTATTGGATTTTTTTTCTAAATTTTTTAGAACATTATGTCAACATATTATATATTTTTTTAAACTTGTAACTTAACATGATTTGCAGGACCAACTTCTGTATACAGTCGTAGCACCCACCCCTGGCTCTGATTATTTCTATGTCAGCTCAACAACTGGCCTGATCTCCATTGCTAAATCCCTCTCTAATTTAGCCATCAACCCTGTCACTGTGAGTAGCTGCACCTACATCATTATTATTTTAATTCAACAATATAATTTGAAGATAATCTCTTGATAAGAATGCAAAAAAAAAATCAGTTTTACTTTGTAAGACTAGTTGCCATCTTTGTTTTACTTTATAAGACTAGATGCCATCTTTGTTTTACTTTATAAGACTAGTTGCTATCTCTAAATTTCAAAATGTAATCTTTTATTTCCAGTTCCAAGTTATTGTCAGTGACCAGTCCATTGTCAACCCCAAGTCAGGCACTGCCTCTGTAACAATCAGCATTGTAGGCGACCAGCCTCCATATTTTGTCAATCCTAACACCTACACCGCTTCAATATCTTACAAAACAGCTGTAGACAGCAGTGTCTTCACAGTCAGTGCAGTCGATCCTGACCTCAAGGTAAGAAATAAAATTCTATGACAATAAATAAATTAATTTCCCTTGCAAGAGAGTGATTGTTTTTTCTTTGGTAATAGCATCACCAAACTGTCTTACCCTAGAGATTTTTATTACATTATTATTTACTGTCTTTACCCTCCCCACCCTAGATACTTAATTATATTATACATGTCATTATTAACTGCTAGGTCTCCATCAGATGTTAGAACCTCTTGGTTGTATTTTTTATGTACTTAAGTCTTTTTGACACTCATTTGTGACTTGTAAAATTTTTTGATGTAGTTAACAACTACTACACTCATTTGTGACTTGTTAAATTTTTTGATGTAGTTAACAACTACTACACTTCATTGTTACAATTCCTCAGGGGTCACTTGTTTATGAAGCCACATGTGGGTTGCTGTCTGCTCCAGGCTACTTCAGGCTGAACTCAACCTCAGGGCAGATAACTCTCAGATCAAGTGTTACTCCTGACCTAAGCACCCAATACCTGGTACCTTAATACATTTTCTTTAACTTACCTACATTTTGTGTATTTTGTTTCCTCTACAATTATTGATATTAATTTTGACTTGTATTTTTAAACTAAATTTGACTAAACGATGTTTCTTTAACCATACTTGTGTCACTTCTACCTCCTCAGCTTTGTATGGTTGCCTATGACTCAGTCAGACCTAACGTCAGAGCCACAGCAACGATGACAATCAACATAGATCGTAACCCTAGCTTTCCTGGCTTTGTGACTACCACCTACAACACGCAGGTGTATGAGAACGTACCATACGGCACCAGTTTGTTTACTCTCTCAGCTACAGATAATGACGGTGTAAGTTTTATTTAGTTGATTACTTGTTACCCTCTCTACCTTACTTGACTTTAAATGAAATAGTTATACTTGTGTTAACATCCAAGTTTTTATTGCTGAACTAAGACATCTAATATTTTATTAAAACTACTCTATTTTTGAAAATTTAATTAGTGAATTAGTGAAACTGAAGGATCTAACAAATTTTATTTTCAGCAAAACCTGATCTACAGTGTCTCAAGTGCAACTCCAGCAGAGTGCAACAATTATTTCAGTCTTTCTATTGACACCCTCCGCTCCATTGGTGACCTTTATCTTTCTAGACCAATCACTCAATGCCAGGTTTGTCTAAATACAGAAAACTGCATTAAAATATTAAAAACATTAAATATCCAAAAAATCATAAGTTGTAAAAATAAGTTTGTTAAATAAATTATTTAAAGTTTGCTGTAAATATTTCCTATTGGTCAACAGTTCCAGTTTAGTGTCAGAGATGATGGCATTCCTCCTAAAACCAGCACAAACGTGGCCATTGGAACAGTCACATTTGTTAGAAATGACTTTACACCAGTTTTCCCAAGCCCTCTCTACACTGTCACTCTGCCTGAGACCAACAGCTTCCCTTCAATAGTTTTTGATGTCAATGCCACTGATGGTGATACTTTTGTAAGTTTCCTATATGATGAGAAAATTAGAATTTACTTTATTTTGTTTTTAATAAATCTTAAATTTCTATATAATTTAATTATTTAAAACAATTTTTGTGTGGCTTAATTTAAAAAAAAATTTTTAAATTACTTTTTAAATGCAATTTTCATTTTTTGTAAACATCAAATATTTTTAAGAAATTTTTTAAAAATTATTTTATTTCCTTTACGAGATTTTTTAAAACATTTTTTTCTTTCAAGGAAATTGGGTTTGGAGATATTGAATATGTAGCAATAGGAGACAGCCCAGCTCTCAGCTTCTTCTCAGTGAACAACTCAACAGGTGTTGTCACTCTGTTCAGTTCTCTACAAAATGGAAACCTTCCAGCATATACAGTAAGCTAAACCCTAGACTTCTGATTCTGTCCTACACAGTAAGCTAAACCTTAGACTTTTGACATCGGCCTACACAGTAAACTAAACCTAAACCTGACGTTGGCCTACCCAGTAAACTAAACCTAAATTGACATAGACCAGCTCAGTAAACTAAACCTCAACTTGTAAAGCAGGACAAATTCTAAATTAATGCATAATTAAACCATAACAGTCAATCACAACAAACTGGCAATTACTCTCCAGGTTCGCATAGTGGCCAGAGATTATGGCAGCCCTCGTTTGAGCAGTACAACACTCGTCCAGTTCAATATCAGCTACAACTTAAACAACCCTGTTATAACCCCTGACCAAGCCACAGCTAATATCACAATCTTTGAGGATGATCCAATCTCATCCCCCATTTTCAACTTTGATTACACTGATGCTGACAGAACAGTAAGTTGCTTGAAAATTTTCTTCAAAATAAAAATTGAATTTTGTTGTAATACAAAACTGTTTATTTTCTAAATAATGGCTAGAAAAACTATTTAACAAGGTTTAATTTTACTTTTTAGTTTTAAGTAAATTATGATAATAACTTCACGTAAATTTTAAATAGAGCTAATGACTGCCAACCCATGTCTAGAGTTTGCATCCCAGACTCAAGTCTGTAGAATATCCCTTTGTCCACTCATATGCAGGGGTCATTGAAATAGATGAACTCTACTTCATCTGCCCCATGAGTCTCGTGCATAAACCAGAAAAGATGATGATGAAATTCTAAATAACTAAACATTCTTTGTAGATATTAATGTAATTAAGACAATATCTGTTGCCTACAGTTGTTCCTTGAGAACTTTGTTATCAATGTATTGAAATTATATTATAAATTTAAAACTGCGTGAACTACCCTAGGGTCCTCAGCAAGCTGTCACATGGAGTATCCAGTTTACTGCACAGGCAGACAGAAGTTATTTCATTATTGACCAGCTAGGGGATGTCTATGTCAACTTGCCACTCTGGCTAGACAACTCAAACAAAATGACCTACACTGTAAGTATTCATTCAGTTTTTTCTTTTGCCCTGTCTTGACCAAAATTTTTGCTGAATAATTCATTAATTGCTTCAAAAAGAACTCTTACAGTATAATTAGATTTATACCCTGTAGGATCTATACACATTTTCAATACTCAAACAGTAATTAAGCTTGTAATTTCACAATAGCTCTTGTTTAAAAGTGAAATGTTTAGCCTGTATTAGACAACATTGATACAGTAATTAAGATTGTAATTTCACAATGGCTCTAGTTTAAAAATGAAATGTTTAGCCTGTATTAGACAACATTGGACATTGTCCCTATCACTTTTATTTCCACAGTTCACAGTATTTGCAACCAACACTGATGGCTCAGGCAGAAGTGATTCTGTATTTTGTACTGTCAATGTCTACCGCAACCTGAACCCCCCTGTCTTTAGTCAAGATGTCTACACAGTCAACAACATCAGCTACTTAACTCAACAATCCACTTCCTTGACCACAGGCATTGTTGCAACAGATGCAGATACACAAGTAAGATTTTTACTCAGGCAGTGTTAAAAATGTTAATATAGTAGCCCTCATTTGGGATTTGATAAGAAATATGTGACAAGAGTTCCAAATCTCTCTTGATTCTGAAGCTACTTCTTACATTTTCAATATTTTTTTGTCATTTATTGTAATTGTGTTTGAAACCACAGGTCCTAGTAAACTTATAACCAACTCATCCTTTCTCACCTGTGGTAAGTGTCACCTGTGGCGATGGTGTCACCTCTGGTGGCTGTGTCACCTCTAGTGACAATATCACCTGTGGCGACAGTGTTTTAACATTTATTCCTCTTGTGTTTAACCAGGCCAGATACCAGGTGAAGAGATATGAGATCATCCCTGATGGTGTCTACTCATCATGGTTTACTATAAATAGCCTCACTGGTGCAATTACTCTCAATCAAAATATCGCAGATAAAACTGACGCAGTTTATAAGGTAAGTCCATTCGCTTCACTTCAATGCTTTAGAAATAAAGTGAGTTTTATTTAAGTGAGTGCAAAATCTCTCATTAGTCAATCAAATTAAGCAATAATTAAATAAATATGTTTAAAAAGTGAATTTAATAAGAGCACTACCCTAAGGTTATGAATATAATTTCTCCGTTTTGATTTACCAAAGTTAGTTAAATTAATCTGCCCAGATTTGAGCTAAATCCTAAGATAGTGAAGTTTGATATAGTATAAGGGTGAGAGAAAGTGCCAGTCATATATATATTGAAAGGTGGAAGTATGAACCAGAAATATAAAATCCTTTATAATAAAAGTTTGAAAGAACGTCAAAATAAAATATATTCATTCTCGACACCAACCCATTTAGATTGAAATAAGGGCTGTAGATGGTGGCACGCCACCTCTAACTGATGAAGCAACAGTGTTGTTCAATATAAACCGCAATCAACAAAGGCCAAGGTTCACCACAGGAAACCAAACTATTACACTGTTTGAGGACATAAGCACTGGCTTAGTCAATGTCAGGGTCACAGCTGTGGACACGGATGCTAGAGTATGTTTGTTTCTTTATTTTTTAGTTTTAGTGTTTTGTTTTTTTATTTTTTTTGTCTTAGTTTTTTATTACAGCTGTACACTTGTTTGTTTTGTTTATTTTTTTTTGAAACTACAAAAAAATACACAAAAATGTTGTAGAAATAAATGTTTTGTTTTTAATCCCACAGGCACCATACAACCAGATTATCTTCACACAAATTGGCAACGCAGTTGCTAACACCTACTTCAGCACTGATTATCTGGGTAATATTTACCTCATTAACCGCCTCACCTTGCCACAAACACCAGACAGCTTTACTGTAAGTATCCAAAAAATTTTAATTTTTCACTTACTCTATATTCCCTACATTCAATAACTTTATTCCCCGGTGATGAAATGAAAACTATTTAATTTACAAATCCAATGAGTGTACATTATATTTTGATGAAATACAAACTTTATGATTTAAGGTAAAAATCCAATGAATGAATTTTCATGCATTATGTAAGGTACAAATCAAATGATTGAATTTTCATGTATTAAGTTACAAATCCAATGACTATGTTCACATATTATTTAAGGTACAAATCCAATGACTGTATGTTCACGTAGTATTTAAGGTACAAATCCAATGACTGTATGTTCACGTATAATTTAAGGTACAAATCCTATGATTGTATGTTCACGTATTATTTAAGGTACAAATCCAATGACTATGCTCATGTATAATTTAAGGTACAAATCCAATGACTGTATGTTCACGTATAATTTAAGGTACAAATCCGTGTCTGTGACCAAGCTCCTGAGCCACTATGTGCAGAACAAGACGCTTACGTAACTTTCATTGTCATACGCAACAACCACTACCCGTACTTCCTACCAAATCCTGACTATCCCTATGTCAGAAACCTGGCATCATTCACCCCAGGCCAGATTGTACTCACAGCCTTGGCTAGAGATGATGACCCACCCGTGAGTTGTTTCAGACGTTATGTCACATTCTTTTAATGAGCGCAATTTTTGTTTAGATTTTACTCTCAGCCACTGCTCTTAAAATTATTTTTTTCAAAGCATTTCATTTTTTTTTAAATTTTAAAACCGTATTTTGCACAGACTTAAATTGAAAATATTTGCAAAAAATAATTTTCCAGACCAACCGTTTTGGCGTGATCAGCTACAACCTGATTGGAGACGATGGCGCAGAAACACGCTTTGTTATAGATCGCACCAATGGAAACATCAGCATATCAAACGCAATAGGAAGTGGCACTGGAAGTCCTTTCAGAGTAAATTTCTTTGTCATTTTCTTTAGCCTTTTTTTCCAATAAATATAAATTTGTTTTTATTTTTCTGTGGCCCATAGAAATATTTGACAAAGCCTTTTCCAGTATTTATTAATTATTTTATCATATTTCTTTAGCCTCTAGTAATCTTTAAGTATTTTGTAGCTATAAATTCAGCTGTGTATAATTCTAACAAAAAATTCAGTTGTGTATAATTCTTACAATAAATTCAGTTGTGTATAATTCTAACAATAAATTCAGTTGTGTATAATTCTAACAATAAATTCAGTTGTGTATAATTCTAACAATAAATTCAGTTGTGTATAATTCTAACAATAAATTCAGTTGTGTATAATTCTAACAATAAATTCTGTTCTTAGCTCCGTATTCAAGTCTGTGATGGTGGTAATTTATGCAATATGACTGTTGCAACCATCACGATCTCCACAAACCAGTATGCACCAGCTCTGAACCTGAACTCATACTATCAGAAAATTCCAGAGACTCAGCCCTATGGGGATACCATCATTGATGTCAATGCTACAGATATTGATGCAGGGGTAAGCTTTTCAGACTGCCACTTTTATTGTTTTACATTCGTTAAGTTTAATATGCTGCCTCTTAATGTTAGGGTTAATATGCTACCTCATAATGTTAGGGTTAATATGGTACCTCATAATGTTAGGGTTAATATGCTAAATCATATTATTAGGGTTAATTAAGCGCAAGTATAGCTCGAACAATTCTAATTAACTAAAATGTTCCATTTCATTACTGGGATTCTGCATTCAATACTGGTTAATACAAACTATAGATAAAGATCTATAGAACATTGACATGCTTAGATAGCAATTGTTGTATTTCATATGACATGATGATAGACCCAATTGTTGAATTACATACCACATGATGATATAGCCAATTGTTGTATTACATACCTCAGGCTGATATACCCAATTGTTGTATTACATACCACATGATGATATAGCCAATTGTTGTATTACATACCACAGGCTGATATACCCTATCATTGTATTACATACCACATGCTGCTATACCCTATCATTGTATTACATACCACATGCTGCTATACCCTATCATTGTATTACATACCACATGCTGATATACCCTATCATTGTATTACTCACCACATGCTGATATACCCTATCATTGTATTACATACCACAGGCTGATATACCCTATATATATAGCCTATCATTGTATTACATACCACATGCTGATATACCCTATCATTGTATTACTCACCACATGCTGCTATACCCAATCATTGTATTACATACCACATGCTGATATACCCTATCATTGTATTACTCACCACATGCTGCTATACCCAATCATTGTATTACATACCACATGCTGATATACCCTATCATTGTATTACTCACCACATGCTGCTATACCCAATCATTGTATTACATACCACATGCTGATATACCCTATCATTGTATTACTCACCACATGCTGCTATACCCAATCATTGTATTACTCACCACATGCTGATATACCCTATCATTGTATTACTCACCACATGCTGATATACCCTATCATTGTATTACTCACCACATGCTGCTATACCCTATCATTGTATTACATACCCCCCTTTCCTCCAGCCCCCCAACAACCTGTTTGAGTTTGAGCTCCTGGACCGGTCAACACCTGATGGAAGTCTGAACTGTTTTGCCATCAACCCAACCTCCGGTTACATCTTTGCCAAGAGAAGTCTACTGGTGTCACCCTGTACCAGCAGCCAGTACTTGGTAGGTTTTTTTCTCATTCATACTGTTTACTCTTTGATCCCCTGAACAAATAAAGTTTTTATTTTACAACATTCATGTCTATTCTCAATAACATTTAAAGGTTTTCAGATCAATAAGTATAATTTTAATAAAAACAACTCATCTACTTTAGATGCTAATAATAATTTAAAATTTCATAAAATCCCATAATTATTTTTATTTCCAACTTTTACTTTTACATTGAAATTCTCTGTTTAGAAAAAAAATTTCAGTATTCTAATTTTACAAACTGGCAATTTTTTCCTGTAACAGTTTTCAGTGCGTGCTTATGATAAGGGTGACGTTGTACTGAGAAGTGCGGTATCACCAGTAACAATTGATGTCACGCGCAATGACAACCCACCCATCTGGGAGCAGAAGACGTACAACTTTAACATTGACATGAACAACGCTGTCAGCACAGTTGTAGGCCGCATCCGTGCCAATGATGCAGACCCTGTTGTAAGTTTTTCATCAACACAAGAGTACTAATCGTGTATGATTTTAAAAATTACTAGATCTATTTTAGCATTGGATTTTATTTCTTTTGATTCTTTATTTAAACCATACCTTTAAATATTACAGTTAATGTACAATTCTATTTTTAGGATCCATTTGGCACCCTGACCTATTCAGTAGTGGGTGGAGGAAACGGTAACCCCTACTTGACCATCACAAGAATAAACAACAATGATGTCAATGTCGTCCTCTCAACCTCAGTTGCTAACACAGGCATCCAGAATCTAAAGGTAATATTGGAGGCCTATTTCATTCTGTCTTATTGAATAACTTAAACCAGGGGTCTCCAAACTGCGGCCCGCGAGGTCCTCTCATCCGGCCCGCTGAGATCTTTTTGACCACGGAAAAAAACGTTTGTTGGTGATGGCTGAGGAACTTTGCTCAGAAAAATCACAGCATGCCTGGAAGAAACTGGCCCCCCCCACTGAAATTTGATAGTTAATGTGGCCCTCGGACTGAAAAGTTTGGAGACCCCTGACTTAAACCATAAGCATTCAGAACCTAAAGGTAATATTGGAGGCCTATTTCATTGTCTTATTGAATAACTTAAAGCATCAGCATTCAGAACCTAAAGGTAATATTGGAGGCATTTTGAATGACTCATCACTGCAAAAATGTTTAGTAGGGGATGAAAGAAAATTTTCTATTAATGTCAAATAAAATATGAATGCCTTGTGCACTTCTTGCTAATTTTTGACTTGGTATTTTTAAATTTTCACTCATATCCTAGTCAATAATTGACTTGATTTTCCTGTGTTCTGTAGATATTTGTCCTAGTTCAAGACAGCGGCCTTCCAAGGAAACAAGACGTAACAGAAGTAAATGTCCTTGTCAACAACAACCTCAACCCACCATATTTCCGGGAGTTTCTTTATGTTTTTAACACATACGAGGATGTACCAGTAGGGACAGTTATTGGCACTACATTGCTAGGTGCAGATAATGATACTGCTGTAAGTCTTCCATTCACTCTCATCTTCTTGAAATTTTTTGAAAAATTTAAGAAAATTAAACATCAAAATTGTAATTTTACTAAATTTTCACATATTGAATGTATTAAAAACCATGTTATTCATTTAAACAAATTTCTATTTTTAGTCTCCTTGGAAAGACTATTACTTCCGTCCACTACCTAGCCATCCATATTTCACTGTCAATGCAACTGGTCAAGTGTTTGCTTATCGTCAGCTAACGCTAGATTCAAAGGACACAGTGTACACCGTGAGCTCATTTAAAAAATTAATTGATTACGCTTTGCTCTTTCTGGCATTGACAGTTTTTATAAGCTAGAATTTTTTAATCAGTCAAGTTCATTATTTATATTAAACATTTGTAAAATTTTGAAAAAAAAAAAATGTTAATGACAGAATGTGTCTACTTCAGTTCTAGACTTGTAAATAATTTTGCAACTTCAATCAACATTTAGTCTTGTACATCAAAACAGCTTAAATAAAATTTAACAATTAATTGTATAAAAATAAAAAACCTCGACTTTCATTGTTAGATATAGACCTGCTAAAAGAAATTTTAAAATTTCAAACTTATTATAAATTTTATTAAAAAGTCACAATTTTTTCAGATGATGGCCCAGATATATGATGGAGGTAACCCATCTTTGATAGGAAGTCGGCTAGCCAATGTCACCATCACAGTCACCCGCAACTTGAACTGTCCAATATTTACCAACATGCCTACTACAATTAACATAAATAAAAACACCACAGGAGTTGTGTTCACAGTTCGAGCTAACGATGCTGATCTAGATGTTAGTATTGGTTTATCTTTTAATATACTGCTCTATAGCAAAAACTGTTATCAAATAATAAAAAGCTCATTATAAATTTAACTAAAGCTGATTTAGATGTTAGTATTGGTTTATCATCTTTTGATATATTGCTCTATAGCAAAAACTGTTATCAAATATTAAAAACTCAATTTAATTTTATTAAATATTATTTTAATTACTCAAGGTTTGAAACTTGTTCATTTATACTGTTCTTTAAAGCTAACCTAGCTGTATCCAGATTATAAGTTTGTGTTGTGACTGAAATCAAAGCTGTATCCAGATTATAAGTTTGTGTTGTGACTGAAATCAAAGCTGTATCCAGATTATAAGTTTGTGTTGTGACTGAAATCAAAGCTGTATCCAGATTATAAGTTTGTGTTGTGACTGAAATCAAAGCTGTATCCAGATTATAAGTTTGTGTTGTGACTGAAATCAAAGCTGTATCCAGATTATAAGTTTGTGTTGTGACTGAAATCAAAGCTGTATCCAGATTATAAGTTTGTGTTGTGACTGAAATCAAATCTGTATCCAGATTATAAGTTTGTGTTGTGACTGAAATCAAAGCTGTATCCAGATTATAAGTTTGTGTTGTGACTGAAATCAAATCTGTATCCAGATTATAAGTTTGTGTTGTGACTGAAATCAAAGCTGTATCCAGATTATAAGTTTGTGTTGTGACTGAAATCAAAGCTGTATCCAGATTATAAGTTTGTGTTGTGACTGAAATCAAAGCTGTATCCAGATTATAAGTTTGTGTTGTGACTGAAATCAAAGCTGTATCCAGATTATAAGTTTGTGTTGTGACTGAAATCAAATTTTTTTCTCAGTCACGATACAACAAAGTGACCCTGCGTCTCATCAATGACAATAGCATGGCAGCCTACTTTAATTTTGACATCACCACTGGTGCTCTCACTGTCTTACCCAGCGTGGCTAGTGACACGACCATGCAGTACCAGGTACTCAGTCAACTGTTTAATCCTCCCATCCCCCACCACCCTGCTTTCTACACAACATTTAATATATTCTTTTATCTTAGATAAAAAGTATAGATTACATTGTGGCAGCATTCATCCTCTAAATTTTATACTAGCATTTTTATAATAAGAATAATGAATATATATAATTTTAGAAAATTATTGAAAATTATACTTTATTCTATTGTATATTTTTATACAATAAACTGCCTTTACCATTCAGTTTAAAATTCGAATCTCCTTAACTAAATTTTTGAATTTTTAGCTGAGGTTCACAGCATGGGATGGCTACTGTGATGAGTTTACCTCCAGTTTACTGACGGTCAATGTCGTGCGAGATCTGTTCCCCCCACGATGGATTAGCAACCAAGCTAACATCACAATTCTGGAGACTCAAGACACAGGAGACTCACTCTATAACCTCAGCTCAGTTTCTATTGATCAGGACACTGGTGTATGATAGCTTTTTTAGTTGTCCATCTACATTTTAGTTTCAGTTTAAAACCATAAAATTTAAATAAATTAAACTCAGGAGAGTTAGCTGGTGTATGATAGCTTTCTCATTTGTCCATCTACATTTTAGTTTCAGGTTAAAACCATAGAGTTTAAATAAATTAATCTCAGGGGAGTTAAATTAAAACTGCGTATTCACCTTCTTAACCCTTTGAGCCCGCCAGGCCGGTAAACCGGCTTCAACATTAGGCATATATGTCCGAAAAGCCGGTTTTCCGGCCCGATGATCTAGCGTCATATTCCTAGCGGCCAGTATACCGTCTAATTAAATATAATTAGCGGAAGACTGACTAAAACTGCGCATATGTCTTTTGAGTGCAGATCATGATTTTAAAAATTGATTTTTAGGAAAAGTGAAAGTGTTTACATTTCCTAGCAATGCCGCCGAAACGAAAAGCTGAGCTACAGCCGTCGACTTCATCACTTAAAGTTGGTGCAAAAGATGAAGCAAAAGACCGAAATATCAACAAAAGAAGTAGAATGACTGCATCTCAGGCAATACAACTACTTATTGATTCTGATGAAGAAGATAATATTCCTGGTCTATATTGTGATGATAGTGACGTTGAATTTGAGACTGAACACAGTGACATTGAAATTGACAGTGACAATGAAACTGTTCAAGTACGTTATGATGCACGTGGTGTCAAGGACAAAGACTTGCCGAAACGAAAAAAGAATGTTTACTGGTGCAAAACATGCGAATTTTTTCTTTGCATCGGGTCCGGCAGTGATAACTGTTTTGAAAGTTATCATACAACAGTGGACTTCTGGTGTTGAACTAGTATGGCCAGGTATCAATAATAACAAAACAATTACTAAATGTAAATTGGTTTCTTCTATGTTTTATCAAAACAATAATTATACGTTCGTTTTATATACATTGTTCTGTTCATACATTGTAAAACAAAAATAAAGAATTTCAGAATCTTGCTGCATTGTTGTTTGATCCTGAGTCTGGATACCAAATTTGGTCTGATTATCTCAAACGGTTCAAAAGTTATAGGCAAAGTTAGAAGCAGATAAGTAAAAATCGGTTTGGGTCTGGGAGCTCAGGAAATAGGAGAAATTAGGTTAGGGAGGCCAGGGCTCAAAGGGTTAAGTCACCACTTACACCTAAAAGATTGAGTAAATATGTTTTTAAATTTCTCTCCCTTTAAACTTTCCTACAGATTGGCTCAACAAGATATTATGACTTCGCTACCAACAGTCTGAACAAGAACTTGTTTTACCTGGACACAAGTGGACGTGTGTATTTAAGCAAGTCTCTGCTGGGTAGGACAGGGGATCCTTATCAAGTAAGAACATTGGAAAAATTAGCACTGGATTGTATGAGGCTGATTGATTCAATTTTATGTTTGAAATTATTATAAAATCAATTTTCTAAGATAGTTCATACTTTCTTTCATAAATCTGTCTTTTCAGGTATTAAAATTTAACAAATTCAATTTTGTTACTTTGTTAAAAAAAAATATAAAAACCACATGAAATTTATTTTGAATTGATTGAGATGTTTACTTTTCTGTAATGTATGAACTATATCTTAATCTTCTACAGGTCCAGTTCATGCTCCGCGATGATGGAGGACTTCAGAGTGAAATATTTATCCTAAATGTGAATGTTATCCGCAACCATGCTCCATCCATCACAGTAACTCCAAACTCCATCACAATCAATAGTAACCAGGCTGTCAACTCTGAAGTTTACAGGTGCAATGGATCAGATCCTGACACCCAGGTATGTTTTCAGGCTTAACTCACCTGTCTTGATGCCAGAGGCGTAGCGACCCTTCCCAGCGCCCGGGGACAAACTTTTGATTCGCACCCCCCCCCCCCCCCTCAAACTTTCGATTTGCACACACCCCCCCCCCTCAAACTTTCAATTTCTTTTTCCAACCCATTTTGGCGCCCCCCCTAAGGTCGGCGCCCGGGGACATATGTCATCCCCCCCGCCCCCCTTACACTACAACTGTTGCTTCAACTACTTTACCTATCTGACATTAAAAATTCTATTCACAACATATAATTATAAAATAATGTATTACCTTTAGTAACTCAATCATCAATTTCTAATGGTAACCTGATTTTATCTAAGTAACCTAAGTTTGTTGTCATCTTCACCATATATTATAAAATATCACAACTTGTTTCATCCCGTCTGTCAGTCTGAGAGTTGAAGCGCCTTGAATAGAAATGCTGCTAAGTCCAGACAAATTTTAAATGGTCATTTTGTAAAGTGAAAATAATTTGTGTGTTTCAGACTCCATTCAGTCTGTACGAGTATCTTCTGCTTGAAGACTCCACTGCCACTGACCTGTTTGCCCTCAATCCCCTAACATGTGCGCTCACCCTGACCAAATCACTGGATTCAAACTCCCAGACGTCATACACTGTAAGTTAATCCTGAAAACTAGAATTTTAAAAAGTAATTTTTAATAAATTCTCTAACATTAACAAGCTAAAGCTGTTTAATGTTGATATTTTCAGCTGAGACTTCAAATACTAGACAGGGGTACCCCTCGTTTGGCTGATACTAAGACTTTGGTCATCAATGTGGTAAGAAATTTGCAGAGACCTGTGTTCACCAACTCCAGATACACAATGACAATACTGGAGATAAAACCTGTTGGAGAAACTATTCTGTCTGTCACAGCCACTGATAATGACACATTTGTAAGTTTTGTCACAAGTTTTGTTTTGTTTCTACATTGTATCCTACTGTCAATAGTTTCAGTGAATGATCTTCACATTTTATTGACATATCTGTGTCAACATTTAGCATCAGTTTACTTTTAATACTTCTGAATCAACGTTTAACTATTAAGTTTTTATTTCTTTCAATACTAATTGTAAATAAACATTTAACAATTAAATTTGTGTAACTTTCAACACTTGTGAATCAACATTTAATAACAGTTTAGTTTTTGTTACTTTTAACACTTGTGAATCAACATTTAATAACAGTTTAGTTTTTGTTACTTTTAACACTTGTGAATCAACATTTAATAACAGTTTAGTTTTTGTTACTATTAACACTTGTGAATCAACATTTAATAACAGTTTAGTTTTTGTTACTTTTAACACTTGTGAATCAACATTTAATAAAAATTTAATTTCTTACCTGATCTTTTACCACCAGGCCCCTAACAATGAAGTGACCTATGCACTTTCAAGCCCCTCGACTACGTTTGACCAGTACTTTGCCATAAATCCAACCACTGGCAGTGTATACAGTAAAACCTGGCAGGTGTACTTCCCAGATAGAAACGTAAAGTTCTTCAGTGTAAGTCAGTTGTTTTTCTGCATTTATGGAATTCATGCTTTCCAAACTATTTTATAATATACTTCTAAAACGTCTTTATTTTAGTATTTCATATTATCTTTTATTAAGTCCTATAATTGTGATATGCTGCTTTCAAGAAACTATCATATAAAGGCTTTGTTTTAGGTTTTATTAATTTATATAAAACAGTTGAGTGCAGACTTTGTTATATTTCTCCAAGCCTAGTTTTTATTAATTTATATAAAACTGTTGAGTACAAACATTGTTATATTTCTCCAAGCCTAGTTTTTATTAATTAATTTATATAAAACAGTTGAGTACAAACATTGTTATATTTCTCCAAGCCTAGTTTTTATTAATTAATTTATATAAAACAGTTGAGTACAAACATTGTTATATTTCTCCAAGCCTAGTTTTTATTAATTAATTTATATAAAACAGTTGAGTACAAACATTGTTATATTTCTCCAAGCCTAGTTTTTATTAATTAATTTATATAAAACAGTTGAGTACAAACATTGTTATATTTCTCCAAGCCTAGTTTTTATTAATTAATTTATATAAAACAGTTGAGTACAAACATTGTTATATTTCTCCAAGCCTAGTTTTTATTAATTTATATAAAACAGTTAAGTACAAACATTGTTATATTTCTCCAAGCCTAGTTTTTATTAATTAATTTATATAAAACAGTTGAGTACAAACATTGTTATATTTCTCCAAGCCTAGTTTTTATTAATTAATTTATATAAAACAGTTGAGTACAAACATTGTTATATTTCTCCAAGCCTAGTTTTTATTAATTTATATAAAACAGTTGAGTGCAGACATTGTTATATTTCTCCAAGCCTAGTTTTTATTAATTTATATAAAACAGTTGAGTACAAACATTGTTATATTTCTCCAAGCCTAGTTTTTATTAATTTATATAAAACAGTTGAGTACAAACATTGTTATATTTCTCCAAGCCTAGTTTTTATTAATTTATATAAAACAGTTGAGTACAAACATTGTTATATTTCTCCAAGCCTAGTTTTTATTAATTTATATAAAACAGTTGAGTGCAGACATTGTTATATTTCTCCAAGCCTAGTTTTTATTAATTTATATAAAACAGTTGAGTACAAACATTGTTATATTTCTCCAAGCCTAGTTTTTATTAATTTATATAAAACTGTTGAGTATGGACATTGTTATACTTCTGCAGGCCAATGTCAGTGCCACAGACAGGGGTGTACCACCACAGACCGCACTGTCCACTACCCAGGTGGAAATCACTGTGATCAGAAACACGGCTCCGTATTTCACATCTACTTCTGGCACCAACATAACAATATCCAAAAACCAGCCAGAGGGAACTTCTGTTTACACTTTTACACCAAGGGATGATGACAAAGATGTAAACTTGCTTTTTTATACATATTTTCCCTCACTAGAAATAATTATATTGTATTCTAAAGATTAAAAAAATGGAATGTACAAAGTTCTAAAATAATTATATTGAATTCTAAATATTAAAAAATAGAATGTACACATTTCTAAAATAATTATATTGAATTCTAAAGATTAAAAAATGGAATGTGCACATTTCTAAAATAAAACGATTTAGCTACAAGAAAACATAAATTAATAAAAGGAAATAAATGTTTGCTTCATTTGTCTACAGGACCCCTTCAACAAAATCACCCTGAGTCTGATTGGAGATGGAAATGCTCCCTCGTTTTTTAGCATTGATCAAAATGGTGTTGTCTCCCTTAAGGCTGGAGTTGATCTCCCTGGATCTTTGATCTCTAGCTTCACGGTTAGACACTTTTTTAAAAAAGTTTAAAAAACTTATTACAAAAACTTTTTTCACATTGTTAACACTTGAATGAACAGATATAACTTAAATAATACAAGTTTTAATATTCTGGAGTTATGTTGTGTTTGATCACAGTATCAGATTTTTAATCCTAAAACTCTTTATCAGACTTAAATTCTAACTCAAGCATTCGTAAAATATCAGTCAGACCTGATGGTCAAATTGAAATAATGCTCTGACTTGTAACCTCCAAGACTGGTGGTGTACTCAAGAATAAGTGAAGTTTTGCAAATGACAGATGTGTAAATTGATTGAGATTTATTGAAAAATGTTGCCAGTGTATTTTCTCCATCAGGTTCGAGCTCAGGTGGTGGATGGTGGAATACCCCAGCTCTCCAGCACTTCTGTGGTCAATATTATAGTCCAACGCAACACGTACACACCCGTGCTCAATGGTGTCACTGAGTACATCCCATACACAGCATCCTATGGCCGGTTCATTACCCAGCTGGCTGCAACTGATCAAGATGGTCCAAATGTAAGCAAATGTTTTTCTTTTATTCCTACTTTATTTTATTTTTTGAGTTTTATAAATAACAATGAAATTTATACTTATTTTTATATATAGTTTATAAAATACCCAAACTGTTACTATAAATTGTTTGAAGGATTTTTATAATTGCTGCATGTTCTGTGTTTCTAGACACCAGAGGGCACTGTACGCTATGAAATTGTCAGTGGCGCCACCATCAACAACATCAACTATTTCAGCCTGGGTCTAGAATCTGGCATAATTACCCTGATAAACAGCACTAATTTGGTCAACTTCGACAGAATGAATGTAAGAGAAACTGGCTCAGATTTGAACTACAAAAACTAAACATTTATTGACTTAAGTAATCTATAAATTTAAATAAGTGTGTATCACATTATTTGAACTCTTATTTCCAAATTAATTTGAAAAGTAATACCATTGACAAAGTAGGTCCGACAACAAAAAAAGACACATTTTTAAACTGTACAAGTTTTTTGTTTTTTTAAAACTTGGAATGTAATAATGCAATTGCTTATTAATTATTTTTTTTAAATAATGATAATTTCTATTTAAATTTGTCTTGATCTATTCTGATGACTTGGGCCTTCAAACTTTAAAAATTTACCCTGTTGTAATACAGGAATGACAGTTTGATCAGACACTAGATCAAGATAAAAATAATGTTGTTTGTAAGAATCTTCCCTACCTTCCCAACGTGTGTTAAAGTTAAGAAACTCTTGCTTCATACAGATCACAGTAAGAGCCTATGACCTGGGGACACCATCTCGGAGCACAACAGCAGTCGTCACTGTGATCATAACCAAAGACTCGGGCACGTTGGCTGTTCCAAACTACACCTTTGACGTGAATGAGAATGCTCCTAATGATACAGTGCTTGGAACTGTTGTAGCCTCCCCCTCTGTAAGTCAGATCACTTTTACATTCAAGCTACTGCATCAATTCTAAATTATATACCAGTTACATTTAAATAAGTACATTAATTATAAGTTATATCCAATTACATTTAAGTTATTACATTCTTTATGTATTATATCCAGTTATATTCAAGTGTTGTATGTAATTACAAATAATTCTTATGCATATTTAAAAATCTCAAGCATTTCAGTAACTAAGTTTAATGTGACTTCTCTCTCTCACTACTAGGATTCAGTGACTTACAGTGTAGTTGGGTATCCACCAGCCACAGCTTACTTTGGTCTGAAGAGCGGTACTGGACAGGTTGTTGTCATCAGTTCTCTGCAAAATGATGATCAGATGCAGTACACTGTAAGTTATCTCTTTTTAACGTATTCAAAAACAAACCTTAAGGAGCATTGAGCTTCCATTTTTTTTACACTTAAGACAATAGATCTGTCAAAATTATATAAGTTAACATGAATAAGTATACCAATCCAATTACCCTATCAAAGAGCAATCAACAAAGGGAAGAAAGTGTGGAAGTAACCAAAATAATTTTCTATTTGTTTCTGAGATATCAAGATGTTTACAATCCATGTAGTACGAGTTAAAACGTATGCATTTATTTTGATGTTTTTGTATAGAGCATGATTTATTTTTTCCTCTATAGATGATTGTAAGAGCTGTCCGCCAAGCAGGAGTGACTACACAGACAGCAGAATCCACAGTCGTAATCAATGTTTCACGCAACCAATATGCACCCATTTTTGGTACAACAGATTACAACAGAGCTATCCCTGACATTACAGATATTGGGTCCAGTATCCTGACAGTACAAGCCACTGACAGTGATGTGGTAAACTTTTTTTTTTCTACTTTAAAACCCAGTGTCATTTTATTTCAATTATCTGAAGTTATTTAAAAAATTGATTTTTAAACAAAACAAATGAGAATTTATATTGAACAAAGCTGTGTATGATTACTAAAGTATCAAATTTCAACTGTTTTTGTTCTAGACTAATATACTTGAGTGTTCATTTATTCTAGACTGATATATTGAGTGTTCATTTATTCTAGACTGATGTACTTGAGTGTTCATTTATTCTAGACTGATGTATTGAGTGTTCATTTATTCTAGACTGATGTATTGAGTGTTCATTTATTCTAGACTGATGTATTGAGTGTTCATTTATTCTAGACTGATGTATTGAGTGTTCATTTATTCTAGACTGATGTACTTGAGTATTCGTTTGTTCCAAACTCTGGGAACTACTCTGTGTTCTTTATCCACCCCCGCACTGGAGTAATCTCTCTGACATCATCACTTATTGGCACCACCATCGACAGATACTCAGTAAGTTGTTGTAGAATGTTTTATTACATATATGATGATTAAGTCCTGAATCATCATGCAACAAGCTAATTACATATTTAAACTATTCGTATTTTTTCTTGCAATTTATTTACACATTTCAAAAAATCAAGATAAGCTGATAAAATAAATGTTAAAAGTTAGTGCAGGGTTATGAATTTTTTTATAATTGAAGTAGTTTTTTCATATTCTGTTCTTTCAGACTTGTATGAATACATACATTTATCAGATCCTTGTTTTATAAAATCTATTTTGTTACTTTTTATACAGTCAATTTAACTTTAAAATTTCAAATTTCCTTGCACAGATGTAATATAAAGTAAATTATAGTTCAAAGTTCAATTAAATAAAACATTTAAAAATACATCTACTAATAATTCCAATAATTGTATTTTAAATTTTTTTAAAATAATAAATAAATGACATTCCAAAATTGTATATGATAAAATTTTCTAAAATATTTTTAAAATCTTTTAGTTCCGAGTTCAAGTTCGAGACAACAGCAGACCTGAAAAGTTTGGCTTTTCAAATGTTGTCATTGACATCCTGCGAGACAGGTCCTCCCCCCAGTGCTCTCAAGCTTTGTTTACTGCAGCAGCTAATGACAACAGTCAAAATGGATCAGTGATCACAACAATTTCTGTCACAGACCAAGACTTGAGGGTACGTCAATAAATATTTTGTTGTGTCATAAACTCATTCTATGGGAGACTTGAGGGTACGTCAATAAATATTTTGTTGTGTCATAAACTCATCCTATGGGAGACTTGAGGGTACGTCAATAAATATTTTGTTGTGACAATCTCATTCTATGGGAGACTTGAGGGGACGTCAATAAATATTTTGTTGTGACAATCTCAGTCACAGACCAAGACGAGGGTACGTCAATAAATATTTTGTTGTGACATAAACTCATTCTATGGGAGACTTGAGGGTACGTCAATAAATATTTTGTTGTGTCATAAACTCATCCTATGGGAGACTTGAGGCTACGTCAATAAATATTTTGTTGTGACAATCTCATTCTATGGGAGACTTGAGGGGACGTCAATAAATATTTTGTTGTGACAATCTCAGTCACAGACCAAGACGAGGGTACGTCAATAAATATTTTGTTGTGACAATCTCAGTCACAGACCAAGACGAGGGTACGTCAATAAATATTTTGTTGTGACAATCTCATTCTATGGGAGACTTGAGGGGACGTCAATAAATATTTTGTTGTGACAATCTCAGTCACAGACCAAGACGAGGGTACGTCAATAAATATTTTGTTGTGACATAAACTCATTCTATGGGAGACTTGAGGGTATGTCAATAAATATTTTGTTGTGACAATCTCAGTCACAGACCAAGACTTGAGGGTATGTCAATAAATATTTTGTTGTGACATAAATTCATTCTATGGGAGACTTGAGGGTATGTCAATAAATATTTTGTTGTGACATAAACTCATTCAACTGATGTTTCCCAAAAATATCAAATAATCTTTGTTCTGCAGGGCCGGCTAGTTTTTGAAGTGACAGGTGTCAGCACAGCACCAGCTTTCTTTACCCTGGGATCCACCACACCAGGCGCCAATAACCAGGCCACGGCCAACGTCTTGGTCCAAGACATCGCTTACCTACGTATGGATAAGATCTCCGGATACAATGTATGACAAAACAATCTACAATTTAGAAAATTTATTTAAATATAGGATTATAAACTGTTTGCATAAATATTTTTAACTAAATTTTATATATTTGTATGCTACTCATTGCAGACTAAATAAATTAATCTGTACTCATTTTAAAATAGACAAAGGCTAGCACTGTTGAATGAAATGCTTTATTCTGCCATCTGTAGTTGAGGGTTGTGGCGTACGACTCATCCTACCCCAACACACGGACCACATGTTCTGTGTCTATCATAATGACCAGAAACCTGAATGACCCAGCCTTTAACTTGCGCAACTACGTCACAACCATCTATGCCACTCAGCCTGAAGGCAGCGTACTCTTCACCAACATTACAGCAACAGATGCTGATGGAGTAAGTGTATACTCATTTGAACATTACTAAAATAAACTTGCGGTGACCCAAATTCTATTGATTTCACAAATCTGCTTTTATAGTAACATTCCTAAAACTTATTCTGCTTGCATTAAAGAGCTCTACTGAATGCTTTAATTGTAATAACTTGTTTGAAGGACACGCCCCTCCGTTTTGATATAATTGGAGACTCCAGAGCCCAGACTTACTATGAAATAAACCCAGACACTGCTTGGATAAGGCTCAAGAAATCTGTTTTGTACGACACCCAGACACAGGATATTGTAAGTTTGTCTCTCTCTTCAGTTCTTAATACTACATCAGCTTATGGTTTATTTTTCTTAGGTGCATGCTCACAAAATAAAAATATTTATTTTAAAAACTAATAATTATATTATGCTTTATTGTCCACTGTTTAAGAAATTCAACAGGGCTTATTCAGAATTTATGACTAGTATTATTATAATTATTATTATTATTATTATTATTATTGGCCTTTAGTTAGTTTTTACTGCTACTGTTAAGAATGAACTAAATTTGACCAAAAAAATTTCTATTTTTAGATCCAACTAAGAGTATCAGACCAAAGAACACCAACTCGTAATGGGTTTGCAACTGCTACGGTCAATATAATTAGAGACAACAGAGCCCCTGTGTTTACTAATATCCCTGAAACTGTTAATGTACCCATCAACTCGCTAGCTTCTACATCAATATTTACTATTCGAGGCAGAGATGATGATCTAAAGGTAAATATTTCAATTTATTTATGTATATATTTCTCTTATCTTTATTTGGCCTTGTAAAGAATGTGTCAAATAGTAGAACAATATTATTTTTGGGGATGTGTTAGTTAAATGACATGCATCAGACAGAATTTTGTCTAGATTTAATTGAATGACTTCAGTCTATAACACTGAATAATGTTTAATGACATCATGCTGTGGAATAATTCCGAATATTGTTGCTGTTATCTTTGAAGCTGTGTAGACCTAGCCTAAAATAACTTTCCTATTTTCTTTCCCAGGGAAACTTGACCTACACTTTTGTGTCTGGCTATGCTGATTTCTTTACCTTGGTGAATGTGGGACAAAGCAGCAGCACTGTAGGAGACGTTTACTTGAGCAGAAGTTTGAAAGAAGACGCTCTGAGACAGTCCAGCTACCAGGTAATTTGATCACAGGCTTTGTCCAGGTTATTTCTTTCATCCCACAATTTACCCTTTTATAGCATTTGCCATGATAAAAGTATTTCCCTCTTTAAGTATGTGTTGCTTAGAACTTTGTTTATTTTGACTATGTTTATTTATAGGCATTTTTAGTTGTAAGTTACAGACCTTTTTGATTTTTACTTATGAAAATTTCCAATATTTATTTATGAAGTGAACATTTCAAATTTTAAAATTTTCAGCTGAGGTTCCGAGTTTTTGACTCCCAATTCCCAACAAGCTACGACGAGAAAACTTTGACTGTCACAACAGAGAGAAACCCTAATTCACCAGTCTGTACTTCAGTCAACCCTGTGTCTTTAGACATCAACTCCAGAATTGGGGGCACTCTGCTCACTGTTAGGGCTACAGATGCTGACAATGTATGACAATCTTTTGAACATTTATTTAACTTCTCATAAGGAGATTGCTCCAATATTTTTTTATGATTTCTATGTGAAAATTACTTCAACTAAAAACTTATCTTATAAAATTTATTTAAAAAAAAAGCTTTTTTTAATAAACAAAAAAAAATACACTTAAGTTTAACCAATAAAATGTAAATTTAGTAAAAACTAAAATATGTACGGTTTATAAAGTGTGTATACAGTGTGATATATTAAGATGAACCTCTCCCCAGGATGTTCTGCGATACACAATGACTAGCCCTGATGCAGAGGATCTCAAATACTTCTATGTGGATCCAACCACAGGGAATATTATACTGATAGAAAATCTGTTCAATTCTACCTTTACATCTTTTACAGTAAGTCCTCTGCAAGAAAATTCATGCTTGGTAACATTCTGTAGTTAAATATTCTTAAAGTACTTCAATCTCTTTTAATATTTTCAAACTTTAAATAATTATCATTAAAATTCTATCATGAACAGTTTATAATGTATTTCTGCCACAGGTTAATACTCTTCAGTCATGGAGATAGTTAAGACTGGTCTAGCATCTCACCTTTTGTTGTTTCAGTTCCCAGTTTCAGTGAGTGACCAGGGCTACCCCACACCAAAAACCTGTACAGTGACAGTAACCTTCAACCTGGGGGCTGCTGACCTGGCGCCCTACTTCTTCCCAGCAGCATACACCTGGTCAAATATCCCGGAAAATGCTTTCAATGCCACCACAGCTAGTGAATTCATTGTCAATGGTTTTGATCAAGACCGTGTGGTAAGATATTCAAAGCTAAGTTGTAATTCCTTTGCTGTTCTGTTGTTTTTTTAAAGATAAATTGAAAAAATATGGCTTTTTTTTTTACCAATCCTATGCAAAGTTCTACACAAATCTCGCAACTACAAAATTTTTCTTTTTTTTTATTAGGGAAATCTTCAATACAAGATAATTGGTAACTTTGCGTCACCAAGATACTTTGGGGTTAGAAGAACTTCAAACAGCCCAACTAGCACTGGGACCCTGTACCTCAGAGAGGACATTAAGCCAGACAATGACTTTGTTTATGAGGTGGGAAGTAGTTGTTAATTTATTCATGCTGTTTTGAGTACTTTTTAATAATCCATGAACTAAAAATTTATTTAATACAAATTATAATTATATTTTTTAGTTAACCATGTTTATTAATGGTCTAGCAGTAGAGAGGTAGACTGCTTACAATAAAGTCTTTAGTTTGAATCTGAGTTCAAGTCAGTAGGATGTCCCAGAGTCCACCCAGCTCATTTGCCCTACGTGTCTTGGGCATGAATGCGAAAAGATGTTTATTTATTGCCAATATTTTTTTTACCTATTCTGATAGTAGTGACCATGTTTATCTATTGCAGATTTTCTCCCCCCCCCCTTCAGATAGTGGTGGCCATGTTTATCTATTTCAAATTTTCTCCCCCTTCAGATAGTGGTGGCCATGTTTATCTATTTCAAATTTTCTGCCCCTTCAGATAGTGGTGGCCATGTTTATCTATTTCAAATTTTCTCCCCCTTCAGATAGTGGTGGCCATGTTTATCTATTTCAAATTTTCTCCCCCTTTCAGATAGTGGTGGTTGTGTACGATGATGCCAGACCATCCCTCAGTGGCACAACAACGGTGACAGCAAGTATCAATCGCAATCCCAGTGGCCCAAGCTGTCCAGCCAACACCATAACAAGCTTCCAAGAGTTGCAGCCCATTGGTTATTTGGTTTACACTGCATCAGCCCCAGACTCAGATGGAGTGAGTAGACAGAATTTGTTGCATATCAAAAACTCCAGACTTTTCGAATTGCTAAACTGAAACTAATTATTAAACCGAAACAGATTATTTATGTTAATGTTTAGTTTTCATGTGATGATCATACATGTTTGATTAACATTTTCAGGATACTGTGACCTATTCATTCCAAACTACAGCTGTGGATCAGAAACCTCTGGAGTATTTTGCCATTCACCCATTGCTGGGACGTGTGACTGTGTTGAAAAGTTTGACACTAGATCCACAGAGGCAGACTACACCATTTGTTGTGAGTTAACAGCATTAACATTTCTTTTTTTAGTAATATTTTAGTTTCTATTTTTAAAATTTACAATTATTCAAATTGTTTTCTTTCTTTTGGTTCATATTTTCTTACAATTCTTTAGTTTGATTTTATCTTTTTTACAAACTTTGGGATTGTTTTGATACTTTTGCTGCATGTTTTGTCCCTAATTTACAAACTTTGGAATTGTTTTGATACTTTTGCTACATGTTTTTAATTTACCATTACCCTTAAAGTGGTAGTTTCACTATTCAGTGACTATTCTCTAATTTGACTTTCAGCTGACTATTGTGGCAAGAGATAATCGCATACCACAGAGGTCCTGCTCCTTCACACTGACCATCACAGTGGGAAGAAACCAATACTCTCCCATCTTCCAAAGGACTCCATACAATGTGCCAACAATCTCAGAAAACCTGGCAACTGGCAGTAATGTTTACAACACTGTCACTGCCACTGATCAAGATATGACTGTACGTCAAAGCTTATTGAATGTTTTTATTTACTCTCATATTTACTGTAATATGATTATAAAAAATTAAACTGTATGTGTTATATCTTATTGAGAGAAATCTGTTTTTTAAAGTCTAGTCAGCTTATAAATAAATTAAAGTTAACTATGTAATTGCGAATTGATTTTTACTCAATGTGATGAGAGCTTTACTATTATTATGTGCTCTCAGGCCCCATTGGTGTATGAGGAAATAAGCAACACCACTGCTGCCTACTACTTTGACATCAACAGAATCACAGCTGCGATTACATTAGTCAACAGTTTATTGGCTGGCACATTCACAAACTACCAGGTCAGTTCTTTCATTTGTATGGTCCAATATTTTATTGTCCACTGACAACTGCTATCCCGAACTATTAAATATAACATGATTTACTACTATTAAAATTAACATAATTTACAGCTAGTAAATGTAGCATGATTTACAACTATAGAAAAGAACATCAGCCCTTAACTGTCCAAATGACTTCTGTCTTCTATAACTGTCCAAATGACTTCTGTCTTCTAGTACTATGTGAGAACATACGACCCCAACTGTCCAAATGACTTCTGTCTTCTAGTACTATGTGAGAACATACGACCCCAACTATCCAAATGACTTCTGTCTTCTAGTACTATGTGAGAACATACGACCCCAACTAACAAATGACTTCTGTCTTCTAGTACTATGTGAGAACATACGACCCCAACTAACAAATGACTTCTGTCTTCTAGTACTATGTGAGAACATACGACCCCAACTATCCAAATGACTTTGCTGAAGAAATGGTCAACATCACAGTCAGCCGTAATGAATACGCTCCAATTTTTGAAAAAACCTCGTATGCCATCACCATCAATGAAACTGAACCCATTGGCAAGAACATTTTGACCATAAGAGCAACAGATAACAACACCAGGGTGAGTAACTCTTTAATCCATGCTGAAATGTTCAGTCCCAGTTATGGTTCATGATTGGTGGGAAAATCTGCAGATGCTGTTTTAAATGAATGTCAGTGCTGCCATATCATTGTCAAGGTAGATTTATTTCCCTGGTAAAGGGCACTGTGAAATTAAGTTAATTTTTTAAAAATGTTTGCAATGTAAATTTTTGTTTTTAATCAATTTTTTTTTGTTTTTTAATTGTTACAACGTATTGAAACCATCTGACAGGACACAGTCACTTACTATGCCACAGCAAATGCCGACGCCCTTCAGCTATTTGAGCTGTTACCTTCAGGTTCAATCCTTGTCAAGCAGAGTCTCTACGGCTTGCCCAAAGACACATACACTGTACGTACAACACTAGTATCTATTTAACTTGGTCACTATGATTTAGTATTCAATACAGAACAAAATTACATTTTAAAATATGTCTCAATTTGAATATTGATATTATAATATAGTTTCAATATTTCGTAGCTCTTGTGATGTAAGGTTTTTTTTTCAATTTTAGATCCTGGCGTACGCAAGGGACAACGGTACTCCCATGCAAGAGACTCAAGTCAATGTGGCCATAACGGTACTGCGTTACCCAGGCAACCCTGTGATATCAGGTGGAGAATGTTTAGATAAAATCAGTGAGAATCGTGCAACTGGGCCCATCAATGCCAGGATTAATGCAACAGATACTTTCAATTTGGTGAGTTTGTCACTTTGATTTGTTTGTCACTTTGGTGAGTTTGTCACTTTGGTGAGTTTGTCACTTTGGTAACTCGTTGCATGTCTAATTTAATGAAGTGACAGCTGGTACATATTCATGTTATTCCGTGAACAGTCACACATTTTGATGCTAATTTATTTCAGGGAAATGTGTACTAGAACTCTCCTGTGCTTGATGCTTGTTTTTTTGTTATGAAATTAAAACAATTTTAAATCTCCATATTTAAAACTCCATATTTCAGGGCCCCCTGGTTTATGAAGCCACTGGAAATTACCCAGCTCTGAATTTCTTTAGCGTCGACAGAAATACCGGTGTTATCCAATTAATTCAAAACCTCAGGACTAGCGGATTCCGTGATATGAACTTTACTGTGAGTTAACTAGACATTAATTTATATCAAAATACATGTATGTTCTATCTCTAAACAAGTCAGCTCTCTGGTTTAGAGATCAATGTTTGTTTTTCCCCCTGTTTATTGTGAGTGTATGACTTATGACTTTTCCCCAGTTTGTTGTGAGGATGTACAACTTATGACTTTCCTCAGTTTGTTGTGAGAGTGTACGACTTGTGACTTTTCCCCAGTTTGTTGTGAGAGTGTACGACTTGTGACTTTTCCCGTTTGTTGTGAGAGTGTACGACTTATGACTTTCCCCAGTTTGTTGTGAGAGTGTACAACTTATGACTTTTCCTCAGTTTGTTGTGAGAGTGTACGACTTATGACTTTTCCCCAGTTTGTTGTGAGAGTGTACGACTTATGACTTTTCCCCAGTTTGTTGTGAGAGTGTACGACTTGTGACTTTTCCCCAGTTTGTTGTGAGAGTGTACAACTTATGACTTTTCCCCAGTTTGTTGTGAGAGTGTACGACTTATGACTTTTCCCCAGTTTGTTGTGTGAGTGTATGACTTATGACTTTTCCCCAGTTTGTTGTGAGGATGTACAACTTATGACTTTCCTCAGTTTGTTGTGAGAGTGTACGACTTGTGACTTTTCCCCAGTTTGTTGTGAGAGTGTACGACTTATGACTTTTCCCCAGTTTGTTGTGTGAGTGTATGACTTATGACTTTTCCCCAGTTTGTTGTGAGGATGTACAACTTATGACTTTCCTCAGTTTGTTGTGAGAGTGTACGACTTGTGACTTTTCCCGTTTGTTGTGAGAGTGTACGACTTATGACTTTCCCCAGTTTGTTGTGAGAGTGTACAACTTATGACTTTTCCTCAGTTTGTTGTGAGAGTGTACGACTTATGACTTTTCCCCAGTTTGTTGTGAGAGTGTACGACTTATGACTTTTCCCCAGTTTGTTGTGAGAGTGTACGACTTGTGACTTTTCCCCAGTTTGTTGTGAGAGTGTACAACTTATGACTTTTCCCCAGTTTGTTGTGAGAGTGTACGACTTGTGACTTTTCCCCAGTTTGTTGTGAGAGTGTACGACTTATGACTTTTCCCCAGTTTGTTGTGAGAGTGTACAACTTATGACTTTTCCCCAGTTTGTTGTGAGAGTGTACAACTTATGACTTTTCCCCAGTTTGTTGTGAGAGTGTACGACTCTCTGAGACCAAACCGTCAGGCCAGCACTACGTGCACCTTCACCGTTCTACGCAACCAGAATTCTCCAGTTTGGAGTCTGCCAAACTACAGCGCCACCATAAAGGACAGTCACCCTGTTCTCGCTAATGTTGTCGGGGTCTTAGCCACTGACACTGACCCAGGGGTGAGTAAAAATTTTAAAAAAAACTAATGTGTACCATTTTTCATTATTCTCATTGTTCTTTCTGACTTGTAGCTTAATGATCACACAAATACTAAAGTCTTTCTTTCTATCCTTTGCTGAAAGCTTAACTCAGTGACCCAAGTTTCTCACATGTTTGAGCTAGTGAAGAAAATAGCCATGAGGGTAGACAACTCTCAAATGGTATTTTGCAATGTTCCCTTCAATTCCACTAACCTGATACAAAATACATGTAACTATGACCTGCTCCATCATCTCACAGGATGTGATTAGCTACTCACTAATTAACGAGACTCAGCAGAGAGATCTGAACTCAGGCCCCTCTGAGTATTTCTTCATTGACTCTATCACTGGGATGATCAGCTTGAAAAAATCTGTCAAAGGTTCAAATATCAGGAGTTTTCTTGTGAGTAAAAACAGGTTTCTATTATTTAATTTGAATGTACTAGAATCACATCTGCAACTGGTAAAAAAAATTTATGGGCTTTGATAATTTATTTACAAACTTTAGTAGAGGGTCACTAAAAAATCTTTATGGGCTTTGATATTTTATTTAGAAACTTGAATAGTCACTAGTAAGTATTTTGATGGACTTCAATATTTTATTTACAAATTTTATTAGAGAGTCACTAGTATATATTTTGATGGGCATGATATTTTATTTACAAACTTTAGTAGAGAGTCACTAGTAAATATTTTGATGGGCATGATATTTTATTTGCAAACTTTAGTAGAGAGTCACTAGTAAATATTTTGATGGGCATGATATTTTATTTACAAACTTTAGTAGAGAGTCACTAGTAAATATTTTGATGAACTGATATTTTATTTTCAACCTTTAGCTGAGAGTTAGAGCCTGTGACAATGGGTGGCCCCAGAGGTGTATTGAAGCAGATGTAACCATTGCCGTCACATATGATGGCATTTTCCCAGTGTTTATCAACATCCAAAACTACAGAGTACAAATCAATGAGGATGCCAGTCCAGGTGTGCAGGTGGTGCAGGTGACAGCAACAGATGCTGACATGGCACCAGGGGTGAGTTTGTTTTTTCCTTAGTTCTCAACTTATACTGGTAAAAAATCTATACATTTTTTATATTAAATTGTTTTACACATAATATTATAACATTTTCTAAACAATAACTTTTGTCTGGTTAAAAACAGTTTTTATATTTTACTTGAACGTGACAACAATTTTATAAGAAATGTCTACATGCAAATTTTAAATATAATAATTATTAATTTCCAGAATTCAGACCCTCTAAGTTCAACTAAATTACATGTTCATTAGAAATTATTTTCACCAATTATTCAAGTTTTAAATAATCCTGCGATGTATAATGGCAACATTTGTCTTCAGTAAAATGAAAACACTATTTGTATTGTTTTTATTTACAGAGCTCTATATATTATGGATTTGTTAACCCTCCACCATCCTACTTTGTATTGTTTTTATTTACAGAGCTCTATATATTATGGATTTGTTAACCCTTCACCATCCTACTTTGTATTGTTTTATTTACAGAGCTCTATATATTATGGATTTGTTAACCCTCCACCATCCTACTTTACCATGGATTCAAACAACGGCAATATAACCCTGTACAGATCAGTTCTCTATGATGTGGCCACCTCATATGTTGTGAGTTTTTCTTAGTTCATTCTTTATTCTATAGAACTCTTCACGCTACATGACACTCAGAAACACTTCATGGAACTGACTTTCATCAAACATGAACTACTTTAATAAAAGTCAGAGTAATGTGTTATTTTAAATTTATTTGCTCCCTAACTATAGAATGACGGTACCATTTTTAGTAGGATTTTAAAAAACATTGAAATGTAATTTTTTTAATAGAATTGGTCTCCTTATTGATTTTCAAAGTATTTCAATTATTTTCATCAACTACAAATTTGACACTGTTTGCAGTTCAATGTAATTGCCTATGACCGTGGGGATCCTGATAGAGTAGCCACAGGCACTGTAACTGTCTTGGTGGTAAGGAACCAGTTCGGTCCTGTCTGCAGACTTCAAAGGACTAGCATTACCATCAGTGAATACCAGAGAGTCCCTTCAATTGTTGCAAACATAATGGCCCCTGATCAGGATAGGGTGAGTTCATTATAAAATTTAAGAAATAATTTATCTGATACAGTTAAGAAAAGTAAATTTACTTGTTAAAATAATTGCATTTTTTAAATGATTATGCAATATTAAATTTAATTGTATCATTTTTAGACTCATATTTTTGTTATTAAGTATGGCTAAATTGTAATTAATTTAACAAAGGAATAATATACAACTAGATTTAATAAAAAAATGCAAAAATTTATATTTTAGGACGCTGTACAGTATAGCATAACAGGAGTTACACCACCATACCCCAATGCCACTGATCCAACTTTTTACATCAACCCAAACAATGGCGACGTCTGGCTATTTAAGACTCAAGAATCTACCTCTGTTACTTTCTATAACGTGAGTTCCTCTTTGTTTCATCTAAATAAATATCTTTGTATTGACTGCTCAATTGAAAATGAGCTAATCCTTTGTTGAATTTACTAAGAATAATTTTTTTTTTTGGCAGTTAACCATCCGTGCCACAGACAACCGAGTAAGCAACCCAAAGAGTGACAACTGTCTACTTCTCATTACCATAGACCTTGACCTTTATCCTCAATTTATTGACAACAGACCTAACAGAAACATCAGTGAGTTCACCCCACTTTCAGTGGTCAGTCAAGTTCAGGCCACTGATGGTGACCTTGAGGTAATTCTCCTAAAAACTTTTATTAGCCTCACTTTGAATTTAAGTATGCTCAAGGTTAATTAAGTAATTACTAAAGGAGGTAAAAAAAACTGCAGCATCTAATTAGTTAATGATGATTGTAATTATTTTTTTTTGGCACCATTGCAGGGGACGATACAGTATGTGTTGATAGGCTTGTACCCTGCTGACAGTTTCTTTGATGTGGGGCAGACAACTGGAGCTATCTCCCTTAAAAGACTGCTCACCTCTGATGACCTCAGTCTCCCATCATACACTGTAAGCTGGCATTTTTTTTTAAACTGTTCTAGCACTAAAAAAATTAATTTTCGCAAAAGAAAAAAGTGTTATCTTACTGGCTAGTTTTTATTTTCTATACTAATTTTAGTAAATAAAAAGTAAATGTATATTAATACAAATACATTTTGTTACTGCAGTTGAGGATCCAGGCCTACGACAGTGCACACCCTAACAGAAGAGCTACCCAAGATGTGACCATTAATGTTGTACGCAACGCTTACATGCCAGTGTTCAGCCTATCAAGATATGTAGTCAGCATACCAGACACGACTCCAGTTGCCACTTCCATCCTCGCAATCAGTGCTAGAGATGAAGATAATGTAAGTGTGGATAGTGCTTGACAGCAGTTTAAATCAAGCTTGTCTGTATTAAATCAACCAGAATTTATCTTACAAGACTGCAGCTTATACCAACAGATGCAATCGAGACTCTGGTCCCAAATACCCCATTCAGAGAAAAATTGTTTGGAGAAATTGTAAATCTGGAGATGATCATGCTCTTCGTTTAGGATGTTGATCTTCTTGTACGATCCTTTCAATATAGAAATACTAAGAACGAAGATGGAAACCCAAATTGAGTATTGTTTCAATTATTATGACTGTTGTAAGAGTATTTTGTTTTGTCTCTCATCAACAGGAAACGCTGGTTTACAGTATAACCGGCTCTACTACCACTGGCCTGAGTTATTTCTTCCTAGATGGAAATAACCTGCGAACCAAAGCCAACTTGAAAACAGCTAGTGATACTTATACTGTAAGACTTTATTTTGTAAACCTACTTTAATAAAATAATGAAAATTACATAATTAATTCAATTATCCTTTTTAATAAACTTTAATTTTCTGGATTTGATTGTATTATTTGAGAAAGAAAATATGAATTTAAGCCATTAAAATGTCATAACTTTTACAAGTGATTTAAACTTAAAACTTTGTATTTAAACAGCTGACAGTATCAGCCAGTGACCCTAGGGGCAGGACAGGAACTGCTTTTGTTGACATCACCATCACCAGGTCCCAAGGGGACAGGCCTCCAGTGTTCATAAACCTACCATATGTGGCGCGTATAACTCGCTATCTGGCTGTCAATACTATACTTATTGATACTAATGCCACAGATCCTGATATACCAAACAATCCGGTAAGTTGTAAGGGACACAGTGATAGTAACATTCCAGTAAGTTGTAAGGGGCACAGTGATAGTAACATTCCAGTAAGTTGTAAGGGGCACAGTGATAGTAACATTCCAGTAAGTTGTAAGGGACACAGTGATAGTAACATTCCAGTAAGTTGTAAGGGACACAGTGATAGTAACATTCCAGTAAGTTGTAAGGGACACAGTGATAGTAACATTCCAGTAAGTTGTAAGGGACACAGTGATAGTAACATTCCAGTAAGTTGTAAGGGGCACAGTGATAGTAACATTCCAGTAAGTTGTAGGGGCACAGTGATAGTAACATTCCAGTAAGTTGTAAGGGGCAGAGTAAAAGTAACTATTCATTAGTTGTTGGGACACTGTAAAAGTAAATTACAGCTGGTTTAATATGTTCACAAGTTTTCTTTTATTCTAGTAATAAAGATTTTCACAATTTTTTCATATATTTAAAGTTTTAAATTACTTTTTTTTGGCTCCTTAAAAACAGCAATATTACAACCCATTTTATGTATTTTACAAAAGTTTTATTTTTTTGTTCATCAACTGTAGGAGCGTATAAAGTTTGAGCTGTACTCTGCACCAGAATCAGATTACTTTACAATTGACTTCAATACAGGGGAGATCAAACTAAAGAAATCATTGACATTGGACACACTGAGAAATGCCTTCTACACAGTAAAACTTTTTTTAAAATAAATTTTCCTTTTTGAGGATCTTTACTTTTCAGAATTTTTCATTTTCAGAATTTTTCATTTTCAGAATTTTTCATTTTCAGAATTTTTCATTTTCAGAATTTTTCATTTTCAGAATTTTTCATTTTCAGAATTTATTTATTTAAACTTGGTTGTCTGGTGGGCTCACCTAGGTAAAACTATTTTTCTCCAGGTGGATCTGTATTGTTACGATGTACAGAACCCCAGTCTTACAGCCAAGGCCTATGCTGTGATTTTTGTTGACCACAACCCCAATGGTCCTATATTTGCTACTGCAAACTATCAGATCACTGTCAGTGAGATTATAAATTTGGGTACAAACGTGATTACTGTCAATGCAACAGATGCCGATAGTGTAAGTCTTATTTTATCTATTAGATTTATAAACATCATACATTTTTTTTTAATGTTTAGAATATTGTGAAAATTTAAATTTAAAAATGTAAATTATTTATTAAAATGTAATTGATTCATTGAATCCATGTTTAGTTGAATCCATGTTTAGTTGAATCCATGCTTAGTTGAATCCATGTTTTGCATTCAACCAGGACACTGTCAGGTATTACATGGTGCTACAGGCAGGAGGGACACCAGCTGCTGAGTTCTTTGCTATCAATGAAAACACAGGAGTTATCTACCCCATTAAGTCCCTTACATTAGCCCCATTGAATCAGTATACAGTAAGTCTTTGTTGCTTTTTCTTTTTTTGTTATTTATTTATTTATTTTTTATTTTTTTATATTCTTGTAAAAAAAAAGTTTTTTTTTAATGAACTATTAGAGATTTAATTATTAAAAATAAAATTGATCAAAATGTAAAAAAAAAATGTCCTTTCAGTTCCAAGTGGTTGCCTATGATTCCGGCATCCCCATGAAAACAGCAACAGCCACTGTCACCATTTATATAACAAGAGACATTTATGCACCTTCATGCACATCTGGGCGTATCCCTGTGACCATCAGTGAAAATACTGTTGTAAACGACACCATTCCAATTCTGACCTTTGTTGCAACTGATCAAGATGGAGGCGTAAGTTTGCACATTCATATCTACCCATTTTTTACATTTTAAAATGTACCAAAATACCATGTTTATACTTACTGTTTTGCTTTTATTTAATAATTGTTTAAAATGTGTTTAAAATAAATTTAAAGGGCAGCCCAATCATCTACGCACCCAGCGGAAATGGCTTGGCTAGAGTTTTCTTTAACGTTAACTCAGCTGGACAAGTGTTTGTCAACTTCCCTCTCACCACCACCACAAGCAGCAGGTTTGAGGTAAATGTTTTGTGATTTAAGCCAAGTTCAGATCCTGGCAACAACGACAGTCTTAAATTTAGGCAGCAGAAATAAAATTTAATCATAGAAGTCATAAATCTTATTAAATTTTAGTCATGAAAATGATCATACAAGCACAATTATACTTTCTTAATTAACTGTAAAGGATATCATAGGCTAAATGTATCTACAATAAAAGCTGAATTTTTTAGATCCTTTGTGGTTGGTGCCATAACTTAGCTAGACCTGTGCTAACAGAGGTTTTAAGTTTAGATTCTTGGTGATTGGTGCCATAATTTGAATAAAATTTGCTGAAATTTCCAGCTTGAAGTGGCAGTGTACAGCCAAAGCAATCCAGCCAAGGTAGGCTACTGTAATGCCACTATCACAGTCAGCAGAAATGTGAATTCCCCAACATTTAGCTCGGTATCTACAACTCTAAACATCTGGGAGTACGAGGCCCCTGGATTCTCAGTAGCTAATCTAACTGCTACAGATGCAGATAATGTAAGTTTTTCTGTTGTCTTCCTAGCTAATCCATTTTTTTCAGTGTTTAGAATCAATTGAGTAGATAAAGACTTCATCCATTTCTGTGAACGCTGCATATGAAGGGATTGTGTGGTCAGTTCAATGCCCAGCCATATTTACTTTTCTATCATGAGTCACGTACAAAGCATTACATGACCATGGTGTATCATAGCATTACATAACCATGGTGTATCATAGCATTACATGAAATACATGAATAAACTTCAAATATAAATATTTGTGACCTTAACTATTGTCTAGTAATGTTAAATGTTGACAGATAAATGGTTATTGTAAAGTGTATTTCTTTGTTTTTACAGGACAGAATAACATACTACCTCTCTACTGAAGCTGTTACCCTCAGTCATTTTGTAATTGACAGCTTGACTGGCAGATTGAGTCTCATAAAAACACTGCATGATATCACCCCAAACACAATTCAGGTTGGTGGTTTAAGCATTGCTCATTTAATTTTATCAGTGGTCACACATTTGTATGTACGTCAATGTTTATGAATGTTCTCTTTTGCAGTTTACTGTGTATGCAACAGACAATCGCTCGCCAGAAAAAGTTGGCCAGATTTCAGTGACTGTGATCATTAACCGTGATACTCCTCCGAACTTTGTCAATTTACAAACAACTGTAAACTTACTAGAAACTTTGCCTATTGGTACTATCGTACTTAATGTAACAGCTCTGGATCAGAACCTTAGGGTAAATGTTTACTATTACTTTTTTTTTCTCTCTGGTTAGTTCGAAATTGTACTAATTTAATAAAAATTTAAAAATTGGATCTTAACTAGGTTTCAATTACTTTGTTTCAATTATTGAACTGTATGAATATTGTTTCAATTATTGATCTGTATGAATGATTGTTTCAATTATTGAATTGTATGAATATTTGTTTCAATTATTGAACTGAATGAATGTTTGTTTCAATTATTGAACTGTATGAATGGTTGTTTCAATTATTGAACTGTATGAATGTTTGTTTCAATTATTGAACTGTTTGAATGTTTGTTTCAATTATTGAACTGTATGAATATTGTTTCAATTATTGAACTGTATGACTGTATGGATGTTTGTTTCAATTATTGAACTGTATGAATGTTTGTTTCAATTATTGAACTGTTTGAATGTTTGTTTCAATTATTGAACTGTATGAATGTTTTTACAATTATTGAACTGTATGAATGTTTGTTTCAATTATTGAACTGTATGAATGTTTGTTTCAATTATTGAACTGTATGAATGTTTGTTTCAATTATTGAACTGTATGAATATTGTTTCAATTATTGAACTGTATGAATGTTGTTTCAATTATTGAACTGTATGACTGTATGGATGTTTGTTTCAATTATTGAACTGTATGAATGTTTGTTTCAATTATTGAACTGTTTGAATGTTTGTTTCAATTATTGAACTGTATGAATGTTTTTACAATTATTGAACTGTATGAATGTTTGTTTCAATTATTGAACTGTATGAATGTTGTTTCAGTTATTGAACTGTATGGATGTTTGTTTCAATTATTGAACTGTTTGAATGTTTGTTACAATTATTGAACTGTTTGAATGTTTGTTTCAATTATTGAACTGTATGAATGTTTTTACAATTATTGAACTGTATGAATGTTTGTTTCAATTGTTGAACTGTATGAATGTTTGTTTCAATTGTTGAACTGTATGAATGTTTGTTTCAATTGTTGAACTGTATGAATGTTTGTTTCAATTGTTGAACTGTATGAATGTTTGAATTATTGAACTGTTTGAATGTTTATAACAGGGACAGATCCAGTACTTTGTTACAATTATTGAACTGTTTGAATGTTTGCTACAATTATTGAACTGTATGAATGTTTGCTACAATTATTGAACTGTATGAATGTTTGTTACAATTATTGAACTGTATGAATGTTTGTTACAATTATTGAACTGTTTGAATGTTACAATTATTGAACTGTATGAATGTTTACAACAGGGACAGATCCAGTACTTTGCTGTTGGTCGGGGAGGAGCTCAAGCAGTATTCAGCATTAACCAGGCCACTGGTCAGATATCACTCATTCGAAACCTCACTACTGACACAAGTTCTTTCTATGATGTAAGTATTTAAAGTCAAGTAGTTTTATATTAGGAAGCATCTTGCTTGCTATGAACATATAAGCCTTGCATAGTTATATCCTACAGTTGTTAAAGTCATAAAGAATTTTTTATTTTTTAAAAATTTTTTTGCGAAATTAATTTTTTTTTTTTTTTGTTTCATGTATTTAAAAAAAAAAATCTCTGATATTGCGTTTGTGTTACCAAAGAAATGTGACATTTAAAAATATGAAATGAAATATTTAAATTGTTCCATTTGAAAAAAAAATTCTGACATGCTACATTCAATAGCTGGAGATCTACGCCATTGACTCAGCCCTGCCTGACATACGTAGTTTACCCGGTGTCATCAGATTCAACATAGCACATAACCAGAATCCACCTAGGTTCCAGTACACACCGTACAATTTTGCTATTGATGTTGACAGAAATGGAAACAGCCTTGGCCTTTTCATTGGTCAGGTCAATGCTACTGATGCTGATGGGGTCAGTGCTGTTTTTGTTTCACCTTTTTAGTATTTTAATTATCATTTTTGTTAGTATTTTATTTGAAAAGATTTAATATAAAATAACTATTTGTATTATTCAGTGTGCTTGTTAAATGCATTTTATAAGTGATTGTTTAATTTTAAGATACCCCATATCACTCTCTATAAACTGATTTTTCAATTTTCAGGACATCCCATTCTACACCTTATCACCAATTGCAGACAACTCAGCAGACTACTTTTTCTTGGACAGAAACGCTGGAAAGATTTACCTGATTAAATCTGTCAGTACTGTTACAGCTACACAGTTCCAGGTAATTTTCTAGTTCATCACATTCTCCACTTGCAACTTTTTTTTAAATTTCACATTTGTAATTTTGTTTTAGCTCATTCTCCACTTAAACTTTTTCATATTTTATGTTTCTAATTTTGAGAGGGATGAGAGACTTTAAATAATTCATAAACACTTCAATGAAGATAATTTTGAAATACCTGATAAAATTTTTTTAAAAATTTACATTGAATTTCATAACCTTTTTTTTAATATTCCAGTTTAACGTAGTGGCCACTGACCGCTTGATCCTGCCATTGTATGACACCAAACCTGTTACAGTAAGCCTGATCAAGGACCAGTACCCACCAGTCTTCAGCAGTGCACTCTACACTGTGACAATCAATGAAAGACGGCCAGTAAATGATACCATCTTTACTGGCTTGTCAGCCACAGATCTAAACCTTCAGGTACTTTAAAAAACTTGGACTAATATGTTACAAAACAAATTTTATTGCCACAACTATGCCTAGATAGATGTAAAAAAAAAAATTTAATTTAAAAAAATCACTTGTCTTTAGAAATTACTAGATATTTAATTTTTAAAATTTATAAATATTTAATTTTTTTAAATATTTAAACTTTAACGTAGGCATTATTTCTTTGGTTGTGTATAGGGTACCATGACTTATGTTGTGACTGGTGTTTATCCTGGTGACACCTTCTTCAGTGTGGGACAAACAGACGGATACGTCAGAGTTATCAGAGATCTACGTACTGATATTGTTGCAAGAACATCATACACCGTCAGTCTTGAAAACAATTTCTTAATTATACAGTTAAATTAATTGCAAACCATAATAGCCATTCTCACCTTCATTTTAAGCATCAACGAAGTTTTATTTATATTTTGAACTTAAATGTGTTTTTAAAGTAAAGCCGAACTTACATGTTTGAATTTTTTTATATCACCTTTATTTTAAGTGTCAATGAAGATTTATTTATGTTTTTAACTAAAATTTAAAGTAAAGCCAAACTTACCTTTTTGAAATTTTTCTCCTCACCAGCTCTATGTGGCAGCTTATGACAGCAGTCTACCAAACAACAGAGCCAGTGCTACAGTTTTGATCACTGTGGAACGTAATGCCAATGCTCCAAGTTTTGGACAGGCCCAAATCACTGTCACGGTGCCGGAGACACAGAGAACTCAAGACTCTGTGGCCAACATTGCAGCAACTGATGCTGATGGGGCAAGTTACAAGTTTTCTCTTTCTTCTCTAACTTTTTTGTTTATAATGCGGATTGTTTTCCCCTTTAATGTAATGAATGTTTACTTTCATACTGTTTTAAATTTGGAGTGTTCTCCCTTACAACTGTTTTAAATTTGGAGTGTTCTCCCTTTCAATCAGGACACTATCCAGTACACTTTAGTCAGGGATAAGAATGGTGGAGATGGCATGTCATTCTTCTATGTTGACCAAACTGGACGCATGTTTATCAAACGTCCACTCACAGAGAGCACAACCAACAGCTATACGGTCAGTTCATTCACTCATCTGTTATCTCTGTTATCTCAGTTATGTTTTTTTTCTCTCATAGTTTAAATAAATTATTGCTGATTGTGTTATTGATGAATTGTGTGGTTAGGGTTATAAATATGTGGATGTTCATGTGGATGTTCGTGTGGATGTTGGTGTGGATGTTCGTGTGGATGTTCATGTGGATGTTCGTGTGGATGTTCGTGTGGATGTTCGTGTGGATGCACATGTGGATGCACATGTGGATGCACATGTGAATGCTCATGTGGGTGTTCATGTGGATGTTCATGTGGATGTTCATGTGGATGTTCATGTGGATGTTCATGTGGGTGCTCATGTGGATGTTCATGTGGAGGTTCACGTGGATGTTCACGTGGATTTTTTTCATGTGGAGGTTCACGTGGGTGCTCACGTGGATGTTCACGTGGATGTTCATGTGGATGTTCATGTGGGTGTTCATGTGGATTTACCTACCTTACACTCTCTCCATCCTCAGATGGTTGTACGAGCAACAGATTCTGGCAACCCATCAAAGCCTACAGATGTTGATGTGATTGTTACCATCGTGCGTTTTGTGAGGCCCATCTTCTCCCAAAGCCAGTACACAGTGACCATCCCAGAGAACCAGGCCATCAGCTCATCTGTCTACTCCATGCTGGCCACTAAAGCAGGAGCTAATGTAAGACTTTTGTTTATCTCAATTAGAAACTTTCACACTAAAGCAGGAGCAAATGTAAGCCTTTCGTTTATCTCAATTAGAAACTTTTACACCAAAGCAGGAGCAAATGTAAGCCTTTCGTTTATCTCAATTAGAAACTTTCACACTAAAGCAGGAGCTAATGTAAACTTGGCTTATCTCAATTAGAAACTTTCAAGGGGTCGGCGTGGTCGAGTCGGTAAAGCTCATGGTTGCTAAACCGAAAAGTCTCGAGTTCGAACCCTCGGGCAGATGAGGCTCGTTAGCTGGGGACAGCCACTCTTCTAGGAGAGACAACTCCAAAAATTAAACAACTGCTGCCTTGTAGTTTGTTCTTGGTTGGACAAAGGCTATGGAAGCAAATCCAAAAAGAAAAGCAGGCTGAAATCGGAGTCAATGGCCTCAATGGCGCATAACCAGTTGACACGTAACGCTTAATTGTGTTGGAGGCGTGGTCGAGTCGGCAAAAAAAAAAAGCTCATGGTTGATAAATTTGAACAAAGTCTCGAGTTCAAAACCCACTGGCAGATAAATCTCGATCCCCTTCAACACTAATAATTAAGAACGAAGAAGAAGAAAGAAGAAACTTTCACACTAAAGTAGGTGCTAATGTAAGCTTCATTTATCTCAATTAGAAACTTTCTCCATAAAGCAGGAGCTAATGTAAGCTTCATTTATCTCAATTAGAAACTTTCTCCATAAAGCAGGAGCTAATGTAAGCTTCATTTATCTCAATTAGAAACTTTCACACTAAAGCAGGAGCTAATGTAAACTTGGCTTATCTCAATTAGAAACTTTCACACTAAAGCAGGAGCTAATGTAAGCTTCGTTTATCTCACTTAGAAACTTTCTCCATAAAGTAGGAGCTAATGTAGGCTTAGGGACGCACAAGAGGTCCACAGGAATGATAATGATGAAGATTTGGCTATTGATAAAGAAAATGTTATACTAATGTAGCATGTAATTTATCACTTCTTCACAATTTAGTTTTTTAATAAATTAAGATATGGTTAGCAACAAAACAAACGTTAGACTAATGTAGTATGTAATTTGTTTTATCAGGTCAGATATGAAGTTGTTGGAGATGGATACGCCCCCTACCTGTTTGCTATCAACCAAACTACAGGACTTGTGACTGTGAAAAATAGTTTGAGAGACCTCAAAGATTTAACATACACTGTAAGTCTTGGTGAAACCTCGCAGTACCCATAACAAATTTTGTAAGAAAAGGAAATTTACCTGAAACAAATTTCTCAAGAAAATGTCTGTCCTGGATTATTGGTTTTAGATTACTGTGAATACTGACAATATTTTTTTGTGTTTTCATTAATTCAGCTGACCAAATGCTGACTTTATTTTTATGTTTTCATTCTTTTAGCTGACTGACTGCTGACTATATTTTGTATGTATTCATCATTTCAGCTTACAGTGAACGCTTATGATGAATCTCAACCCAACTTCAAATCCCAAGCAACACTGGCCATCTCAGTGACCAGAAATGACAACCCTCCAGTGTACACCCAGAGTCTGTACACAGCAACGGTCACCCAGGACACGACCCCGTACACCAGACTGGTCACTGTTATTGCTAATGACACTAAAGATGGGGTCAGTGTCGACATTTTTAAAAACTTTTGTTGCTTTTATTGTCTGATGCTTGTCATCTGTGTAAAAGGTTGATTGTAAAATATTTTTTACTGCTTATGAATCGCCATTTAATTGATCAAGGGAATGTTTAAATATTTGACAAATTACCTGGGAATGCACTAGTTTTTTTTTAATATAAGAATATCATTTTTATAAAGCTTTCAATGATCAAATTGTTACTTGATTTGTTTTACTATCAGTCTACACCCTAAACCATACAAAGAAAATTTATATATATTATTTATAGCTAATTTATCCCTTTTTTTAGAACGCCATCACATACAGACTAGTTGGGCCCCAAGAATGCCTGAACAGATACAAGGTTCTGTCTACTACTGGTGAATTTCTATTGGTCGTCTCTCCAAATACCATTCCAGCAGGAACTACTGATGTCAGTAACTCTTTAGTTTATAAGTTTGCTAAAATACTAACTTTTAAATTATGTCTTTTTGTAATAGGTATATTTACACCGTTTTAAGCAGGAACAGCTATATTTTTTAATTTAAAAAATTTATATTTAATTAGCTGTAATTTATTTATATTTCAACTTTCAGTGCATAGTTGAGGCCAGTGACAATGGCTATCCCACCCCCAAAACTGTCACCTCTACTGTCCGTGTGACAGTGTCCAGTGAGACGTCACCTACATTCCTCACTACACTGCCTGTATCAATAAATGAGACTGTACCCAACTATCAAACCATTGGAACAGTCACAGCCAGCAAACCCAACCCAACTGTGAGTTGTTTCCCTTTATTGTGACATAATTAGAGGAGTGGTTTACTGTACATTCCAGACATATTGTAATTAATTAAAAACTTGTTAAACAAAATATTTTTACTATTTAAAGTTATCAGCATTTATTTAAATGTTATTTTTTATTATTTTACTCTGTTGCTTCAGCCAGAGGTGTTTGCTTACATACACAAAACAAAAAGATATTTTATTTTCATTTTGGATGTAGTAAGAGCAAACAACTCTAGCTGGATCTGATTTCAATTGTTTGAACTGTTTCATTTCTGCTTGGATTAAGGTTCCTTGTATAATGAATTTTCAGGGCAGCATTATCTACACCTTGGAAGGAAACTACCCAGCCTTGTCGTTCTTCAATGTCTCATCCACCAATGGCAACATCCAGGTCATCAATGACCTCCGCAATGACCCACTCAAGCTGACCCAGTACACTGTAAGTCCTTGACCATGTCAACTGTCACTTGTGTGATTTATTTTATATATTATGTTAAATGCCGCTTTTTAAAAGTATTCTTTAATCAATCAATTACATTTTTTTTTAAATTTAATTTTTTGACTGAATTTTTTTTTCCTTGCAGCTGAGAATCTGTGCAGCTGATTCAGCTTTCCCAGCCATCAAGCAGTGCGTCAACCAGCTGATCAATGTTGCCCGCAACCAATTTTCACCTGTGTTCAACCCACCAACAGACCGTGTCAGCATATCTGTGGACACGCCCATCACCTCCTGGTCACGCCCCCTCAATGTCACAGATGCCGACAGTGTGAGTGTACCTCAGATGTTTGACATTTTGTCATTTGTTCTGTGCCATGTTTTATTGTTGATTACCTTAAGCCAGCAGTTTTTCGTGTCCTCTATGCTTACATTTTTTTCTTGCATGATCTTTATAACAACCATAATCACGTGTAGCTAATATTTTTTCTGAAGTGCTAGCTACAGCATGTTTTTAGCTACTACAACACATGTAGCCAATAAGTGAAGTGCTAGCTACAGCATATTTTTAGCTACCATACCACATGTAGCCAATAAGTGAAGTGCTAGCTACAGCATATTTTTAAGCTACCACAACACATGTAGCCAATAAGTGAAGTGCTAGCTACAGCATATTTTTAAGCTACCACAACACATGTAGCCAATAAGTTAGTGAAGGGCTAGCTACAGCATGTTTTTAGCTACCACAACACATGTAGCCAATAAGGTAGCTACCACAACACATGTAGCCAATAGATTTGTCAAGGGCTACTTACTTACTCCCACAGACTAAAGTAACATGCAGCATCATTGGCAATTCCAAGGCCCAGGAGTTCTTTAAGGTGGATCCCAACACTTGTGTGGTCTCCTTGAGAAGAAATCTGACCGATGACGCAGAGAAAACAACTTTGTACCAAGTATGTTCAACTATTTTATCTTGATTTCTCTCAAATTTAAAATAATGAATCTGTCTTCATTTTTTTTTCTATAATTTAAAACAAATTTTTTCCCCTCTCTAACCTAACATTGAAAAAAATTTTATACTGCAATGAGAATGTTTGGGTGTTATTTTAAACTGTCAAGTACTGAAAGAAACCTCCTGTTTTGCCCTCAGATTACAGTGCAGGCAACAGACAATGGAACACCTCAGCAGGTATCCACTAGTCTGCTGGAAGTGGCTGTCAAACGTGACCTCTTCAACCCTGAAACCACAAACCTGCCATCTACAGTGACCATCGATGAGAACAGCAACACTGGGGCCTCAGTTTTTAGAGTATCTGGACGAGATAATGATACAAATGTGAGAACAAATAGCATTTTAATCAAACACAATGTTAACATTTTTGTAAAATAAATGTGTGAACACATATCATTTTATTCAAACAGAATGTTAACATTTTTAAAAATATATGTGAGAAAAAAATATTTTATTCAAATAGAATGTTAACATTTGTTTTTAAATTTTAAAGTAGTATGTTCAATATAGACTAATGCATATTTTTCCTTTTAGAGCGTAATAGTTTGTGAGCTTGCAGCAAACAACCCAGTGAGCCTGTTTTTCCAAATAGACAACAATTGTCTGATCACCATCAGAAATTCTCCACGGCTAGACACACAAACTACCTACCAGGTAGGATTTGATTTCAAATATCCAAACTCAAATGTTAAGTGTTTAGGGATCTTCCATTTATGATATCCACATGGAGCCATGTGGAGAGGGCAGGATGGGTAGAATTTAATTTTATGTGGATGTTATGCAATGGAAAATCCCAACTTTGTGTTAAAAAAAGAAAAAGAAAATTCGTTCCTGTTATTTTGTTGCTAATCCGATTCTTCTTTTTTGTTAGATCCCAGTCCAGGTGTATGATGCAGCATGGCCGAACAACAGAAAGACAGAAACTCTAACAGTGAACGTCAACAGAAATGTAAATGCTCCAGTGCTAAACGGACCCTTCAGCACCACCATCAACAACAACTTCTCCCCTGGCAACACAGTCCTTACCGTGGGGGCCACAGATGCTGATGGGGTAACTTGCTTTCAAACTAATTAATTATGCATTGATGTTAAATTTTTTTTATGTCAGTTCCACAACCCAATACAACAAAACGAAGTTTGAATTTTAAAACTAAAGTTAAAGTATATTATAAAACTTTGATATAACTCATCCATCTGATCTTTAACCTCTGCATAAATTACACAGGATCGGTTGACCTACTCAATGGTGAATGCTAACGTCAATGTCAGCAATACATTCATGGTGGATAGCTCAACAGGAAGAATCATCTTGTTGCGTCCACTCCAAGATCAGACTGTCTACACAGTGAGTATATTTGTAACATTTCAGTTGAGTCTATCTACACAACTATTTTAACTCTAGCTACAAAACTGTCCACACAACTATTTTAGCTCTAGCTACAAATCTATTTACGCAACTATTTAAACTCTAGCTACAAATCTATTTACTCAGTTATTTTAACTCTAGTTACATATCGGTCTACACAACTATTTTAGCTCTAGCTACAAATCTGTCTACACTACTAGTTTAACTCTAGCTACAATGTAAATGGGCTACATCTGTATACAATTTTACTTAACTTTGTTACTAAACTTTTAGTTGTCTTTTTCCTCAAACGTAGGTTTACAAAAGTTTCATCTTATTTCAGTTTGATATTCGAGTCACTGACAACCGCAACCCTGAGAAGACTGACACAAGAGCAGTGACCATCAATGTAAACAATGTTGTCTACCCTCTGACCTGGGTCAGTGCACCTTACACTGCAACAATCAACATCAACACCACCATCAACACAGAAGTGACAGTGGCAGTACGAGCCACCAAACAAAATACACAACAGGTACAAAATTTGACCTGGCTAGAATTTGTGTTCATGTATTAGCCTTTATTTAGCTGCATCTAAAAGCTTGTTCTACAATATCAGGTATTCAAAATTGTTTAAATCAATAAAAATTGCAAAGTACTAAACAGTGGACATTCAAGAATAATTTCTACATTGCTATTTAGCCCTTGCTCTTCAGACCAATTACCATCCTCTCACCTGTATAGAGAGACAAAGACAGATATGTAGGCCCTGGCTCATCTCTACTAGCTGCCCAGGCTTTGCGCTCTGTATTTCCTACCAAACCACAATCCAATCATCTTTTGAGACTATTTAAATTAAAAACTCCTTTTTTGAACTTGACAGTCCATGGGGTAGGTGAAGTAGAATTAACCTGTTTATGTGACCTAGACATATGAATGGATGGTGTGGTCAGAACTAGGCCCACCTGCTTTTAGTTTCCCTAACAATAGGCAGGTACTCGTCAGAGCTGGGTGGACTCAGGGACATACGACTGACTTGCACCCGGATTTGAACCCAAGACTTTCGGGTTAGCAGTCCAGTGCTCTACTGCTAGGCCATGCCATTGACACCATGCAGCCCCTGATTAACTATCAACTTTTTCTTCTTTTAGACCAACATCAGATACAGGTTCAATGGTGGAGCTCCCAGCTCAGCTGTCAACTTCTTCAGTATTGATGCCAACACAGGCCAGGTGTACTTAACCAACAACCTTGTCGCTGACGGGACCATGAAATTCTTGTCTAATGCTGTGGTAAGTCAAACATTTTTATTCTTCATCTGGATTTTCCTGTACATAAAAAATTATGTGAACTTAACAAAAAAAAAACCTTTTTCACAGCTGTTCATTGAGGCCTATGATATTCAAGCTACATCTGATGTGATCAGGACCTCCCTGACCATCAACTTTAACCGCAACATGAACGCCCCAGTCTTCTCACCAGTCACCTACTCAGCAACCATCAACGATTACGACCCTGCTGGTACCAGTGTTGTCACCGTAAGGGCAACCGACAGCGATCCACTGGTAAAAAAAAATTTCTCTTGCTTGCATTCTTTTTTTAGTTTTTAAATTGTTCAAACAAAATTTCACAAGTATTTTCTTGACTAAATATCTCAATGTTCTGACAGGCACCAGAAAATACCATTATTTATGAAGTGGACTCCAGCAGAAGTGCATCTGATTATTTTACTGTTGGTAGCTACAATGGTCTGATTACTGTGAAGAACAGAGTGTCCCTAGACCCAGCGAAACCAGGCACTTACACTGTAAGCCACGCTCATTTATTTATACAAAAACATACACTGTATGGCCACTCTCAATTTATTTATACCAGGCACTTACACTGTAAGCCAAGCTCAATTTATTTATAAAAAAACATACACTGTAAGCTACGCTTAATTTATTTATACTAAGCATATACACTATAAGTTACACTCAATTTATTACAAAACACACTGTAAACTGTAAACCACACTCATTTCCCTAAATTTAAAAAAGTGTTTCAAACAAACAAAAAATAAGTTTTATTTAAAATATGTGCACTACATTTTGTGTAGACGTGTCCCCCATATTATATTTATAATAATTTTATTATTGAGTAAATTTTGTGCTCCACCTGTCAGGTGTATGTGCTGGCCCATGACACCAGCCTCCAGCCTAAAACATCAACAGCAACAGTCACCATCACTGTGAACCGCAACAACCCCCCAGCCTTCACACAGAACCAGCCTTACACCAGGGAGATCTCAGACACTGTGGACGTCTACTTCCCCTTTATGGTTGCCACAGCCACTGACCCAGATTCCAACGTAAGTTCTAGCAGTCTTCACCAGCAGAAAACAGAAAAAGTTCTAGCAGTCTTCACCAGCAGAAAACAGAAAAAGTTCTAGCAGTCTTCACCAGCAGAAAACAGAAAAAGTTCTAGCAGTCTTCACCAGCAGAAAACAGAAAAAGTTCTAGCAGTCTTCAGAAGCAGAAAACAGAAAAAAGTTCTAGCAGTTTTTACAAAAAGAAAAAGTGCTAGCAGTCTTCACAAGCAGAGAAAATTATGATTAACAAAGAGACAATTCAAATAACTAACCAAAATATGTTTATTTCTTGAATGACATTTAAGATCTTGGAATTTGTTGAAATACTTACAAAAATTAATTACTTAAAGAGTAATTTTAAAATAAGAAAAATAATACATTTAAATTTCAGATTTCAAATTTGTATGACTATTTTAATCATACTCAGTTCATTTTCACTGCTTTTTAAAAAGATATATAAATAGATCCTTATTTTTTAAAAAAAGTAAAATAGTCATACTTATGTTTGAAAAAAAAAGGTTTAATTATAAAAAGATAGTTAAATAAATCTCTGAAAAAAAACAGATGTTTTGTATGTTTCAGGTAGCTAACTCTGACAATGGTAAACTGGAGTTCAGCATAGTTGACCCTACAGCCAACACAATCTTTGGCATTGACAACATGGGAAATATTTTTGCTAGAAGATCACTGCAGAATCTGAATTCATCATACACAGTAAGGACCTTCACCTTTAAATTATTTTCTTTTCAGAGTATTATAAAAATTAAATTTGTAAAAATGTATCAGCCAAAATATTAAAGAAAAATTAAGATAAACTGCATCAATTAGAATACTTTCATGAACTCCTTCCCTTGATTGTGATAAGAATTTGGATGGATTTTGTTTTAAAGATGTGTGTATGTTTAGCATAGATAGGTACTTTATACATACTTTCAACATAATTTAAAATGTGCTATTTCAGTTCCAAATCAAGGTGGCTGACAAAGGCATACCACCTCTGTCTGACACTGCCCAAGTGGTTATTACCATCAGCAAGAGTGCTGGGCTGACCTTCAATCCCAGCTCAGTCAGCTACCAGAAGTCTGAGAGCACACCTGTCCCATCCTTCTTGGAGAGGGCAGTGGCCACAGATGGCCTTGGTGGTGTAAGTCCTCTTTACAAGTCACCACATCAACACTTATTTCATAAACATTTTTTTTTTAATTATAATTTGCCATAATTTAAACATCTTAAAGACAAGATTTTAAACTTGAATAGACTTAGTAAGATCAAAAAGTTTCCAGCAGATTAAAAAACAAATATGAGGGAACAGAAGCAAGTATTTCTTTTTTAAATTACAAAATATTAAAGCTGCAATTTACAAATTTTGTGCAAGTGATGCATTTAAATAAGGCTGTCTTTTTTTTACTCCAAGTAAATTATGTTACAAACTAGAATTGAGTTTGATATTTAGAATGTGTTTGTATTTCAGAGTGTGATCTTGTATGAGCTTGTGGCTGATGGGTTCGCCAACCAAGCTTTTGTTGTTGATCCCAATAACGGCACTGTGACACAAGTCAAGCCATTCACTGATGACCCACTCAAATCATTATCTTACCTGGTAAGAAATGCCTGATCATAGAATGAGTCATCCAAACATTGAGTGTTTTCACTTAAATAACAAACATTTAGAATCATTGGATAGTTTGTTCTCAGATCCATTGTATTATTTTTTAAAGATTTTGTATATTCGGATTATTTTTTTACATGAATTCAATATAGATCTTAAAGATTGTTTTCTATAAATTCTTTTGAAGATTTTGTGTATTCAGATTATTATTGAAGATTTCAATGGCTAATTTTTTTGTTTGTTTTGTTTTCCAGTTCAGAATTCGTGCTTACCGCCAGAGTGATCCAACTGTACAGGCCTACAAGACCATCAGAATTACAGTTGACCGTAATCCATCTTCCCCTGCCTTTAACCAAACCAACTATGTTTTCAACATCCCAGAGAACCAGGTGTTGGGAGATGTGTTTGGAAAGATCAGCGCCTCGGACCCAGATTCTGTAAGATTTAATTTGATCTTTTCAAAATATTTTTTAATATCCTTTATTGGATTTATTATAAACCTATTTGAATTTGTATATTTAAAAAAAATAATTTGATAATTATTTATTGATACATTTTTAAAAATAATTGATTCGTTTCATTTATTGATTAAACTTTTTAATAATCTATTGAATTCATGTATTGAGGTGAGTTTTATTTTATCTGTTGACTGATTAAAAGAATATTTGTATAAAGTTCACTATTCCTGTCAACACTTTGATGTAATAACAGGGTACGTCTGGAGAACTCACATACACCATATCTCGCCTGGGCAACAACCCCTTGACCAGCTACACGTACTTCTACATGGGTCCAACCACTGGAGAGTTGACCGTGTCCAGAAGTTTGTTGGATGACAGGGGCACTACCAGCTACAGTGTAAGTCTTCTGTTTGTTGTTGGTCTACTAGCTAGTGTAAGTCTGCTGTTTGTTGTTCTGTCTTACAACATGGTGGGTGTCAATTAATTAGGAGACATTAGAGGGGCAGAAAGCTGCTAAAAATGTCTTCCTTTCTCTTTGTAAACTTTGTCAGTAAATCAAATTTTGTATCTTGTCCCCTCTACATGATCTTTGTAATAATACATTTATAAATATAAATTTTCATGAAAGGACAATCTACAATTTATATGAAATAAGAAAACAAACTTTCATAAAATGACAATCTACAGTGTATGTGAAACTTTCAAAATGACAATCACAAATTTATGTGAAATAACAAAACAAACTTTCACAAAATAAAAAATGACAATTTACAATTTATGTAAAAAAAAATCAATTTTTCATGAAGTATCAAATCTACCCTCCAACAGTTCCCAATCAAGGTGGCAGACAGTGGCTCACCACAAAAGACAGCAGACGCTTCAGTAACAATCAATGTGTCTCGTAACAAGAACGGCCCAGTGTTTGTCCCCAACAATACATTCATAGTAGAAATCCCAGAAGACTACCCTGTCCAGGGCTCCATTGTGGATCTGAAGGCCACAGAGGCTGATGGTGTAAGTACAATTTTAAACTATCCTACAATGCTAATTTGATAAATTTTAATAAATTACAAAGCTCATAAATGTTCTAATTCATATATAAATGGTTCTCACATCTGGTTGCAACTTTTTTTCAGAACCCTGTGACCTACTCCCTCCAACGCACCAGCATCAATACCTTGTATTTTGCTGTCAACGAGACCACTGGCAGAGTCTATCTATCTCAGTCTGTGCTTAGGGCTCCCAGCTCAACATTTTTTGTAAGTCATCTTCAGGTTTCTGCATACATTACTACTTACACATTTCATAAACACATTTTAAGAACAGACACTAAATGAAAAAAAAATACACATTTATGATTAAAAAAAAATTGGCAAAAGGTAATTTTAATATTTAAGAAACAAAAACAAATTAGCAAAATAAGATAGTTTTGACATGTTTGTTAAAAACTTGTCAAAATAATTTAGTTTTGACATTTTTGTTAAAAAAAACTTGTCAAAATAAGACCTTGGCAGTTATGAAAATAATTTTCCCCCAGTTGACCGTAATAGCATCAGATAACCAGCCATCAGTTAAAACAGCCGATGCCACCATCACAGTCATTGTCCGAAGAAATCCCAACGCACCAGAATTCAGCCAAAGGCTCTGGACCAGAGACATATCAGAGTACCAGGCTGTGAACACCGAGCTGTTGACAATAATAGCTACAGACAAAGACGCCTCATCTGTGAGTTGTCTCGATTATTCTTTGGCGTCTTAGCCACTTTAACCTTCTCTTCCTTTATTATTATTAAACAATATAACACTGCGTTTACACTGTGACATGTATACTATACATGACTAGGGAAAAAAATTGCAGTTATTTAATGTTATATGAATACATTTTTCCTTCGGAACCTGTATGCTAACTTGTTGAAAGTCTTTTTAGACGAGTATAGTATACATGTAACAAGTGTAAATGCGGTTTAAGTATTAATTTTTTCCTAAGCTTTAAGTTATTTCAGAATTTTTTTCTTCTTCCTATTTACTTTTCTAATTATTGTTTCTTCTCAACGTTCAATAATCTTACTTAAAATTGTGATACTTCTCTACATTTTTAGTTAAGTCTTATTATTTCCTGTTTAAAATGTGTCAATTGACTAATCCACCAGAGTGACAGTGGAAGAATCACCTACTCCATCATAAACCAAACAGCCACCAGCCCCCAACCTACTTCTGGCTTTGCTACAGACTTTTTCACCATCGGCGCCAACAATGGCCAGCTGTTCTTGACTAAACCATTGACAAATTATACATCAGCCAATGACTATGATGTAAGTTACTTTTCTCAGAGCTAATGGAAAAAAGCATCACCAAATATAAATATTTTTATTTTAATATTGATTTAACCTGCTAAATTTATTTTATTCAAGAAAATGACTCAAAAAAACTTTTTTAATAATTTTTTTACAAGATTTTTAACAACCCTTTTACTTTATACTGTATTCTATTTTTCAAGAGGGGAGACTAAAATGTTGATTATTTCTTTATTTAAGAAAATGTTTATTTGTAACACAGATTTATGTGAGAGCTCAAGACAATGCCATCAATCCAAGATCTGACGTTTCACTTGTCAAACTGCACATTGTACGCAACATGTACGCCCCACAGTTCTTACCTGCTGTCGTATTAGCCAACATCACCTCCAGCGATGCTATCAACACACCAATCTTAACTTTACCTGCTGTGGACAATGATAGTACCATTGAGCTCAACAAAAATGTAAGTCAGAATAAAGTAAATGATTCAATATTTTTTTCTAAGGTTCTGCCACTGTTTTTTTTTTCCCAATTTAATTTTTAACATTTTTAGAACGGTTGATTCTTAAAAAACATTTTTATGCAATTACAATAAAATTTTCAAATTTGAAAATATTTTTTTTCAAACCCACATAACATTTAAAAATAAACTGTTTAAAATAGTTAAATGAAAATTTTGCTTCCCATCTGGTAACTTGGCTTCCTGTACCATTTTTCAGACTCCAAATGCGGAGATTACTTATGAGCTGAGGGATTTCTCTGAGGCTGATAAACAATCCAGATACTTTGGTGTCACCCAGGATGGAACGGTTTACAAAAAACTGGCAACGATAAGCAACACAGAATTCCAAACATTCACTGTAATTATTTTTTTTCTCTATTTTATAAGTGCCCTTCCCAAATAGTACTGCTTATAGCTAGGTGTTCTGGGATTCTCTCTTACTATATACAAAAATCTATAGCCACATTTTGTGTTTGTCTGAAATGTCCTGTCAATACCATTTTGTTAGAAATTATTTAAAAGAGCACTGTAATTAAATTTTACCTTTTTGTGACAGTGTCTGCTTTTTTTACCCTCCGTCTAACTGATAACTAGACAATAACAGATTTAAATTTCAAATTTAATGAACGGATGTTTCAATAAAAAATATTTCTGCCAATTACAGTTTATGGTTGTGGCTAGAGACAACAACTGGAGACATGACAAACTGACAACTGTCAATGTCAGCATTGGTGTCACCCCCACCACTATACTGGGGGGCCAAATTGGATTCAGACAGCCTGTTTTCCTGTAAGTATATTTCGTTTTACAACAAGAACGCTACCACTTTACAATATGAAAGTTTAGCTTTCTTTTTTAAAGAAAATAGACTAATTTCCATTTCCATTATTTGTTGTATTCTCCAGTGTGAGCATTAAAGAGAATTCTCCAGTAGGCTCAAATGTGACATATCTAAAAGTTGAAAACCAGGATCAAAGCCAAGTTGAATGTAACTTATTAAATGCCAATACTGGTGAGTTGTTTTTTCTAAACAAAATGCATGATGATTTGCTAGTCACTGAGTTTGATATGAATCTGTATAGAATTCCTTTTTTGAAACCTAATAAAATACAGTGGTCAATAATTTATAAAAAATATTTATTTCCTCAGATATATTTTACGTGCAGACTGTGGAAAATGAGAAGAACTGTTTGATAGTCCTGCTAGCAACATTGGACAGAGAGACACAGGCTAGATATGACTTTAATGTGACAGTCCAGAAGAAGACACTGACACCCACCAATGGCAGAAAGAAGAGACAGTCATCAGTAACCATTTACAGTAAGTTCCCCTTTCAGCTGTTATTCATCAAATAGTAGCGATGAAATTTTTCTTTTTAAATTTATTTGTTAGACCTTTTTTAACTAAAAGTATGAAGCTAGTACACATCCTTTACTCTTTTTCTAGCTAAAAATAATTTATTTACTCTTGGAGAAATTGTGAAAGTAGAATAAAAAAACGTAATGAAATGCGATGAAACAAACAGATAATTTTTCATGCGGTTCTGTTTGTTCCTAGACACATGGCCCAACGCTCGTGTGGTTGTTGAGGTTGTGGATGTCAATGACAACCCACCCGCCTGGGTGTGGAACAAATATCCAAGAAATGACATTGACCCGCCTGCAGGCACAAGAGGCATCTTCATCACCGCAGTAGACTACTTGTCTTCCCCTGAAACAGTTGCTATTCCACTCAAGGTAAAAAAAAAGATCAATTTTAGCGGTGGAATTAAATTTTATTTTTATTTTCGGTTTTTCCAATTCTTTGAAAAAAATAAGGGAAACATGTTTTTTACTCAGTTTTACAAAATTGTTCCTGAAATTTATTTTACAAAACTGATCCCAGAATGGTTTTTACAAAACTGTTCCTGGAATGGTTTTTAACTGTTAGTAGTTATTTATAAAATAGTTTATTAAAAAGCGTTTCTATTTTACAAAAGTAATTTTTATTAAAGAAAAAAAAATCCATATAGGGTAGTTGAAGAAGTAATTTATTTTTGTCACAGGCCACAGATATAGATCAAGGTCTGAATGGAGAAGTGCGCTACAAACTGGACATGCCTCTGGTCAACCCTCCCCCCTTCAACATTGATGAGCTTGACGGAAGTCTCTACACAACCACAGAGTTCTCTGATGATGACAAAAACAACAAATATCTGCCCTACAAGCTGATAGCAGAGGCCCACGACAGAGGTCAAGATGTTGAGGGATTCAAATCTGTCCAAGCCAACTGCTATGTAAGTGGCAAATATTTTCCTCTGTAAATACTTAAATATTTTTTTTATTGACAATGTGATGTTTACATATTGAATATATCTAAAAAAAAAAAATTTTTTGTGGAAACGTACACGTGTAACTAGTATGTGGGGTTTTGTTAGTCTATTTTTGTCCATCACTTGTGAATGATTGTCTAGACCCAGCTGTGTTCAGTTTGTAGAGATCATGGATAAGTTTCACAGGATTTGTTGCCAGGATAAGTTCTTAAGATTTATTCTAAATTTATATATCGTCTTATTAAAAAAAAATATTTCCTTGATTAAGTTTTTAAATAAAGTAATTAATTAAAAGATTAACTGAATTCTAAAAATTTAATGATGCAGACCAAAAGAAATTTCTGAATGTGCCTAAGAGATGAGCAGTTTTCTTTTCTGAAGGATAGAACAAAATATATAACTTTATTCACTTTTAACAATGAAATTTTTTATCTTGTATTACATTGGGTGGATGTTCCTTTTTTTGTGTGTGTATGTTTGTAGAATTGTTTAAAATGTTTAAGTTTGTTTGTTTATTTAGCTATTCTGCTAAAGGTGAATCCAAACTTGGATTTTGATTGTCCACTTTTTCTTGACACAGGTCAATCTGATCCGGCCAATCAACAGATTTGTTTTAGTGGTCAACAGACCAATGGCTGACGTCCTCTTACAGAAGGAAATTTACAGGCTGTAAGCATCAGACTGTACTGTGCATCTGTTTAAATGTTTAGTACTGTGCCATACCGCATCTGTATGCTTATAATGTACAAAAAATCTTAATTAAATGTACAAAACTCATTACTTTACAAAAATTGTTAATTAAATGTAGAAAACTCATTAATTTTCAACCAAAATTTGATATCCCCCAGGGCTCTACAAAACTCGACTGGTTATGTTATTATCATTGAGAGAATTGAGGCAAAGAGAACACCCGGTACAGTCAATGGGACCTACGATGTGGACACAAAAGCGTAGGTTTTTTTTTTTAGCTAAACATTTCTGTATTACATTTAAATCTTAATATGGTTCTGTTTTGTGCTTTATTTTATTTTTATAATCAAAATATAAAATGTTTTTATTTTATTTTTCAGAACTGACGTTACGTTTGTTGCTGCTTTACCCAGAGAGTATTACCAGTTGGTCAATCAGACAGATGCTGAAGCTAATGGGTAAGTTTTGTAGGCAGGTCAGAATGTATACAAAAAGTGTACAGAACCTAATGGGTAAGTGTTGTAGACAGGTCAGAATGTATACAAAAAGTGTACAGAACCTAATGGGTAAGTGTTGTAGACAGGTCAGAATGTATACAAAAAGTGTACAGAACCTAATGGGTAAGTGTTGTAGACAGGTCAGAATGTATACAAAAAGTGTACAGAACCTAATGGGTAAGTGTTGTAGACAGGTCAGAATGTATACAAAAAGTGTACAGAACCTAATGGGTAAGTGTTGTAGACAGGTCAGAATGTATACAAAAAGTGTACAGAACCTAATGGGTAAGTGTTGTAGACAGGTCAGAATGTATACAAAAAGTGTACAGAAATAGTTCAAAAATGCCCTCCCTCCCCCCCACCCCACCAACCGTTGAAGCTCTTAGTCCCTTTTGGCTTAGGTCCCCTGTCAAGGCCACACTTTTGTCAGTTTGTTTGGTTTGACCCATGTAAACAACCAGGTGTGCCAGATTGGACTTCTCACCTGCTCAGTGTGTTGACTCAAGAACATTAACCTAGCTACAGTTTCCTGCATGTTGTCTCCCCCATGCCTTGTTTGTTCTTACTTCAGTCCAAACACAAAACTTAGCTTCACAACTAGTTTTTCACCTTGGTGGCTGTTCAAATTTTATAAACTTGCCAAAAAAAATATTCTTTTTGCATATTAAATGTTTTGAAGTTAATTCTTACATTAATTTTTTAAAAAGAATGTGTTCTTTAATTGATGATTGAAAAGGAAGCTTAATTTTTTAGACTTACCTATCAAACAATTTCTAGTGTGGATCTGTAAGAAAATATTGTTCAAATTTTTGTGAATAGCTTTTATAGTTTTTTTTTTAAACAAGGTAAAGTAATTTATAAATTGATCTAATTTCATTGTTCATGCTTTTGGGTATTATAATTAACCAAACATAATGCTTACTTCACAGTATCACATCCAAAGATGCAATTTCCAAAGTAACAACAGCTGTAGGAGGCTCACTTAATGTGTCAGTTCAGACAGTCAGAACACCATTTGTCAGTGCCATCGTGTACCGCAACATGCCGACAAAGTCCTACACCTGGTGGATGGATGACCCATGGGCCGCCCTCATTGCGCTGGCTGCCATCATTATTCTCCTCTCATTAGTTGGCATCATCGTTCTCATTTTCACATACGCCAGGTAAGAAAATTTAGTTGACATCATCATTTTCACATATGCCAGTTTTAAAAAAAATTCAGTGTAAGCCTAATTGTTCTTTTTTTTTTTAAATTTGTTACTTTGAAATGTGAAAATAGCTACTGGCCTTGTAGAGTTATTAAAGAGAAACTGTATTTGTTGCCAGGTACATGAAGTTCATTCACCAATACCGGGTGTACCAGGCCACATTTGATAACCCAGACTTTGTGGAACCTCCAGGGTTTATGAGGGAATATGAGACACAGGTAAGGGAGATAACACATTTACTTTAGAGTTTTAACTTAGTTTGGTACTAAGGGTTGTCTGTTCAGATGACAGCAATGTAGGATTGGCTTTTAGACTTAGAACAAGTATCTGGAATGTTCTGACAATCATTCTGGAATGTTCTGTCTAACAATGCTGATTGTCTTTCAGAGTTTGAATATGTACGTCCCACCTGACGAGGCCATCCCCGACTACGGAGAGGTCAACATGACCCTGGACCAGAACACTGTTGAACATGTGACCCACACTGGACATGACCCTAGAGTTGCAGCAGCTGTTAACCCAATCTATCAAGTGTAAGTACTTTCTTAGCCAATTATTAGCCCCAACCCCTAAAGGATATACTATAAGCCCCTCCCCAACCCCTAAAGGATATACTATTAGCCCTCCCCAACCCCTAAAGGATATCCTATTAGCCCCACCCCCAACCCATAAAGGATATCCTATTAGTCCCACCCCAACACCCAAAGAATATCCTATTAGCCCCACCCCAACACCCAAATGATATCCTATTAGCCCCTCCCCAACCCCCAAAGGATATCCTATTAGCCCCTCCCCAACCCCCAACAGATATCTTATTAGCCCACCCCAAAGGATATCCTATTAGCCCCTCACCAACCCCTCAAAGGATATCCTATTTGCCCTTCCCCAACCCCCAAAGGATATCCTATTAGCCCTTACTCCAATATGTTAGAATAATATACTTTGATGAATCAATTTTGAAAAACCAATGTACACACTGACACAGCCTTGTATGAAAAGACTTAAAGATGTTAGTTAGACCCGTGTTGAGAGGTTAATCACTTGCTCACCTGTAGGGTCCATTTGCTTCATGCAAACAATTTTTTCTATCACCAGTGGTCAGTCTCAAGCCATTGAGCAGCCACACCAACATGCTCGACCAGATATGACCATGCTGTAACAGACCACTTCACCACCACCACTACCAACAGCAACTTTGTTCTACAGCACTAAAAAAAACCACTTGATGTTGAAAATATAAACTTAACTTATAATTTGAAGCATGTTGATGACCATCATTAAAAGATTTACTGCTGAAAACATTAGAAATTACCAACAGCTATAGTGATAAGTGGGGAAAGCTGTTTGAAAGATTAATTTTTTTTTGTATGAATGGGAAACTTTTTCTGTCAACAACCAAAGTTGCCTTTCAAAGTGGAGATTATGTTATTTATTTTTTTACTGCTATTTTTTTTTCAAACCTTCACAAAATTATTTATGCATAATGCCAAAATTGTTGAAAATGTTTTTAAATAATATATTATTTTGGTTTCTGTAGTTAAATGCTTTATTAAATTTTTTAAAGGAATGCCAGTAAAACAAAGTTCATGTTAAGAATGTATTTGTAGTAAGTTTTTTCAATTATTTTAAAGAATATCTAAAGTTACTATAAAGAAATCAAAAGAAATTATATGTTATTGTGATACTTAAATGTTAAATTAATATATGAAAAATCTACAATGTGAAGGACTCTTTATATTTTATATAAAATCTTTATTTATACATTCCAATTTATAAAGGACTTCCTGTCTGACTAACCCAATGTCCATTATTGTAAGGGAAATAACCTGTGTTACAGTGAAATCATTTATTCTAAATTACCTCCCCTTGTTGTGTTGGTCGGATACGAATCCTTTGTTGAACTTGAATGTGCTGACTTTGATACTTAAGAAATAAAAAAAATTGTTTCATGTTTTCTTATATTTATATCTTCCCATTTTTTATACAAAACTTATTATAAATAAAAATTATAAATATTTCTTTTTCTTGTGTCCCATATTTTTAATTACTAGTGTACCAGAATGTTATTTTAATCAAATTTTATATTGGGCATGATAGGATCAGTTACATATAGACCTAAGGACTTGATCTTTAGAATTGAACACAAACCGTCAAAACTTAAGAGATGTGATACACACAATAAACTTACTGGACGTTCGCTTTACAAAGTGAGGTGTGCGTGCCTTAACTGAACGACGTTGACTAAGAATCCATTGCATTAATATATTTGGTGTGGGGAGGGGCGTGTACATGGTGTGACACTTCTTATGCCACCAGTTGGGAAAGTTGAAATAGAGACTGCAGGCACGTATATCTAGATGGAAATATATACAAAATTATATACAGCAAAATGGACAGGGGAGTATTTGTTATATTGTAGGCCTAGCAGGGACGGTGTAGTAGGATAGAACAAATTACAATACCGTATTCTTCTTGTGTAAAGCTTCAGTTACTTAGACTGGTTGGATGAAGACACGGAAACTGCAGGCTTACCCTCTGCAATCTTTGCTTCACTCCAGTGTCAGGTTTACATGACGGTATTCTTATAATTAAAATTAATTATTCTTTTAAATTAAAACAGCGATGTTCTCCACAATGATGTAGTTCTGATTACTCTTTTTTAAAGGAAAAATAAAAATGATAGAGCTAAGTTGTGATGATAAAGTATGTGTTCCTAGGTTATACGAGGGGTGCTGGATGATATAAGAATATATGAGGAATACTGGGTGGTGTAAGGTGATATAAGGGATGTTGGCTGGTCTAAGGTTATATGAGGGGTGCTGGGTGGTATAATGAAGTCTAATGAAAGGTGGGGATTGAAAAATGTCTTACTGACATTTGCACAATCTTCTATATTACATAGCTGACCATAGGGTGGGGGTCACATATTTCTGTCAAAATGGTTGGGGATAACCTAGTGTAAAAGAAATACGAATTCTTTCAGTAGAATTTTACGAGATCAACAACCTTTACTTTTTATTTAAGAAGATCGACATGTGTTTTCCAGATCACAGGTTAGCCAAGCTTTAATCCCTTGCTTACCCGTGTGTGCGTGCACGTGTGCGTGCGTGTCGAAGTGCACAGGTGCGCTATTAACTTAGCACGAATTGATAAATCCTTATAAAACACCTCAAGTGCTTATGACTTAATATCAGCGATCAATCAATCAATCAATAGTGTTGTACGATCAATATGTATTTGTTGAGGCTACAGTCGATCACAGCCGGGAGTATCACGTGACCCTCTTGCGTCAGCTGCCGCACCGGCGTGTCGCCGTGACAGTCATACATCCCCTCCCCTCCCGCTGTGCCGGGCGGGCGAGCAACGACTCGCGCAACAGGTGAGTGGATCTCTGCCCCATCTCAGCTCATTTACCTCCCCTTACAGATGGATAGAGTGATCTCTCCTGAGTTTTATTTTTAGTTTCGCGCAGTTTTTTTTCTTCAAAGGATTACCAGGTTTCATTACAACCGTCGTCTGTGTGTATCGACAATATGTTCGCAGTTAAACAATTTATTTGATGGCAGACAGCGATTCCCGGGTAAAAAGAGGTAAAAAGACAAGAGAACTACTTTTATCTTCCATGTTTGTATTGACACAGATCGTGATCTGATACAATGACATTTTTTTTAATGCAGAACTTGAAACAAGGATTTGAAAAAATGTAAATTATACGTTATTTTTTGCTGTTGTTTACTTTAGCGTAGACCCAAAGTACAAGGTTACAAAGCGTATATAGATCTAGTAGTATATACTACGCCTACTGTTTTAGTTCCGTCTAGTTTTGTTTGCCATATTGATCTGTCATTTTATCTTAATCCTACGTTAATGGTTTTTTATGGGTAAACCCGTTTTCCCACTTGAATATCCATTATCAAAAGGCCATCTTTATGGTTTATTTATAGAGTCCTGGTCTACTTGATACCGGTGAAACTTTCCTTCGCTAGCACGACGTTTTGAGTTAGATCTACAACAATTTTTCCTCTAATATGGACATTTTCATGTGAGTAAAAAAATCTGAGTTTGAGAGCCGGCTTAGTGCTGGATATCAGTGTGTTGTTCAGTCGTTCATGTTTGAAATACAAGATGATACGTGGGGTGGTGGTGGGGGAGGGGTTCGTCCGTTCTTACACTGGGCGGGGAAAAGGTTCAAGAAATGTCACGAAACATATTCTGTGTATAAAAAGAACAAAAAAGAGTGTTTAAAGAATGTATTAAATTTTTTAAAATTAAAAGCTGTTAAATGAACTAAAAATAAAGAGTAAACAAACTTAGGTTTTCTCTTTGTATATGTAGTTATAGTGGTAGGCCTAAAACTCACAGCAACGGTGTTGTCGCTCCAGATAAGTACATATATTTAATGACTAGATCTAGTTTTACTGACCCAATACAACTGCTTTATTTATATAAAATTCCTCTCCTTTTGCAATTAAACACTAGATTAGTTTTGTTTATATTGTCGAGACGTTATGATTACGTTTAATTATAGTACAACTTCTCTAGTTTCCAAAACTGTAACATTTTGGCAGAGGTGTAGCGAAGGGGGGGGGGGTACATGTCCCCGGGTGCCGACCCTAGGGTCGCCAAAATGGGTTGGAAAAAATTAAAAGCTCATTTTAGCTGCTGCTTTGAATTATAAACATAAAAAATATATGGGGGGAGGGGCCAAATTGACAGTTTGTCCCCGGGCGCCGGGAGGGGCTACGCCTCTGCATTTTGGTTATTTATCATTTACACAAATAAAAAATAATGTGCTAGAGATTCCACGTAACCACACTACCGAAGAGTACATACATTGATCTCTACGGACGGGGAACAAATTTGTGAAAACTCGATTATCTCGTCAAGTTTGTACTGAGGTTGCCTTGGTTTAACTAGATTATCTCATCAAGTTTGTATTGGATAGCTTTGGTTTAACTAGATTATCTCATCAAGTTTGTACTGAGGTTGCCTTGGTTTAACTAGATTATCTCATCAAGTTTGTATTGGATAGCTTTGGTTTAACTAGATTATCTCATCAGGTTTGTACTGAGGTAGCCTTGGTTTAACTAGATTATCTCATCAAGTTTGTATTGGATAGCTTTGGTTTAACTAGATTATCTCATCAAGTTTGTATTGGGATAGCTTTGGTTTAACTAGATTATCTCATCAAGTTTGTATTGCCTTGGTTTAACTAGATTATCTCATCAAGTTTGTATTGGGATAACTTTGGTTTAACTAGATTATCTCATCAAGTTTGTATTGGGATAGCTTTGGTTTAACTAGATTATCTCATCAAGTTTGTATTGGGATAGCTTTGGTTTAACTAGATTATCTCATCAAGTTTGTATTGGGATAGCTTTGGTTTAACTAGATTATCTCATCAAGTTTGTATTGGGATAGCTTTGGTTTAGTCTGTTATGCGAGCAATCAATTCGACATTTGTTAGGAACTATTTCACGTGGGAAAGTCTATAAAGTATACAACGTATTTCTCCTACCCGTGATCAATAATGGACTCTTCCAAAAAATATAGTGCTATATTGTTAGTTGTGTAGAAAAATCAGTTTAGAGAATTATGTCTAGGTTAAGAGTTGAGGGTATGGTTATGTGTAGGCTTTGTCTTGACATAAGCTGATAATATTAGTTAACAGTTGACTACTAGCTAGCTAACACCCCTTATTTAGAAGATTCCATTTCAGTAATAATATGAAGAATAGATCTATACATCAGTGTCGGGTGCATGAATTAAGTTCTTACACACGGCTTAACGAAACATTATAGTAAACAGTAGGTTAAAAGAGCTAATGGTACCGCCTTAGTGTTTGATCCTAAGGTCGGTAGGGACTAGGGATCGATTCTTTTCACGGCATATTTTTTCTCTGGATCAGTGGCGTAGCGAGGGGGGGGGGGGGGTGCGGACCGCACCGAGTGACAATTAGGGGGGGTGACACCAAGGCAAAAAATAGCAAAATATATAGAGAAAAATTATAATTCCACTTAACTAAGTGATTAATTCGAGTATTAAATAGTCTTTTAAGAGGTGGAAATCGAAAGTTTGAGGGGGGGGGGGGGAGTGCAAATCAAAAATTGAAAGTTTGTCCCCGGGAAGAGTTGCTACGCCTCTGGGGGGGGGGGGGGGGTGACACCATTAAGTGCCGCACCGGGCGACACCCGACCTTGCTACGCCACTGCTATGGGTAAAGGAATTTGAAAACTGTATTTTAATTTTCAGTTTATTATCATTTATTCAAATAACTTTTTAAAAAATACTTGAACAGCTCCGTATGTTCTGTAGTCCCCTTCCCTCTTTAACCCCCCCCCCTCTCCTCTTTCTCTCTCTCTCTCTCTCTCTCTCTCTCAGATCTGCAGACATAACACCCCATGCAAATTGGTCATCTCTGATTCTGTCATTGATCTGATCACTGAGTAATTCATAGATATAACGACATTGAATTTAGAACTAATAATGCCCGATCATTGAGTTTCTCGGTTGAATTTTTTTTAGAGCGGGTCCGTTATCATTGACACTGGCATAGATACTATCATTGAATCTCACACAGACTGCTGACATCAAGGCTCACAAGCCAGGCAGACTGCCACAGAATGCATTACTTCCTCCCCCCCCCCATGTTACCAGCCGTTGGTGGGGTTCTAGCACGTGACCAGCACGTGATCACCCGGGAACCGAACCCGTCCCTATCGCTAGACCACGCCATCCGACAACTGGACTCCACGAGATTTTAACAATCATTTTAGCGCAATCAGATTTTTCTACAGTGTTTCTTCCAGACTTTTTTCTGCGGGTTGGGGGAGGAGACTTGATATTATTATTTTTTTTTTGGGGGGGGGGGGGGGTAGACATTGGTAAAAGTATGTTTTGTATATAAATTCAATTTCGTTTTGGGGGGGGGGGGGGTAGACTTTTTTCGGGTTGTCCTTTCCCCCCCCCCCCTCTCCCCCGAAGAGATTTCTGCCTTTCTGATATCCTGAAAACGAAATGCCATGATAGTTTGAGTTACAAAAAATATAGACAACATAATACAACATAATATAGTTGTGCTTTAGCGTAACGTTTTATACTCAGAAAGAAAAAAAAACTGCTGTAAAAAGATACCACATATCTCAGAGTATTTATAACCACTGTTTAAATAGCCCTCATAAATCTACCTCGAACTGATTCACAACTATTATTTCAATAGCCTTTACGCACCTACCGTATGCGGATTCACAAAAATCGCAAGGGATATGATGTTAAAAAGGTGCGCGGGAATGTAATTAAAACCTACCGTGTCTCTGATCAATCTGTCGCCGTAATCGATTGAACGGTTTGTAAAGGTAGAGCGGGGTTACAATATGTTTTTTGACATAGATCGATAATAGGGACCTTATCAATGGCTTTTTGTTGAGTGTTGGTTACTTTATAGGGACCTGGGGTAGTAGCTGGAAATTCAGCTTTATGGAAGGGGTGGAGGGGGGGGGGGGCGACTTTCAAAACTGTTAGACTGATTTTCTTAACTATCTATAGTCGTACTCGGTAAAAGAAAAAAAAATCCATTAAAAAGGTAACCCAACCAAAATTTATGTCAGAACAGTTTTAGAGGCATGGAATAAAACTGGTGCTTATTCAGTCGAAGACTTAAAGCCTATGCTTGTGGGTTGTTGTTTTTTTTTTCGCCTTGGAGCTTTTATAATTGCTTGTGCATGTCTCACTTTACAACATTAAAGTATCAGAGTTAAGCAATCCAGAGAGCCATCTAGCAGTCTAACCGGCACTAAGAGACTTGTCCAAACCACCACCCATCCAAACCACCAACCGTCCAACCCACAAACAACCCAACCGTCCAACCCGTCCAACCACCCACCCAACTCGCCACTCGTTCAACCAATCAACCAACCAACCATCCACCCACCAACCACCCACCCAACCCGCCACCCGTCCAACCACCCACCCAACTCGCCACCCGTTCAACCAACCACCCACCCAACCCGCCACCCGGTCAACCAACCACCCACCCAACCCGCCACCCATCCAACCACCCATCCCCCATCTCGCCATTATCCTCTGTATTTTGCCATGAACCCTGGTTACTTAGCGACGCTAACAACAAGGGAAAAAAACTCGCATAGAAAACTCTGACTTGGCATGATGACAAAGTAGAGGGAAAGTAGGGAATACTTGCCTGATATGTTGTCATGTTGACTGCCAAATACCCCGTGTAAAAACAAGAAAGAAAATGTGTTATTCTATTCGCGCTGTCGGCCCCCTATCGTTGTTTTAGCATGGCTGTTAAAAATGGCGATAATTAAAATACATTTTATGTGCCGTGTACGGTAAATTCATTTTCATATAGAGCGTGTTGTTTTGGACTAGTGGTCCCACTAATTTGTACATAGTCTAATTGGTACCTAGTCTAATTAATTGGTGCATAGTCTAGTTGGTAATTAATAGTCTAATTGGTGCATAGTCTGATGGCCCCACTAACTGGTGCATAGTCTAATGGTCCCACTAATTGATACATAGTCTAATGGTCCTACGGTACATCGCCCCAATGTTGGGTACATTCCCTAAGAGCCATGTGAAAAATGTATCAAATAAACTTTATCTATTTCACATTTTCCTATTTAAAAAAAAATTATTTGCTAAATTTGATTTCATATTTTCAATGTTTATGGTGTGATTGGTAATGAAATATGTTGGCCTATATCATGTTTTATTTTACAGACCATTTGTTCTGATTTGTTTTTCTTGTGTGAGTTGTTCTCTTCTGTGGACTGTTGGGGGGGGGGGGGCTCTCTTGTAAGGGCATTTAGCTTGAAGTATGGTCATATCTGGTGTGTTGCAATGACAGGTTCGCTATAGATGTGTTGCGAGAGGTTCTCAAAGATACTCGTAGAACATAGGGTTCGCTATAGATAAGTTGCTAGAGGTTCTTTAAGATACTTTAGAACATAGGGTTCGCTATAGATGTGTTGCGAGAGGTTCTCAAAGATACTCGTAGAACATAGGGTTCGCTATAGATAAGTTGCTAGAGGTTCTTTAAGATACTTTAGAACATAGGGTTCGCTATAGATAAGTTGTGAGAGGTTCTCAAAGATACTCGTAGAACATAGGGTTCGCTATAGGTGAGTTGCGAGAGGTTCAGGGTTCGCTATAGGTGAATTGCGAGAGGTTCTTAAAGATACTCGTAGAACACAGGGTACGTCAGTAAACAGAGACGTAGGGTGTTTTGTGTCTGTGTTGATGTGTCTGAGTCTCAGGATTAGGGTTAGAGTTTGGGTCAGGATTCGGGGCCAGGGTTAAGTTGATAGAACAACTAAACTATTCTCTCTACTGCCTTTATTTAAACAAGAATCACCTTAGAACTATTACACATATGTGTTGTATAAATATATGATGTAGTCGTTTAGTGGAGTGTGGCTTTAGATTGTGTGAACAAATGTGGTGGATTATAGTGGAGGTCGAACAGCCCAAGAACGGGTTGTTTGGTATCAATTGTTTTACTCTCCGCTCGCTTGATAAACCTTTTTCTTTACACATCAAAGCGAAAGTAAAGCAAAGCAGCTCACCACGCCCCTTTAGCTTGTTTACTATGTATGTAACATGTAATGAATGGGGAAGAGGGCGGGTTTAAACAAACATGCGTGTGTTGTTTTAATGTCCGATTGTTCCATTGATGAGATGATTCTGTCCAGGTAGGAAAGAGGTAAAATTTTGACGTGTTTGAGACAAACTTAATGTAGAAAATAGACTCGCGATAGATGTTCATGCAAGAGGGAACAGTGAAAACAGATACAGGGAGGGGCGGTGTGGTAGAGCTGGAGAGCTCATGGTTGCTAACTCCTACAGTCCAGAGTTCGGACCCCGGGCAGATGAGGCTCGTTAGCTGGCGGTAGCAACCATTCTAGGAGAGAAATCTAAAAAAAAAATCAAACATCTGCTGCGTTCAAGATTGTTCTTTGGTGGACAAGGGCTATGGAAGCAAATCCTTAATAAAAGCCCGAGTTAACGGGCCATAGTCGCGCATAATATGACGACACGTATTTCATATGTTACAATTTAGAAGGAGAAAAAAAAACCCAGAGGAAACGGTAAAAATAGTCTGTCAAAATCTTTATAAAATTATAAAGTCTCCCAACATGTCTGACGTCACAGGCAACTATTCCATATCTGTTCTGTATGTATAGCACCTAGCTCTATAGAATGTGATTTCAGAATGTATTCCACCAAGTCTTTTGTAACATAAAATCTACTGTATTGTCTACTTCTACATATCTAAACATTTTAGCCCTAAGTTAACTACCTTTCAGATCTGTGTTTTGAAATCTCACTCGAGAATCACAAGATTTTCACGTGTAATCACATATTGATGTGTAACATGTGTTTGCTTTTGTTATCGAACACTGATAAAGATATTGCCTAAAATTAATTTAACCTGAATTAAAGAAATACAAAATATATATAGACGGGCATAATTTTTTTTTCAATTACTCTCGAGGAAGTAATCATACTACATACTATTCGCAGTAGGTGTGTTGGGGGGGGGGGGGGGGCAGTGGTAAAAAATTTCAACCAAGGGCCCACACACACGCCGTATCCGCCCCTGTTTTTTTTTTATCTTCGCCGATACAAGATGGAGCTAGACAAGCTTCCGTTTTTCTTTACTGAGTTAATGCTGACAGATCTACAGAGTTATGGCCCCTTAGTACACAAATCGCGTTGCTATGGTTATATGGCTCTGTGATTAAGTGCGGTACGCAGTTCTGGTATAATTGAGACCAGGCCACGAGCTGATTGTTGTGAGGTAACCCACAGCGCATAAAAATAAACGTCTGCGATTCGTGAGTACGTCTGAGCCAGTAATGGAGGTGATGTTAAATAAGTTCACGTGAACTAGTAAGGGAGGTAACGTTAAATAAGTTCATTTGAACTAGTAGGGGAGGTAACGTTAACAATAAAATCAAAGATAGAATTAAATGTGATACAATTACTTTCAGGTGCAGTAGTTAGACCCCTTTGACGTCTGCGTGAAATGTGGCTCGACTATCACCCCAGACTTCCAGTACAATGCAAAACACATCTTGCTGTTGTCGTGATTGAATCTTCTAATTAACCTCGAGTTTGATTAATTACGACTCTGTTCAAGCCCCTGATCTTTATTAAAACACAATGCGTGTTTTTTGTCATCGTCTTGCTTGTAGTCACCCGGAAGTGGAACCGACGAGATAGCAAGTTCATCGCATTGAATGCTGGGATTTGTTTACCAACAACTTAGACGCTACTACTCATAGTTATTTTAGTTATGATCTCTATCGTCTAACGAGACATGGCGATTACAGGATAAGGATTAGATCTATATCCAGTTTCTATTGACTTGTGTTGGATGTGGATTTTAGCTGGATGTTTTTAAATGGTTGTGATGTTTCTTCAGCGGCTGTTGGTGACAGCCGTGGTTGTACAGTTGTGACATACATCAGCGGCTGTTCCTGACACTTGTGTCAACCAGTTGTGACAGACCTCAGCGGTTGTACTCTGGCCTTTGATGGGGTCCAACTGTTCCAGAATCGTCGCCAAAAATCTGAAAGACGAGCTATGGTCCTACACGGCTCTGTCCGGGCTGCTCTTCCTCCACATCGGCATTGTCCTCATGGTGTACGCCCTCAAGCGAGCCACGCCCCACTCGACGGTCCTCAAGGCATTCGGCATAGGCCTCATCGTCCTGGGGGTCATGGCCACCCTGGCCTCCTGGTACGCTCACAGACAGCACCGTCTGCAGCGGGACCTCTGCCTGTGCTGCGTCTGCTGTTCGCGGCACAAAGGACGGTCGGTCGGCGCCGACCTTGGGGCGGGGGAGGGCGTGGACAGCGGGCACTCGCGGAAAGGAGGTCACGTGACGGGCAAATCTAAAGACAAAAAATCTCCGTCCGTGCCTGACAATACGATCAAACTTTTCTCGGCGCCGGAGTTTCAGGTAAACTCTTCCCTTTCTGACGGTGTTTAACTAGTTTTCCTTTTCTGTCAGTGTTTAACTAAATTCTTCCTTTCCTGTCATGTTTAACTAAACTCTTCCTTTTCTGACAATGTCGTTTAACTAAATTCTTCCTTTTCTGTCAGTGTTTAACCAAACTCTTCCTTTTCTGACAACGTCGTTTAACTAAATTCTTCCTTTTTTATCATTGTCTTTTTAACTAAACTCTTTCTTGCTTCACCTATGTAATTTGTATAAGCCTATATTGTTAGTAAAACTATCAGTTTACAAAATACTGATTTAAAAATGGTATATATTGTATTTATAGTAGCATTGGTCTTTCACAAGAAATCCAGACATTTATTAAAAAAGAAGTTTATAAAAATCAGCGTTCATATTACTGGTTTGCCTCTAGCTGAAGCTTGTAAAAATAAATGTCTGCATTAAAAAAAAAACGTTTCTGTATCAGAATTGAAATGCTGTTGTTGATGATTAAATGACAATTGATTACGTCAAATTTCGCTCATTAATTTTTTTTATAACATTAAGACATATTATTTACATAAAAAATATATTAGCCAGACTATCATAAATATTGGTTGGTTTGTTGAGATGTGGGGGGGGGGGTGAAATTAAATCATACTCCAACACTATATGTAAAGGAAACTGAATGCAACTCTTAACTTTTACAACTACACGTATCTTAACTGGCTACCTTATTTATTCCCCTTTCTGTCTCTGTCTCTTTCTGTCTCTCTCTCTCTCTATCTTCCTGTCTCTCTATCCCTGTCTCTCTCTCTGTATCTCTCTCCCTCTCTCTATCTCTGTCTCTCTCTCCCTCTCTCTCTATCTTCCTGTCTCTCTATCCCTGTCTCTCTGTCTCTCTCTGTCTCTCTCTCCCTCTCTCTCTCTATCCCTGTCTCTCTCTCTCTGTCTCTTTCTCCATCTCTCTATCTCTGTCTCTATGTCCCTGTCTCTCTCTCTGATCTCTCTGACCTCTCTATCTATCTCTCTCCCCCTCTCTCTATCTCTCTCTGATCTCTCTATCTCTCTCTGACCTCTCTATCTATCTCTCTCCCCCTCTCTCTATCTCTCTCTGATCTCTCTATCTCTCTCTGATCTCTCTGACCTCTCTATCTATCTCTCTCCCCCTCTCTCTATCTCTCTGATCTCTCTATCTCTCTCTGATCTCTGACCTATCTATCTATCTCTCTCCCCCTCTCTCTATCTCTCTGATCTCTCTATCTCTCTCTGATCTCTGACCTATCTATCTATCTCTCTCCCCCTCTCTCTATCTCTCTGATCTCTCTTGACCAGAGGTACGCCGAGTTTATCAACGGGACCACGGCTGGTGTCCAGCCTAAGACGGCCAGACGTGAGTCACATCGCCAGAAGACGGCCGTCCATCCCCAGCGACCACAGGCTCTTCCACAGACAGAGCTTCATGTTAACCCAAGGTCAGTTGATCTATAACACAAGGTCAGTTGGTTTATGACCCAAGGTCAGTAGTTCTATAAAACAAGGTCAGTTGTTTTATAGCCCAAGGTCAGTTGTTCAATAGCCTAAGGTCAGTAGTTCTATAGCCCAAGGTCAGTTAGTTTATGAACCAAGGTCAGTAGTTATATATCCCAAGGTCAGTTGGGTTATGACCCAAGGTCATCATCATTCCTTTATGGCCCCTGGGGAGCAAAGGGCTGCAACCACACATCTCCCAAGGTCAGTAGTTCTATAACCCAAGGTCCGTTGCTTTATAACCCTAGGTCATTTGTTTTATAACCCTAGGTCATTTGTTTTATAACCGAAGTTCTGTATTTCTATAACCCATGGTCAGTAGTTCAATAGGTCAATATCAGTAGGTAAAAAAAACAACATAAGGCGTCGTGAGGCGAGGGGTGCGAACCGCACCGGGTGACAAAAAAAAATTGCAAGACATAGTGTGAGGGTACAGGTGTTTTGATGATGGTTACCACCAGTCGTGATGGTACGAAATGAGGATCTTGTTTGTGGTTCTACTAGATGTACCAGTTGTGAGGGTGGGGATTTTTTTAAGAAGGCGGAACGAATGAATCCAATAACGCACAGTTCAAGTTCAACTATAATTGTTCTTTATTAAAATGATATATATGTTCAAGTTTCTACCTAACTGATCTACACTGTACTATTTACTTCTACTACTGACTGTTCATACCACATGCTACCTACTACTACGCACTCCCATGACCAATCCTAACACTAACTGTTCTCTACATTCTACAACCTAACACCTTCTAGCTTCGCTAGCTAATCATGATCTCCTAACTATCTACATTCTCGGCCGTCTCTGCCGCTACCTAACACCTTCTCTACTCTTCGCTAGCTACCTATCAACTGCCCCCGCTAACTAATCATGATCTCCCGGCCTAACAGTGGCCCACGCTTCAGTGGTCAGCTGACCGTCCCATGACCGTCCCACGTGACCGGTCAGCCCTGTGCGCCCATTGGCCTCTCTAACCAACCAACTAGGCCTATAGTCTGTTTCTGCTAACCTATATCTGCTAAACATGTCTGACGTAATCTTGCGTCATCACATATCTCCCTCCCTTTCTGTAGCTGACAAATTATATTTTTCAGCGTCTACTACTAATCTAATACATCAACAACTATCTATCTTACTAATCTATTCTATCCCTAACATCAATCATGTAAATCAAATACAAAATGGGACAGCACAGTTTACAAAAACATAAAATCTTGTGTCTGTGTTCCTGAAAAAAAAATGTCATTGTTTTCGTTCTTGTGTAGGTATCCTGACGTCTGTAGTGTTTCTGCTTGATAATGTAATTCTATGTTATGTTATGTGTGAATCCAATCATGTGCAACTCAGTTCTGGCTAGGTTGTCGTGTACTGGCCTTGAGCTAATCTTAGTAGAATGTGTAACTGGTTGAACGGCTCAGCGAGCAGTGTAAGTGTATGTGTAAGTTATGTAATTGTTGTCGTTCCTCTGTGGTGGGTGGGTTGTGGCAAGTTTTGATGTAAATTCCCGTGAGGCGGGTGTATGCGTAACTTCGTTGGTCAATGTGATGACGCAACAATCTCATCTCAACGCTGGTTGAGACGTCCACGTAGAGTGGTTATACGATGAACTGGAGCTGTCTGATGCGGTGGCGAACAATGACGTAACGTTCCGACGCTGGGAACTTGGACGATGGGTCTTCTACCTTTTGTATCTGCCGACGTAGGTGTACGTAGCTGGCGGTCTGTTATTCAACCCCAGTGCGGGGGCGAAGCGGTGGCGATGCGTCCGCTGTCTTGACCAGGGCAATTCTCTGTTCAGCAGGGCTGTTCGCTGTCCAGGTAATTCAACGTAATCAGGGCTTCAGGTGGCGGCACTCTTTGAAGTGTTTGCTTTATCTCGTCTCATTCTGTGTAAGCGTTGGTGGGTCTGAAAATTGTATTACGAGATTATGAGTAATGGCTTTACGTGACCATCTTAGTGCCCGCGCAGACAAGTATTCAGACAGAGGTACCTTCCATTTAAAAAAAAAACTCAATCCCAAATTTATACGTGCTGAACATTTGTCTGGCGGTATAACAAACATTAAAAAATAACATTACAAAATTAACCAAATAAAAAATCAGTACACTCTAATCTAACAGCAATCTGTAAAGCCTAATAAACTCAATAGACGTAAACACTACTAGAGCATAGAAATAGCTTCACAAAAAGAATAGACATGTGAGTGTGTATCGTGCCATTTCAACACGTGATCATATAGTGGAGCAGCTCTCACTAACTGACTTCTGACAAAAAACTGGCTGGCTTGACTTCATGACTGACTTCACTTTTGACTTCAGTAACTTGACTTATTTCACTTTGACTTCAGTAACTCGACTGACTTCAGTAACTTGACTTATTTCACTTCGACTTCAGTAACTCGACTGACTTCAATTTAACGACTGATTCCACTTTGACGACTTCAATTACTTCAACTTGACGACTAACTTCACTTTGAAGACTAACTTGACCTCGACGACTTCACTTCAATTCAACTTAAAAGACTTCTCTGACCGACTTAAACTTCGACGACTTAAACGTCTTCACTTTGACTTCAAAGACTTTTCCTTGACTTCAACGACTTTAATATGACTTCAAAGACTTCACTTTGACATCAACAACTTCAATATGACTTCAAAGACTTCACTTTGACTTCAACGACTTCAATATGACTTCAAAGACTTCACTTTGACTTCAACGACTTCAATATGACTTCAAAGACTTCACTTTGTCTTCAACAATTTCAATATGACTTCAAAGACTTTACTTTGACTTCAAAGACTTCAACGACATCACTTTGATTTCCAAGACTTCACTATAACTTCGACGATTTCACTTCTTCACTATGACCTCAACGACTGTAATATAACTTCAAAGACTTTTCTTTGACTGCAACATGACTCCAACAACGTCACTATGACCTCAACTACGACTTCAATAACTTATTGACTGACTTAACTGACTTCGAATAACTTCTTTGACTTCGCGCCAATTTCTCGGCGACTTAGATTCATACAAAAAAACCTCGACTTGACTTCACCATAATGTTCATTATTCAAATCATCAGTGGGGGCGGTCCAGGTCAAATTCTATCCAGGCATTAATATACCAGATACCACACTAGGACCGATAGGGCGGGGCTCGGTGTGGACAAAGGTGTTGCGAGCCTTCACATGGTCTATGATTACTATACTTGTGTTTGTGTATGTGTGTTGATGGGGTCATCTGGTTTAACGCTGACCAGGAGTAACCGTGCTCTCTGTCTGCTATCAAATTCCTTGTTACATATTCCTCTGATTCATTGTTTACCGATTTCTCCAATCTCAGCAATCTATTACTGACTGTGTCGTTCTGAAGTCTTAAGTTAAGAACAACTGCACCAATCTCGGTAATCTTTATAGAATGATCCTCAATAACCTCGTTAATTTTTTCTATCAACTTGTCCGTTTTGAATTGCAATTCGTCTACTTTTTCGTTGTCTCGAATACTGGGCTGCTTGTTTATTTGTTGCTTGTGGCTCAATAATTCTACATTAAATTGCTTCACTCCTGTAATGTTGCCTAATATCATATCGTATGGCCCGTTTTTGAAAACAACTGCTTCAACTGTTTTACACACTGAGGGTGTGGCTATGGTGACTATAGCTGTTGGCCAAACATATGTGTTGCCTCTTGAACTGTGGACAAGTTGTGTTCTGCCTGTGTATTGGTGGTGTTGTACGAATGTGTTACGTACTGCCACTGTGGAGCATAGTGTATCCCTAATTGATGTTGCGTATTTGTTATTGACTTTTGATCTAAATATGTCTGTTCTTCTACTGGCTTCTGTAAACGATGACATAAAAGCTATTCTATTTATCTGTCTATATTTTGGTCTGTTGCGTTGTGCATCTTGTTGGCGTCTATCATAATATCGTATTCTGCAATTTATTTGTTTGTGGCCTGTTCTATTACAATAGTAGCATCTGACACTGTAATTGTGTTTTTGTTGACTGTAGTTAATCTGAATGTTGTGATTTGCGCTATTATGTTTTTGGAGTGTATGTGGTGTTTCACTTTTTGTAGTAGGTATTTCGCTTGCTTCACTGAACGTGTCATCTGAATCTGAGTCGTAGGAATAGTAAAATGTTGTTTGGGCTATCTGGTTGTTATTATTAGTATCTAAACTTTGCACCGTTTCTTGTTTGGCTTGGCGAAGTTCTCTCATTTTTTCTCTTTCTTTACGAATTCTTTCTGTTTCTTCTTTAATTCCGGCAAGTTTCTTTGCTAACTCGGCATCTTTCTTTGCATCATATTCTTCTTCGTTTAACAAGGAATCTGGATCTCCGGTTACCTTATAATCTACAATTCTATTGATCAAATCTTCCATAGCATCTGGATCATCTAGAGTTTTTGCGTCAAATTCTTTAACAGTTAATAACCAGTCTCGATTTTCTGTTGTCGTTTATTGTCCAAGCCTAATAATCAATTCATCCAGAATATCTGGATCCTCAATAGTTCTTGAATTGCTTTTCACTTTGACTGTATTCTGAACATTTATATCTAGTAACGAGTTATCAATTCTACCTGACTCTTCTAGGCCTGACTTAAGCTCAGTTTTAGTGCCCACTTCGTACAATGGAGGCATTTTTAAGGGTAGTGTGGTTGAAGAAACAGATAAGAAAGAGGCAGAAAAACCGCTGGCACCAAATATCCAGCACAGGTCTAAACCCAAACGTTTAAAAAAAATTTTGGAAGGTACTTATCTTTTTGGACATGTTGACTGTTTCCTTGTGTTGTTAATCCAAACTCGTTCCGGTTGAAGAAACCCGCTGTTGTGTTGAGTTGAAGAAAGCTGTACACCAGATGTACTCCGTCATGAGTAACCCGATATACAGTCTTTCCTGTACTCGACACGCGCTCCACCAGTTGTGAGGGTACAGG